TATGTATACTTAAATACATATATACATATATGCACATGTGTGTATTTTCAAGCCATGCTAGGGGGGTGTGGGGGCATGGGATCAGAGATTGCATGAATGATTGAAGACTAAATTTCAATTTTGAGAATCCAATAACAAAACCGGCCAGAAGATGCATAGATGGAAAAGTGCATCTATATCTACCATTTGCATGTACCACATTTCTTTTGATATCCAATTTTGCTGCTAAGCGTTCCTGGAGCGCAGCATCCAGAAGCAACAGCCTGGTTCACCTAACTTCCTGCTCCAGCTGCTAAATGGCTGACCATCTCGCCCGTTCTCCTCCAGCCATTCCCAGCGTCATTTATTTTTGAATCCTTTATCTATGGTTGTGAAATCTTCCCCGGAGTTCATGAACTGCATTGTGCCCACTCCATGCAATTCCATTCTCTCTATCGTCCTTCTCTCCAAACACAAAGTTTCATTTATTTATTTTTTGGCTTTAAACGTGTCTCTCCGTTGAATGGAGCCTTTAAACAGCGCAAGGTGACTCTATAAGTATAACTTCTGCACTGAGCGAAAAACGAGAGGTGGTACACGCTTTCCTAAGACCCGCCCGTTTCTTCTTCTGATTGGCTAATACTGTTAGTTTCAGAGTGCTACCATTGGCTGACAAACGCAAGAGGGATTTCAATTGTCTTTTTTAAATGTATTTATCGTCAATTTATTTTCAAGGGATTCCTTTTACCCATGGCAATCGCTATACTTTAATCCCTGGTATAAGGAGCCCGGAAATAGCTCCCGTCAAGAAACAAGGTTACAGCACGGACTTCATACTGATCAGCCGTGCAGTAGAACATAGGAATACAGCAGCCGAATTCAACATTAATGCTAGACAACTTTCTACTCTTCTGACTTAAATGTAATTTTAAGACAGACGCCTTTTCAGTATTTATTTAGCCAAATATTCCAGTCATTATTGTGGTTTTCAAAGTAATCTTTCAGATAATCTTATTGAATAAAAGTTGTAGAAGAAAAACTAAGAAGTAGCTGAAAGGCCACCAGCTGAGCCGTCGCATCAGAAGCCCACAGTTCATGAAAAAGTTAAGAGTCACCCTCAGCCTCCTACAACATGCCATGTCACATGTTCCGTTTGAACAAACCACAAAGGGCCCTTTCCTGTGCAATATTCACTCGCTGAGAGGTTCTTGGCACATCTCAAGGGTCTGCCGTCATATCTCTCCCCGCTGAAGCATTAGCAGCATTCAGACTCAATTAAGGAGCATTATCCAGGCAGGAGGTGCTGAGCTCTCTGTCATTAGTAATCACTTCACCTACCTCCCCAGGCCCCAAATATAACAGGCAGAAATCAGGAGATCATGGTATGGAAGGATGGAAACCGGAGAGAAATAAGAGAAATATAAAAAGCTTCAGCCTGTTGCTACGAGGACTGGACGAAAACCATTAAGTTTGAAAGTTCTGAGTGATCTAAGAGGTTGGTGGCGAATATCCAAACTCCACTTGAGTCAGAGTTTGACCTGCAAACCTGGATCTAAACAGAATCAGATTTCATTTTTAAACCTTAAAATGAACAGCTTTATTTCTACCGTTCTTGCTTTGGGCAGAGATTAAAGTCGTAGGGAAGCGGCTGTTCCAACCACTGCATTTCCGAATTCTCCAGAGTGGTGCACGACTTTACACGAGTGAATAAAGTGAATTTGATTGGTCGTTTCTCAAGAGGGCGGGACTGTTGTGGCGGAAGGTTCGCAAGCAAGTCTGGTTGTGGCCAGTTTGTCTGAATCATCTTGCTAACCACGTCCTCTCAGATGAAAACACAGAATCATGGCGGGGGTGCGAGTGAAACGGAGTTCTTTCTGTAAAATTGACAGACCGTAGTAGCCACATTTGCTCAGCCATGTCTTTGTCCAAATACGTCGTCGCCTTTTCTTTTTAGGGCTTTCAGCACAAAATTGCACAAATTGCCAAGGCAGAGCATTTACTCTAGTGAGCTTCATATTCCTCTTCTACTCTTTGGAGTCCGAATAGACGAGTCCGAGTATTGCCATCTCACTGCGGAGTCGAGTCCTACGTGGTTTTTAGACGTACAGTGTGAGCAGGTAGATCGCATCAGAGCGTCGGGTCTCACAATGTGAGAACATGCATCGTGAGCTCTGAACTCCCAGTACGACAAAACCCTGTGGTTTCATTGTACATCGTGAGCTGTAGCCGCTTGCAACGATTAAAAATAATAATCGCACAGCGTATACCTGGATTTACTCACCACTGTTAAGTATGTGCAGCATCTCCTCTTGTTTGTTCACAATTTCTGGGATTGCGTAACTTTTGCTTCCTATTCATTTCATGGGTTGTAGGATTTGCCTCTATTTTCTGCCATTACAACCTTTTCTTTTGCATCGCTTTATTGTATGATTTGCTAATCTGTTTGCATGTTTAATGCAATTGCATCATTCTCACGTTTGGACCTCTCAGCCACCGTACTCACTGCCTGTTGCAGCAGCATCAACCAGATAAAAAACCAAACTGCTCCCAAAGAAACCACCATTTAGTTCCTCTCAAATCTTTATGCCTATTCTAGCCTCATATTACCTCGACTTTGAGATTTCTGGTTAGCAAATCCTGATAGCCATGATGCATTTACTGACTGAAAAAAAGATGGGGAATTCGGAAATTCCTGGCCGTCTCTTATCAGTCAAAACCAGTAACTTTAAATAAACTACTCATTTCTGTCAAGAAGTTTTTTTGATTGTCTGAAATCTTTTCTAACAACTGAAAACTTTAGATCATCTAAATCAAGCGAACTAAAGAAATATCCTATAGGCAGAATTTTCTGTTCATTATGACTGTGTGACGTGAAAGCATCGGGTCCCATTTTCTGATCCTATCCAGAGGCAAGAGGACATCGAGTACAAAGATTCCTATTTTAAGGAGACACAGGGTGAAAAGATTTACAACATATGTATATTTAATCTGATATTCTCAATGAATAAAACCTCAGATCAGAGGTTGGATGCGTTTTACTCCTCTGCATGATTTATTGATAGAAATAACCAAGAAAAGTCAAGGCAGAAGAGGCTTTTGGGGAAAAAGAAATGTGTGGAAGTTATAATGAATCAGTTGAGGAAAGAAAACATGATGTTCTCGTGCTGGTATGTTCCTGAGGTTAAGAAACATTATCATGAAAAAAGCAAAACCTCAATCCACGTGTCAAAAAAATACAAAACACTTCACTTTATCTAGAACATATGGAGGGGATTTTGTTTCATTATTGTTGCAAGCAAAGAACAGGATTTATAAATGGAAACTAGTAAAAATGCAATCCAGAAAAGAAAATTTGAAAACTTTTGTTAATCAAAAATAAGGTTTATTGATCAAATTTTCTATTTTCTTTAGATTTTATTTTGTCAACATATTTTTCTATACGTTTCTCTGATGGCACAGTAGGTGTGATGGTTTGCATGATTGCCTCAATGCAAGATGGTTCTTGGTTCGGGTCCCGGGGGAACCAGGATCTTTCTTAGTAGAATTTGCATGTTCTCCCCGTTTCTGCGTGGGTTTTCTCCGGCTTCCTCCCACAGTCCAAAAACCTGCATGTTAGGCTGATTGGACTCTCCAAACTACTGCTGGAGTGAGTGTGAGTGGTTGTTTGTCTTTGTGTGGCCTTGCTATTGACTGGTGGACTGTTCAGGGTGTACCCCGCCTCTCGCCCATTGACAGCTGGAGCTCCAGTCCCCCGTTAGGGAATAAGCGGCTACGATAACGGAAGGATGTTTCTATTTTACTTTCTTTTTACTTTTTTGTTTTTACAGATTTTTTCTTATCAATTTAATTTTTCAAGTGTAAATGTTTTAGTTTGAGAGTTTCACTTATTTCAGTCTTTTCTAATTGCTTTTCACAGATCACATTCTCTTCTCTTAAGGCCCAAGATAAACACTAACGTCCATCCGTTTATTAAGAAGCTTTTAATTTAAATATCTGGATTGTATTTTTATTATTTTTTCCCCACTTCCTATTCTTTGCTTGCAAAAATAACGGAACAAAGTTCCCTCCTTATCTGCCATCTGGACCTCCGGAGAAGTAAGCGCGTCTTTGGACCCTCTAGAATGGGAAAAAATGTAAAAGAACTAACTAATGATCCGAATGTACTATATTTCCTTTGTGTATTTTCTTTTTTTTTTTTTTTTTACATCACATAATATCCTTCTGGGAAAAAAAATGAATTCTTTATGAAACATTTCGTGTCTTTCCTTATTTTATAAAATAAACTGTTGGTCTTTATAAATAAAAAAACTGTTTTCCTTTGGCAGATTTTAAACAAAAAATACATATCATGTGATATTTGCTGGATGTAGAACGATATTAAACCATTAAACTATAGGAAAATGGTAGGTCTGGGTGATGTATCAACATTTAAAAATGCTGCCAACTTATTTTTTAACCATCTTTTCCTGTTTATCTAAAATCATTTGTTGAAAATTGCAAGTATGTGACATTTGGGACAGCTTGATTTAGAATTACCTTTATAGACTTTATTAACAGAAAAACAAAGAGATAAATATATCACAGTTTATATCAGCTTAACAACAGAGATATGACATTTGGTCCATAATGCCCAGCCACTGGGACACGTTTTAATAACTCTCCTTGGATTTGGATCATTGCTGATGTCTGATCCTGCTTTATGTCTCAAAGTGAAGCCAGAACTGATGGAGTTTAATCCTTTTTAGAGTTTGTTTGGATTTATTCTGCTCAATAGTTCAAGTTAAGGATTAAATGTCTATTATAAAAGCAGATTTGGTCAATTAAGCAGAAAAAAGGCCAATTTAATGAAGGGAACAGGTGGATGTAGCTCCCAGCAGCTGATGAAAACGTTAAAGCATCATCAGAAAACTGCTGAGTCACTCTTTTATATTGTTTGTGCACAAGTATTAGTGGAAAACCTCACAAACACATTCAGTCTCCTCCTCCAGGTATGGTTTAAAGCCCCCCTACCCAGTCCTCACCTCCTTGTCCATGCTGTCCAGGTCCTCCTTGCAGAGCGTGTACAGAGGCATGCTTTCCGACATGCTCGGCTGCCTTTTCCTGCGGGAGGGTCCCGGCTGCTCATCGTCTCGGCCGGATCCTGACGCCTCGTTCTGCCGACTCTGCGCGGTTCCCCTGAGGCAACAGGAACACACAGACAAATGCCATCTAAATGTTACCTGCTTAGGTCAACCACTGAACAGCTTTCTGCACATTTTCCACAACAAAACTGCCTCCTTTCCCAGAATTTGTCGCCTATTTTAGCCCATTTTTGGGCTGAAACTTGGATTTTCAGCAACCAAGGTTCTCAAACTTTGGTTAGCAACAATCACCTCTTATCAGGGCCAATTTGTTCAAATTCAAAGACCACATGGCAGCATGTATCTACTGCTACTGCTGAAACACTTAATGGTAAAAGGTGGCTGCTCAGTGACGCAGTAGGTAGCACTGCTGTCTTGCAGAAAGAAGTTTTCGATTTGATTCCCGACCCAGAGTCTTACTGCATAGAGTTTGCATGTTCTCCCTGAGCATGCGTGGGTTCTCTCTGGGTACTCTGGCTTCCTCCCACAGTCCAAAAACATGACTACTAGGTTAATTGGCTTCTCTAAATTCTCCTTAGGTGCGAATGGTTGTTTGTCCTGTTTGTCTCTGTGTTGCCCTGCGATGGACTGGCGTCCTGTCAGCGTGTACCCCGCTTATAGACCATTGACAGCTGGAGATAGATGCCAGCACCCCTGGCAACCTTCCTGGATGGGAAGCAAAACGTCTTCTTAACTGGAAACAAAGTCCAGTGGTTTGTTTATTAACTATATTGGAATTTGCTTCAAATGCTTACTGCCATCTAGAGGTGAATAAAATGTTTTACAAGAAAGATTGTTGAAGTTAACCAGTCCTGAATAGATTTAAAAAACGATCTGAACCAATGAGCAGACTGATGACAGCACCCTGAATCTGTGAGGTCATCTCAGTAAAAACAACTGTGAGAGAAAATAAAAAAAGAAAAGAAAAAATGAGAGCAAAAGCCAGAAGTTCTTTAACTGGAGTTATTAATTAATTCAGACCTAATTAGGACCAAAGCTTTCCTGAACAGAGGAAAACTTCCTATTCTTAATTTCTCCCATTAAGACACGCATAAACTATAAGGTTTTTTTTCCCTTTTCGGGCCGACTTTCCGGTCGCGCGAGAATTTTTCAATCAGGCCTCCTTTCAGCCTGGCCGTGCCTGGTGTGGTAAAGGGGCGATTAGCCTCTCATGACCACCTCCCGATCAGGTATCGTAAGGTTGGGAGAAAATCAAAGTCTGATTGGTCGTACAGAGTGAGAATAAACATCGTGAGCTGTGAACTCATAGCCTCATGAGACCATCCTGATCTCGCGAGCTTTCAAGGTTTCACTCACAGATCAGTCTGGAGACTCTCCGTTAAAGAAACTTTGGAGCCGTTCACCAAACGAACGTCCAATCAGCGTTGGCTTTGAGGCGGGTTGAGGTGTGACGCAACGAGAAGCGCGAAAGTTCAGTCTAAAGAACATGGCGGCTTCAGCCGATGAAACTAGCGTTAGCGTGGCTATCGAGCAAGTTTTATCGGAATTACAGAGTATTTCTTCACTGAAAGAAGAGCAAAACACTGCTCTGGAGGCTTTTCTCAGAGGAAAAGATGTTTTTGCTCTTCTCCGGACTGGTTTCGGCAAGAGTTTGATCTATCAATTGGCTTGTGCCTGGCTTGTGGTTGTGTTTTCGTCGTCGCTCTGTTATTACGTCATATGCTTCGTTGATCTGATTGGTTTATTTGGCCCGTCTATCACCAACATAGGCCAATCAGCTAACCAGTATTTTCGCCCCTTCCCAAAATTACTTCAACGGAAGGTTTCCAGATGGATATACGGAGCAAATCCATCTGACGGAGTCAGGTTAGTGAACTCACACTGTACTACGAAACCGCAGGGTTTGTCGTACAGCTGTCGTTGCACATAGCTGTAGCTGCGTCCATGTATTGGTGAACGTCGAGTACAAACAGAAGACATCACAACGAAGAGCTGAACGGACGCCGGCATCTTCATTCACTGCAGATGTGGCTTCCTCCCCAAAATCCCAGCACTTTTAAGGATGGATTTCTGTTATCTGTTTATCAAAAACTTTCACGGGCCTCTTAACGTATTTTTTCAAATTCAATTCATTTTTTACTTCATTCTAAAACTTTCCAGGACCTTATATGTATTTTTTCAAAATCAAAAAGTTTCAAAGATTTGAATAATGTCCTAAAATTACGAGAAACAACTTGTATTTTATGACAACTTTTACAAGGAGCACTTCCTTCCCTAAAATGAGGAATGTGGAGCATCATGTGAAGTTATACTTGGCTATGGTTTGACAAATAAGGAAATCTTTTAGCAGCAGCATCAAATTGGGCAGGATGTCAAAGTGGACTCAGGTTGCTGATTGTTAGAGCTGAATGGAGCTCAAAGCTTTCTTTCTGAAACAGTTTTTTGGTAGGATGACTTTATTCTCGTAATGTTACAACTTTATTCTCAAAATAAATAAATCTTGCTCGGAGCTGTTCCTGAGGGTTTGAATATGAGTGACAAATATTTACTAAAAATCTTCAGTGCTACAGCCAAGAAACTCATCACTCGGAAATGGCTTCAAGCTGAACCACCAACGATAATGAACTGGCTGGAACTGGTGGATGAAAAAACCCACAAAATGGAAAAGTCAACATTTATGCTGAGACTGCAATCGGATCTTTATAAAAAGAGATGGAGCAAATGGACTAGATTTCTAGAAAACAATAACTGAATCAGGTCACTTGTACTGTCACTTCAAAAGCTGCTCAAAAATCCAAAGATTGAAATGTAAATTTGTATGCCGTTTTCATCCTGTATCTGTTCATCTTTGTCAGAATGTAAGTAATTCTTCTTGTCGACATTTATTCCGTTCAGTGTTCTGTATGTGATTGATAAATGAAACACATTCAATAAAGATAAAGTATAAAAAAATAAAAAATAAATAAATCTTCTGGCCCTAACACTCCGTCGTAAGAGGGATCCCTGGAAAAAAACATTTCAATTTAATGAAATCCTCCATCCGTCATTTTGGTTAAAGCCTGAAAAGATACATTTTTATTTAATATGTTGATAAAATTCAGTGACTGAAATAAACACCTAATACTGCATGTTTGAAGTTAGAAGCAGTATTTTTTGTGTCTTATCCTGTTGTTTTCCTGAACCGCTCTCTCTCTCTGTGTCAGAGGGATGAATCGGGGCGACGCCGGGGAGCAGAACTCAAAATGGCCACAGATAGCTTTCAGCATCCAAAGCAACAAAGCAGGCAGGTTAAGGTGGAAGGAAAGAGCAGAGGCAGGGAGGCCAAATATAAGCATTACAGAAACATATCTGCTGCCTTCAGGCTGTGTTTAACTGAACCCATCCTCTTTGATGATTCTGTTCGTTTTAACGCAGCTCACTGGAAACCTAATTGTGCCTCTAATCCTAAAATAAAACAGGACAATTTTCCACTTTGTATGATTAATTATACATATAAAACGCCATCAGTTCAAAGAGTCGCCATTGGAATCAGCTTGGAAACTTCACAGCGTTAAACAATCATAGGAGAGTCTGACAGGAATCTGTGACTGGATAACTTTTTTTATCCATAGTTTTCTCTGATCTCTAACATTTAGATTTTTTTTCCCATACAGAAAATATTTATGCTACAGGTTTGACTTTAACACAGAATTAGGAGCCAAATTGTGTTTTATGAGCTTTTCTGGTTTAAGGAACACGCCTAAAATAAATAAACAGGCCAATCTCACACTCAGGATTCTCCAGCAGGTTTAAACTTTTCTATACGATGATTCTGTTAAGTGGTTTAATGGTAAAAGCCATTTTTTTCTGGGCTTTATGGGCTAAAATCTGCAAAAGAATCTAAAAAAGCATAATTTTCTTTCCCTCTCTTAAACAATCAAAGCAAGAAAAGAACCGGTTTTACCCAGTTTATTTACCCAGAAAAGGCTCCCAGATGTTTAGTAGCAGCTTATATAATCCTGCCAGTGATTGAGAGCAGTACCTGAGGCCTGACTGGGGGCCTGGCGGCTGCGGGTAGGTTGAGGGACGTCCTGTCTGAGGGTCCCTGCGGATGAGCTTTCCCGTCACAGAGTCGTACGTTCTGACCTCTGGAGGCGCCCCTCGAGGCCTGGGATGGACGGGAGCAGGCTGGAAAACCGCTTGCAGTGAGCCCTGATCGTCGAGGAAAGCGGCCGGACTGCTGCTCCTACAGGAGAGGAAATAAGAAAATGACTGCATATTTTAATCCACCCATTTTAGCTTTTAACACATCTCCTTTAGGCCGCAGGAACATGGTTCTGATACCGTGGCGTCCTGGAGAAGTCCTCCTTTAAAGGGTACAGCTGCTCGTCCACCCGCTCCCAGCGCTCCAGGCAGCTCCATAGCCAGTCGGGGTTGACCACATGGAGGTGCTTGCAACCTTGCGCTTGCCGTACCTTCTCCGTTCCTGCCAGAATTGTCGATTAGATGGTGAGAACCAAAACCAACAGAGCTTTAATTATCTCAGTTCTTCAGAGGAAACTAAAGGTGCGTTCACAACAAATGCAAACGAGGCAAAACTTTCACTAGTCACCCCACACTCGCCAACAAGAAACCCTGGATATGAACACTTAAACAATAGCAGGTGCTTTAGAACCAGAGGTTATGTCGTGGAGGTCTTCTAACGCTGTGCAAAAAGCAAGTTAATGGGTGTTTCTCAATATGCGTTCTTGAGCGTTCTCGTGTGCTCGTGTACTCGTGATACGTCATCAGCCTCAGCCCGAGTATCGTTCCAATTCTCAAGAACGCCAGATCGAGAACGCATCAAATCCCCGGATGTTGTTCTCGCCCCGCCCTCTTTATCGAGCATGCATCAGAGCAGACTTGTGCGTTCTTCAGACTGACCGCTTCCCCAGAATGCCCCGCGGCCGCAGCTTGATTTGAGACAGCGCTCACAGTGTTAAGTTAAAAATTCCCTTTTCTGCTGCTGTTGTTCTTCAAAAGTACGTTTTGAAATCGTTTGAGGCGATAACATTATACATTTAAGACTCCCTGTGTGGCCTGTTTACAGAGTTAGTGCGAAATTAAAAAAAAAAGTCCGACGTTGAGCGGACCAGAGTGACCAGCAGACCTCCGAGGGTAACCGCAGCCAGGGCTAATGTTACCCCGTCTGTAGTGCACTTCTCTCAGTCTAGTTATGTGTGAACTACCGCTCGTTCTGATGGCGGTTTTTTGCGGTTCGGTAATTTTTTTAATGTTTTTTAAGCTTTAGAAATTAAAAATATTGTTTTCAAAATGTTTTGTGTAGGGAATAAATAGGTTTGACTGTTAAAGAAATGCTAAACAACGTTGCCTGTGAGGACGTCACGAGTACGCTTCTGCTCCAATACACATACGTGCTTGCGTGCTCGCGTTCTCGTCAAGTCCGATCTACCTGCGTTCTCGCCAAGAACTGACTTGACAAGAACGCGTTCTCATCAACTGAGAAACGGCCTACGTGTTTAACAACACAGTTACTGTTGCCGTTACACAGCGCTTCGTCCTGAGAGTACGCCGCGTTTTCAGAACCAGTCCGGGAGCAGGGTTATAAACTAAAAACATCAGGTTTAGATATAATTAAAAACTAAATTAAAAGCACTAATGATCAAATGTATTCACACTAAACAAATTACTTTTAAACTAAAACCTTAAGTCTATCAAGAAAGGGTGTAACTTGGTGATGAAAGTTGATGGGGACACTCTAAAGGTGGGGGCGGATGGACCTACAGTTACTACACCCGAACGCTACGTAAAAAATGCACAGCGGTCCAGATCTAGACCCACCTGCTTCTCTCTGAGCTCTGTTTAAAAAGATTTATGAACCTCTTTACTAATATAATGATGCCAGAAAGAACATTTCAAGATATCTAGAGGCTCTGCAGTCTGATTCTGTCTTCACCATAAGAGAACGTGTTCATTTTAACCTGTAACTGGGAGTCATGGTCCTCTGAGAAGCCAAGATTTTTTAACTAGTAAACAAGAACAAACTGTTCAAACTCTCTCAAGCTTCCTGCATTATGATACTAACTTATATAAACTTATAATCTGTTGCCATTTTTGCGTAAAAACCTCTGTATGTCTAACGAACAGATTTTTCGGTGGCATCTATTTTTTTTTAAACTTTTAATTAAACATTGAAGTAGCTACCGCTTTGACCTTTTTTCCTGTCATTTAAATCATATTCAATCACAGAAAATCTGGGTTGTTTTCTGTAAATTGTTCTCTGGAAGGTGGTGGATAAACCACCTGATTCATTCACAGAAATCAAATATTTGGACTAGGGCTGCAACAACGAATCGATAAAATCGATTTTTAAAAGCGTTGGCAACGAATTTAATCATCGATTAGTTGTGTCGCGCGATTAATGCGTCATCCGCCGCCGCCGTCATCACATCCACTTGACTGAAACGGGGAAGAAAAACAATATGGCGGAGCGAGTCAGCGCTGCAGGTGCAGTGTTGCCAACTCAGCGACTTTTCTTCAAAAAAGCGACAAATCTGGCGACTTTTTTCGGTGTCACTGGCGGCTTTTGGAGACTCTTACATGAAAGCATGTATCGTTCCTACTCTGCCGTGGGGCGCCTCCCCCACCCCAACCGCGTTCTCCCTCTCCCACAGGAGTCCCTCTCAGTGCTGCAGTCAGAGCCGCAGGATGTTTACCCTCAGCGTCCAGACTGCAAATGGAGCGCGCATGCGCCGGGATTGACGGCGCAAATTGATCACAATAATTAAAACAGCCTGCGCTTTGTAAAGTGAAAAAGTCGTAACATGCAACTTTTGTAAAAACAAATGAACATGGCACGGAAGCACCACTGTTATGACGCAGCACCTGAAAAGAAAACACGTTGGAGCCTTCGATGGCAGTGAAGAGAGCTGATCAGAAGGATGAGTAACCATGTTTGTTTCGTTTTAAAGTGGGGAAACGTAACGTTAGTTTCTCAGGTAGCTCATCTGATGCTTTCCTTACCGTGTTAGTAGGTTACAGACAGTGATAAGGTTGGGTACTTATTTACTTTTAATTTCATTTGAATTAGCTTAAGCAGCGTTTATATTTACTTTATAAATAAATTAACTTGCAAATTATGAGGGCAAGGCTTTTAAAGTTTAAATCTCCTGGCAAAGATAAAGTAAAGAAGATCCTGCAATTTATGGAAGTAAAGCAGAATAAAATCCAGCAAGATCAGTAATATGTCAATTAATTATATGTCACATTCCCATGTAAATATCTGTCTTTGGAGGATGTGTTTTTTAGCACCCCTAGTTCTCTCATTTTTATTCCAAATACAATTTATAATTTGAATCACAGGGCTATTTTTATCTCTATGGTTCAGTATTTTCTTTAGTAGCAACTTTAACTGCTATACAGGTGCTGGTCATAAAATTAGAATATCATGAAAAAGTAGATTGATTTCAGTAATTCCATTTAAAAAGTGAAACTTGTATATTATATTCATACATTACATACAAACTCATATATTTCAGATGTTTATTTTGTTTAATTTTGATGATTACAAATGACAACAAATGAAAATCTCAAATTCATCATATCAGAAAATTAGAATATTGTAAAAAGGTTCAAAATTGATGGCCCCTGGTGCCACACTCTAATCAGCTAATTAACTCAAACCACCTGCAAAAGCCTTTAAATGGTCTTTCAGTCTAGTTCTATAGGCTACACAATCATGGGGAAGACTGCTGACTTGACAGTTGTCCAAAAGACGACCATCGACACCTTGCACAAGGAGGGCAAGACACAAAAGGTCATCGCTAAAGAGGCTGGCTGTTCACAGAGCTCAGTGTCCAAGCACATTAATAGAGAGGCGAAGGGAAGGAAAAGCTGTGGTCGAAAAAAGTGTACAAGCAAGAGAGATAACCGCACCCTGGAGAGGATTGTGAAACAAAACCCATTCAAAAATGTGGGGGAGATTCACAAAGAGTGGACTGCAGCTGGAGTGAGTGCTTCAAGAACCACCACACACAGACGTATGAAAGACATGGGTTTCTGCTGTCGCATTCCTTGTGTCAAGCCACTCTTGAACCACAGACAGCGTCAGAAGCGTCTTGCCTGGGCTAAAGAGAAACAGGACTGGACTGCTGGTGAGTGGTCCAAAGTCATGTTCTCTGATGAAAGTAAATTTTGCATTTCCTTTGGAAATCAAGGTCCCAGAGTCTGGAGGAAAAGAAGAGAGGCACTTCATCCACGTTGCTTGAAGTCCAGTGTAAAGTTTCCACAGTCAGTGATGGTTTGGGGTGCCATGTCATCTGCTGGTGTTGGTCCATTGTGTTTTCTGAGGTCCAGGGTCAACGCAGCCACATACCAGGAAGTTTTAGAGCACTTCATGCTTCCTGCAGCTGACCAACTTTTTGGAGATGCAGATTTCATTTTCCAACAGGACTTGGCACCTGCACACAGTGCCAAAGCTACCAGTACCTGGTTGAAGGACCAAGGTATCCCTGTTCTTAATTGGCCAGCAAACTCTCCTGACCTTAACCCCATAGAAAATCTATGGGGTATTGTGAAGAAGAAGATGCAATACACCAGACCCAACAATTCAGAAGAGCTAAAAGCCACTATTAGAGCAACCTGGGCTATCATAACACCTGAGCAGTGCCACAGACTGATCGACTCCATGCCACGCCGCATTGCTGCAGTAATACAGGCCAAAGGAGGCCCAACTAAATACTGAGTGCTGTACATGCTCATACTTTTCATGTTCATACTTTTCAGTTGGCCAACATTTCTATAAATCCTTTGTTTTTATTGGTCTTCAGTAATATTCTAATTTTCTGATATGATGAATTTGAGATTTTCATTTGTTGTCATTTGTAATCATCAAAATTAAACAAAATAAACATCTGAAATATATGAGTTTGTATGTAATGTATGAATATAATATACAAGTTTCACTTTTTAAATGGAATTACTGAAATCAATCTACTTTTTCATGATATTCTAATTTTATGACCAGCACCTGTACTTTCCTGTCTTAAAAGGCAGAACTCTTCTAGTCTAAAAAAACTCATTTGTTGAAATGGGGGGGCCTATTGTTTGAGCCCCTTAGGGGCTTTAAAAAACAAAAATGTCTTTGTTTGCACTTTATGAAACAAAGTAGCCTATATTTAGTGGATGTACAGCTACATTTCTCATGTAAGTTTGCGTAGTTTTAACACAAACATTTATTTTTCATATTGCACCAGTACAGTTAATGAGCAACCTGTACTTGTGTGCTTGTTTGTTCTGTCTAAAATGTTTATTTTGGAATAAAGAGGTTAATATAAAAAATATTTTTTGTCCGATTCATCGATTAATCGAAAAAATAATCGTCCGATTCATCGATTTTTAAAATAATCGTTAGTTGCAGCCCTAATTTGGACTTTATCTGTAACCCGTTTCTGCATACCTGCCCTCGCTGCCACCAGATGTGTGGTCCGGTTGGGGTCCTTGGAGTTGAGAATCAGACTCTTGCCGATTCTGGCCCCCAGGGCTTTAGCGTGGTAGTACTCCCTGGTCCTCTCCATGGGGTAGTTGGTGGGGTACAGCCCGCTGAAAACCACCATGGAGCCCTCCAGCGTCTTGCTCTTCAGCTCCGGGACAATCCTGCGGATGTCCGGCATTTCCGACGTCTCCTTCCTCAGGTAGGTCTCGTAGCGGGCGAAGTACTCCGCGTGGATCCGTTCCAGGACCTCCTCCAGGTAGATGAGGTGGTCGTCATGGTCGTTGTCGGCTTCCTCTTCGTCCTCATCTTCCATGCTCTGGTCAAGTAGCTCCTCTCCCACCGTGACTCCGGACTGTTCGCTGTTCTGGGACTCGGTTTCCGGCTCTCTCCTCTCGCCGTTTTCCAGCTCGGGGTCTGGAAGTGCCGACTCCGAGCTGTTGGAACCTTTAGCGTCTGCGTCCTGCTGTGAATCTCCTTCCTGTTTAGAATCCCCTGTGGTGCCAGTCCTGCTCTGACTCGCGTCGCCCGGTGAGGACGGCTTTTCTGTTTCCGAGTCACTGTTGCTGTCACTAGAGAGTTCAAAGTCTAGGTTATTGGACTCGTGACTCGGTGAGGATGAGTTCATGCCTCCCTCTGCCTCCTCTTTCCTGTTTCCATCAGCATCTTTAGCATCCTTTTTCTCCTCCCCCTGAGTGTTCTCTGATTTCAGCCCAGACTCTAAAGCAGTCTGACCGGCCTCTGACTCCGCCTCCTCCGCCTCAGCCGCCGCCCCCCCACCACCTGTCCTTTCGCTAGCAGCTCCTTCCTGAGAAGGTAAGGAAAGCTCTTCCTTCCCTGAAACACTGGCCTCCTTGGACCGTTTCTTGACGCCGTTGTTTTTCTCCTCAGCACCGATCGCCTCCACGTGTTCTGCGCTCTCCGTTGTTCGACTCTGAGGGGCTCCTGCAGGGGGACATGAAGGTAAGACCAGCTGGTGACAAATAGACATTAACACAGACTTTAACTTATTGGGTTTATAGTTAGTGCTAGGTGACATGACCTTCATAACAATAACGCTCTGGCTCCTCTATCAGAAATAAAGGCATGTACAGGAAATTAAACTGATCCATTTATTTATTCAATAAATCACATTAGATATTACTTTCAATTAGATATTAAAGTCTTTTACCCATTTAGGTTTAGGCATTCAACAATTTCTCATTCAACAGGAGAAAAGTATTTCCTCTCTTGCAAACATTTTCGCCCTAAGGTAATGGAGCCTTTTGCACATCTTTAAACTGAACAGTGTGGCTGTGCTGTAGGTGGAGCAGGTTGGATGTGTTACTTTGCGTAGTCAAACTTTACCTTTCCTGTTGTGGAGGCAGGGAGCTGAGACAGAGACATTTCTTGCAAGAAATAATGTTCAAATTTATTGAACGTCCTTAGACAGAGATAGAGCTCTGACTGAGGCAACCTTAATGTAGGCGCCATATGCCTATTTTATGTATAGTTTGAAATTATTTGTATTATGAGAATTTGATATTTCATTTACATTAATGAGTGACATAATAATTTGATTTAAAAATATGTACAAGTTAAAAAATTTTAATTTAAAATATTTACAGGACGCTGCTTAGTGTGCCTTTTGATGACGTCATTTTACTGCGCCAGGTGCCCGGTGAGGTAACCGTTGTAAACAGACACAGGAGGAGGAAGGTTGGTGCCTCACGGTTTTCTGACCGTGTTTTGCTTGGGACATGCTCCTATTGTTACTCTGTGGAACCTCAGATTTAGTTTTGTGAAAGTTTAGGAGGTATATTTTGTATACGTTCGTTTTTTGTTATCGCCTTTGTTTTAAAATATAAAAGGCATAACGTGACGTCAGTGGAGATTATTGTTTTTTTTTTTGTGGATCCTGGAACACGCCTCAGCCACAAAGCTCCAACTTAATACGGATTTAATTGAAACTCTTGGATTTACCCTACACTTAGTACATACATTTATACCTTACAAAAATCCCAATACAAAGTCCCCCCAAGGAAACCAACCCACCGCCTGCTTAAAGAACTTTCTCACACTTGAAGATTTGTTAGGTTAATATATCTTTCACTGGCCAGATGGATCTTCTCAAAACAGCCGTCCTCCCCTTCATGCCATGAAGGAAGCTGTGTAACTCATTCTTTTCTCTCATGACCTTCGTTTGGAGCCTGTGAGGCTGACAGACATACCTCCACATTTTTTACTCCACGACCCACAAATAGGCTCGTCATGGATCGGATCTCAGAGGGTAGTGTAAATGGGGTTTTAAGAGTGCAGTTTCTTTTGGTTTAGGCGTTTATTCTACAGAGTAAAAGTTTTCAACATCATTATCAATAAATAATTAAATAAACTCTCAAAATGGGTCATTAATTCAATACATTTCTACCAGTCCTCTCCTATTACAGTGCAGCTATCCCACCGCTTTAGGAACCACTGAAAGAAAAAAAACAAAACAAAAGAAAAAGCGAATATATCGGCTAAAAATATCAGCAGGCTGACGAATCAGTTCATCTCTAGAGTGGATTCAGAGAATATACATACAGAACTGTAAAAAGCTTTTAATATTATCAACTTCTATGAGTTCAACTATCAGAAACTTAACATGAACAAGTTAAAGGAGTCTGAAACATCCTCAAAGCTCTGAAACTGAACCAACAGCCTGACTCCAGACCTATTTGGATCCCAGCCTCCAAAACCCAATCAAGCTCATTTACTTCTTCCTACTTGATAAAGTTTGTAGAACATTTCTCTCTAATACGGTCTGAATCGCTCAGATTTCAGCACAGCCAGTCTCCCAACTTGTTGGCAAACATTTCTTGGAGGAGAAAACTGCTGCAAGGCAAGTCTGAATCCTCTGGGAACGCTGAGTCACTCCGCAGCCAGCGACTCCGTTTGAGCGTGAAATATGTGAGGAGATAACCTGTCAACAAGGCAAACTAGGAAAAATAAATTTAAAAAATGGGAATAAATAAGTAAAAGTTTCCTTGTTGGGAGCAGAATAAAAGATCGCTTGGAGCCACAGGGCTGAACGGACAAGATCCGCCGGCGAAATAATCGGAGGAGACAGAGCACGCTACAGCAGTGGCAGGGGGTTGTTCTGGCTTTAAGATCATGGAGGCAGGAAATTAAACCACGGACAAATGCTTGCGTGGAGGGGATTGTTGAGTTTCTGTCTATAAAAACAAATAAATCCTCTCTGCAGTAAAACCACTGAACCTCAATAGGCAGCCTAACAATGTAGTAGTTAGAGTTTTACAGCTTTAACTGTTGTGGCTCACCTATGATTCTGAACAAAAACTTCCAAACATACCTAACCACAGCGCTAAGTTGTTAAGATTTAATTCTTGGTGAGACGAGCAAATCCCAAAGATCAAAAGAACTACTAGAGCTAATTCCTGATTGTTTAGTTCTTTCCCAGCATGCAGTTCTGTCCAACCTTTATCTGCAAAGGACCAGACTCACCTTTCCTGGCCAGCTGAGCTTCCCGTGACCCCGGCGGGGCGTTGATGTCACCGGTGCCCTGGAAGTAGATGTATTTCTTCACAGTGATGAGGTTTGGCGCAAACTTCCACACGTCCTCGCGGTCGTCGATGATGCAGACCATGGAGTCGCCGCAGGGGAACAGGTTCCTGACGGGAAGACGGATTCCACATGAGAGACCCCAACATTTTAGAAATAAAGCATCTGCTGGAACTGATTTTTTGATTTTTTGATTAAAACTGGTAGGAGCTTTTATGACCAACATCTGAATCTATTCGTGCACCAAAAAGGACAAAAGGCCACAACTACAAAAACAAAAGGGAGAGGATTTGGTTAGTAGTGTCCGGCTGCAGTACCAGGTAGGACCATTTTCACAATCAGTGCAATAAGGACAAACCATAAATAATGAAAATCACAGGTGAGCTTCAAATATCAGAGTTTGTGCAAAATCACCGAAAGTAATTCACAAAAAACAAATAAGACTCGACCATGAAATCAAAGCCAGTTCACCACTGAAATAAAAGAAAGTTCACCACTAATCAAATACAGTTCACCATGAAACCAAAAAAAAGTTCACCACAAATGTAATAGTTTACCATGAAAACAAAGGAAGTTCACCATGAAACCAAAGAAAGTTCACCACTAATCAAATACAGTTCACCATGAAACCAAAAAAAAGTTCACCACAAATCAAATAGTTTACCATGAAAACAAAGGAAGTTCACCATTAAACCAAAGAAAGTTCACCATGAGACCAAAGAAAGTGTACCATGAGACCAAAGAAAGTTCACCATGAGACCAAAGAAAGTTCACCATGAGACCAAAGAAAGTTCAGCGTTGCAATCAAAGACAGTTCACTACTGAAAACCAAGAATGTTTACCATGAAACCAAATAAAGCTCACCACTGAAATCAAAGAGAGTTCACCACTGAAATCAAAGACAGTTCACAACTGAAATCAAAGAAAGTTCACCACTGAAATCCAAGAATTTTTACCATGAAACCAAATAAAGTTCACCACTTTAATCAAAGAAAGTTCACAACTGAAATCAAAGAAAGTTCACCACTGAAATCCAAGAATGTTTACCATGAAACCAAATAAAGTTCACCACTGTAATCAAAGAAAGTTCACAACTGAAATCAAAGAAAGTTCACCACTGAAATCCAAGAATGTTTACCATGAAACCAAATAAAGTTCACCACTTTAATCAAACACAGTTCACCACTGTAATCAAAGACAGTTCACCACTGAAATCAAAGAAAGTTCACCACTGAAATCAAAGAAAGTTCACCACTGAAATCAAAGAAAGTTCACCACTGAAATCCAAGAATGTTTACCATGAAACCAAATAAAGTTCACCACTTTAATCAAACACAGTTCACCACTGTAATCAAAGACAGTTCACCACTGAAATCAAAGAAAGTTCACCACTGAAATCAAAGAAAGTTCACCACTGAAATCAAAGAAAGTTTACCACTGAAATCAAAGAAAGTTTACCACTGAAATCAAAGAAAGTTTACCACTGAAATCAAAGAAAGTTTACCACTGAAATCAAAGAAAGTTTACCACTGAAATCAAAGAATGTTTACCATGAAACCATAGAAAGTTCACCATGAAATCAAAAAAGGTCCCACTGAAATCAAAGAAAGTTTACCATGAAACCATAGAAAGTTCACCATGAAATCCATCAAAGGTCCCCACTGAATTCAAAGAAAGTTCACCTCTGATATCAAAGAAAGTTCAAAACTGAACTCAAAGTTCACCACTGAAATAAAAGACAGTTCAACCAGTGACGTATGCCGTAAAGCAGGGGACAAATGAAGTCGTTCTGTGTGGCACGGTTAATTCACCCTCCTCAAAGTTGGTGCTGGTGAAAGAGATACAGACCCCCTTTGGCCTGTACCGAGGTGTCATTCAACTAGGTGTCATTCAACTAGTTTTAAGTTAGGAAAATATTTGATGAAGTTAAAAAGTTCCTTAGTGTTGGTTTACTCTAACATTACATTATCACTTATCCACTTTAAATTAGGTCTACACATTAAATCCATTCACCTCAGATTAAGGTTTCCTCACATTTCTCTCAGTTTCCAAATATTAAACCAAGAAATCTCCAAACCTCAAATTTTTTTTAGTTTGTGTTTCAGCATTTTTAGGACATTAAAATAATGCAGAGCATTTCGCACGCAGGAGTGAAGGGTTATTTAAAAAAGTAAAAAAGATAAAAGCTTTTATGGTTAAAATAAAAATGAGAAACATTTACATGAAGACAAATTAACAAACTTTAGTCTGATTTAATGTCAGAGAAATAAAATAAAGTTATGTGCTTGTTATTAAGTCTTTGTAAACATCTGATTTAAAATGTATCTGCTCCTTTAATCCTGAAAGGCTGCATGAATCGGTGTTGCTCAAGTTTCTGACATCAGTTTGAAAGTGAGACAGAATATCCTCAATGTCGAGTTGGTTTCCCACCTAAGATTCCCCGTCTTGGAGAACGGATCTATGCATTCATCTCTAGAAAGGATCCTGTGGGAGAAAAGTTTCTTTTCCGGATCCAAGAAGCCTAAGGAGGAAGAAGAAAAGACGAACATTAGAGATAAATTTCCACAGGATCACACTATCCCTCCTCTTATCATCACACTAAATGAATCCCTCATCATTTTTTTAATGGAGTCAAACTGCTTTTACTGTTTTTATAAATGAAATATGCAGCTTTAACTCCCCCAACAAAAAATATAAAACGGTGGATGATTCCCAGAGCTGCTTTAGCCACATGTGCTGCTGCTAAGAACTGCCTTGAGACGAGCTGAACTCTGCGCTATGAGGTCAGCTGCAAAATCCAATTCAACCTGCATTAAATATTCATCACATGGAGGCAGAGCAGAGCCGGCTGCTCTTATCATTTATACCACTATGACTGAAGGACAGCATCATGAATACCAACAGGATGCTAAATAAATGCATACGTCTAAACCCCTATAAAGGCCCTTGAAACGTTACTAAAGAATAAATCATTCAAAAGAAGAAACAAAAAAGAAAAATCAGCAGGAAATGAACATTGGAAACTTTTCTCCTCCCCAGGAGTGAAGCAAGGCAGAGCATCCGAACATCAGCTGGGATGTTAGAGCGTGAGCAGACAGCCCCCCCTGATGGACACAAGTGGGAAGTACAAGATGAGGACCTCCAAAGCACAAGGAGGAACACTCATCTATTCCTGTTGATTGTTTTCACATTTTGTAACGCCTTCAAGTACTTCAATGAGTATTTATCGGGATTATACATTTAAAAAAAGAGAAAATGTAATATAATTGATGGAACGGCCCTGTCCCTACGACTTTAAGGTTGCCTTTAATGACTCAATGAGAATTCTTAAAAAAAACCCAGGTTCAGCAGTGCAAGTGAGATGTTTTGTAAAGTGTCAGAATATTCCAGCCACTTATGAGAAATAAAGTTTTCACATCCCTCTCTCAGTGCGCTAAGATACCAGTCGGCTCTGTGGAAACAAACATGACACAATAATGTGTCTATTGAATAAAGTAATCAATCAATTACTATATATTTAACATTTATTCAAAATAACTTGCCCCTTTTACTGTGTCACTCTGATAAAAAAAAAAACCAGGGCAACCAGCTCCCTGCAGAAACGGCACAGATTTAATCCCAGGAAAAAATCTGAACTCTAATTTAATGCTTTTTAATACTCTTTTAATGATCTTAAAAACATTTTGATGCCATCAAGTACCCATCGACAGGTTGCAGCCATGTCCCGAATTCCTTGTTTTCAAGCCAACTTTGTTGAAATTTGAAATTCTCTAGCTTTTTTCTGCCTCAAGCTGCTTTTCCGAACAAACTGCTTCACGATCAACCGGAATCAGTTCGGCACAAACATATCACGATATAATATGTGTGACGAAATTGTTTTTATAAACTTTTTATTTTCTAAAGATAGCATTCTAAACATAATTATAATCATATTTAAAGAATTTTAATGCCAAATAAGGCCTTAATTAAAAAAAATAATAATTTAATGTCTTTTAATGCTTTCTATGACCTGCGGACACCCTGGTACCTGATTAATCTGGGCTTTGTTCATCTTCCCATCATGGCTCTGCATAGATTACCTGAACATAAGACTACCACAGCATCATACTGCCACCACAAAGTTGGTTAATAAGCAGTGATCATTTTAATATGTGGGAGGAAAAAAATCTATTTTATACACTATGTTTTAAAAGACTACTGAGGCCTTGGATAAACATCTACGCTTTTACAGATAAACTATTAAAATACAGACATGCTGACATTTCCTCCTCGTTTAGGCCTTTAAAGGTAAAGGAAGCTCTATGGAGGTTCAGTTAAAGACCTTGATGCTGTGACGTGACAAAATGTGGACGAGCTTTTAGAGAGCAGGCAGAGCTGCAAGGCTCCAGCTTTAGGAAGAGAACCATTACCGGCGATGGTGTGCGCATACAGGCGGCTCCCGAACGTAAAGACGTGCAGCTCGTAGAGTTTGGCGATTTTCTCCAGGAATTCCTTACAGTGCGGCCTCAGCCGCGTGTGCAGCATAGGTTCTCCCCGACCGAGCTGGAAGTGGAAAATACCCTGAAGGAGGAAAAACAAAAAAAATTAAACCTAAGGGGGAGAGAGGGCGCAGGATTCCAATGCGAGACGGGGACGGCACCCTATTGGACATGCGCTGGCAGTGCTGCTCAGTGGTGTGGATCAGGGTCTGGTCCAGATCCACCATGAGGACCAGCTTCTTGTTCCGGTGCAGCCTCTGCTGGTCCTCCTGGGCCAGCTGCTTGGCTTGCTTTGGAAAGAGAGAGAGAGAGAGAAACGTCAAACCGCAGAACAAACATGCCGCTTTCCTCTGAGCAGCCTGCGTTTCACTGGTGAAGATTCTCAGTCATCCAGGTCATAGTCATTCCAAAAGAAGAAAATTACAATCTACTGGACTTTTCAATTTGCATGTTTTCAAAACAAAAGCAAGTTTTTGTTGGGCTACTGTACAAAACCTTGAACTCAACGCAATTCCTGACATTTTGAATTGAAAAACCTTCCTGGATGGGAAGCGAAACGTCTTCAGACTTGGAAACAAAGCCTGCGTTTCCTTTACTCCTTTGTTGCATGATGAACCTGGGAGCAAAACGGGCCGAACCGCCGTTCTACAGCTGTGGTGTGACTCACCTCGGAGCTGACCATCAGCTCAGGGACGCTGTGCACCATGGAGACGGTTGCTGTGGAGATGGGACTCTGCTGGTTGCCGTTCGTCCCCTGGAGCCTGAAAGGGAAAGAAAAGGAGTAGGAGTTCTGGCTGTTTGCATCGCTCGGGTCCTTGAACGTCCTGACTGAACAGATCCACCAACTCAGAATTCATTAACTCATTTCCTGTAAAGTTTAGCTTTTTTATTTTTCTGCAGGTTGATCCAGCAGCACAAAATCATCAACATGACTTCAACCCCTTTAAGTCGTCACTGGAGGCTCCAAACTCCCAGCTGACGAAGGCCCGGTTAACACTGCAGGAACATGTGACCCGAATCAGATCATTTATTTTCTTTTTTAAGGAGGTTCCAGTGATCAGATCAGGCAGTTTAAATCAAGTCAGGACACTCAGATCTGTCCATGTCTGTTTTTATTTATTTCTTTTTTTTAAGTCCCCATTTGAGTCTCATTCATATCTGGTCCTGAATCAGATTTTTGATCTATTGTAAGGGAAACAAATAAAAAAAAAATCAGCGGGGTCCGAATAAAAAAGATCATCAGCCAGTAAAGGTCCACAGAAACTCTTAATTATAATCTGACTTTTTGGCGTTACTTTTAACAGAACACTGAAATAAAAAGCAGGTTTTAATGCATTCATGTTATACATTTAAATCAAAAAATATAAAAAAAAAAAGAAAATCTAAAGTGTTTTTGAAGTAGAAAACAACAGTCGTTCAGTTTGGTATACAGACAATTTCCTGATTCACATATTTTATAAAACACCTGAACTGGCCATTTCTTTTTTTTATGTTTTAATGAGAGCAGTGGGCTTTATGCTGCCCTGCAAGGCTTTAAACCTGGGTTTGAATGGAGACTAAGTCATTCTAAAGCACATATCAAGGTGCTCATTCTGAGCCTGGATCCAGATTTATTTTTGATTCTGTTCATGGTGGAGAATCCTGCTTCACAGCAGCAGGTTGAGCCAAACATCCTCTAAATGTGCAGAGTCATCTTTGAGCACCATTTCACTTTTCTTTCACCAGTTCACCATAGTTCTTCCAGCAGTCCACACTTTCTCTGCTCTCTTTTTCTCATCTTCTTCTCCTTCGTTCCCATTGAAGAGAAAAAGGAGGAGGTTATCCTGCTGTGTCTAAAAGTAGCAGCAGCAGCAACCCAGACTGACAGCAGCTCATTGGATAATCTGTATCACGTGTAGCCTGGTGCCGGACGCTCTGGAGGGCTTTACCGTATTAACAGGAGAAGCGGCGCAAGCGAAGTTAGACACTGTCGTCGGACAACATGCTGTAATTTCTATATCTTTTAAACCTGGTTGGGTCCAGATTAGCCAGCAGGTGGGTCCGGATCTGGACCCTGGTCCACTAATCTGCGACTCCTCAGCTATTGGAATGTGACTCTGGTGGGAAGGACCAATGCAGATTAGATGAGACATGGGTGTCATTTTCCATCAAATCTCTCATAGCGTTTTGCTGCCCAGCAGTTAGCAAAACAGATCGAAAGTTAGAGTTAGTTAGAAAGCTGCAGAAACTGATAGAAAATAAGTGCAATTTTCCTGGAAAAATATGTAATTGGTCTTAGTATAGGCAGGCCCTCAAGATGAGATGATATCAATGATATTATTATTAAAATAAGATAATAAGGTTGTTTTTTTTATCTTATTAATTTCTTTATTGTCAACAAATCATCTTTTAATCCACTGACAAATGTTTTCCATTAATCAAATTAAGAGAAAATATTGTGATTTCCAGAAAAGATTAACTTACTAAAATGTTTTGCAGTGTTACACGATGCAGATACGTCTGAACCTTAAGCCATATTCACACAGCAGCCTGAAGTGACCAAAATCCAATATTTTTGCTCATATGCATCCTGTGTCCGATCTTTTCATGGAAGTCTGAACAACCGACATCCAATTTTTTTTCATGTGACCAAGGCCACTTGGCTATGTGGCCCTGAAAACGATTCAATCTGATCTTTTCAAATGGGACCTGTGTCTGAACGGCCCCTTTATCCGACCTGAACGCCATTAACACTCAACTAAGGTCCCTATTCTGCGTTTTGCTACGCAGAAGTGGGAAGAATAACAGCAACCATGGCGGAGGATGATGGGGAGAGCAGTATTTATGTTTAACCATCTTGAAAAGATTTCATTTTTAAGGTTGGGAAAGATCGCTAGATGCGCTCCGGCACTACCATCCGTGTTTACTTCCGTAAACACAGAGTACGCTGGCCTGTGATGTCATTGCGTCCTCTACTGCGTATGCGGGACACTTTTTTAAGTTTAAATTTCTATTTCTAAAAAATATCCTGTCTTAAAATCTGTGTTTCTTTTCCGTTATTTTATTCAGCCCAGTTAGTTATACGTCAGCCTGAGCACCTAAATTCAGCCAATCATATAGCAACGGTCATCTGTCAATCAAATTTTTTCGGTCATAGCATCTTGATTTATATATCGCAGCTAATATATTAAACGGTTGAAATAAGAATCATTTCCTTTCCCACTGAGTTCCGTCCCAGTGTTCACAGGAATGGACATCTGTGTCTTCAGCAGGCGTAGAGCTAACAGAACTGGCAGCGGTGCGTCGCAAGGGCTCAAACATGTACGGTTGTAGATACCAGATCTGCTCGGGTCCTTCAATTGCCAGTGACGTTACACTAAATGATTGGCTAAATGTCGCCACATGATGTAAAACATAGTGGTTCCCAAGACAACAATAATAACACAGCGTCCATTAGCGTGTCTAATGACCGATGAAGTTTTACCTGATCAATAAAAAAATCTGTTTCTGGTCAACAAAGTAACTGTTAAACCATTGTATATTGCAGTAGCTAGCTGTGCTAAGCAGCTAACAGGTTAGCCTCTTTTAGCTCGGGCAGTTAGCCATATTAAGCTACACTACTTTTTGAAATTGTATCAACAACAACTGTTTGTTTTCTACAAGCAGAATAACTGTTTTATTTAATGAATTTTATTGCCAATTAAGGCCTTAATTTAAAAAAAAATTATAATTTAAGGACTTAATGATTTTTAATGACCCCCGGAAACCCTGTTGTTGTAAGAAATTGAGATGATTTTGGTCAGTGTAAAGGAAAATTAAAATAAAACCGATTTGAACATGAAAATATATTTAAAATATGAAAAGGCTCCATTTTATACATCTCAAATGCAAAAAAAAGAGTGGATTTTGGGGTGAGTTAGACTTTAAACATTCTAATTTATAATCCTGTTGCCTGTTTTATCTTATTACTCCTTTGTTTTTATATTTTAACTGAAACATTTCAGACTTGTATCAAGAAATGTATCCATGGAATCAGTCATTCTTAAAGAGAAAAATGTTTTGTTACCGAGTCCCAAAGGCTTTAATTTTTAACAGTGAAACATGGGAAAAATTCACAGTAAAACACAGAAATGAGGGGATTTTAAATCAGTCTGCAATGAGAAGGAGCAGATACTGCTAGGGCATCATACTGCAGCAGCTGCTTCATCTCCCCAGCCTGAGTTTTGTGTTTGGTCTGCAGAAGCAGCTCATCACGCTTTAGGATACAGCAGTGAACCGGCAGAAGAAGGAGAGGCTTACTGAGTTAGATCCTGGCCGCACTCGGCGCACAAACCCTTCATGACGATGGGATGGCTGCATTCTGCCATTCTGACGATGACGCCTCTGAGGACACAAGAAGAAATCAGTTAAAACAATAAAGTTGTTTAGTCATCTAACAGCAGCCATATCTACAGATCGTTTAAAGCTTGATTTATTACAGGGCTTTCTTTCTTCAGGACTTAATGGACAGTAAAAGTTAACCACTTAGTGACGGCGATTCAGCGATAAATCTGCATTAAGGATCCAGAAACATGGCTGCTGAAAACAATCCTGGTCACATAAAAACTACGGAAGGACTCTTGCTCCATTATTATTGGAAGCAAAGAGTTTTATAAATGGAAATAAATAAAAAAAATATTTGGTATTTTTCCTTACCAAATCCAATTAACAATTTATTTTTCTTATTTTCGTTTCATAATAAAATATGAAATGTATTACTTTCAAAAACTCTGATTACAATCATTTCCTCTGGGAGCCCAGACCATCATACCTTCACCTCCATGCTCAATAGATTGATTTTATTACAGACTCAAGGTCCAATATACATTAAAAGAAAACAGATACACTAAGAACAAAAAAAGACTATAAGTACAACAGTGAAGGTGCCTACTCCTTCAGGAGGCAATTATACCAATGTCTCCAAAGCACAGATGAATATTTAACTGCACTATATTTGACATTGGTCATCAGTAAAATAGTTGGAGTGAAGGTTTGTTTTGAAATGATTACACATTATATGTTCCAAATAAGTTAATCCAGGAAGCTTTTTGATTTTTGAATTAAAAAGCTGCCTGGATGGGAAGCAAAACATATTCAAACTTGGAAACAAAGTTGTTTTTTTTACTTTTTTGGAATAACTATGACCTGGATGACTGAGAATCTTCACCAGCATAAAAATTATATTTAAAAAGAGTTTAAATTAAAATAAATAAACTGCTTTGTCTCACTGGTTCCATTAAATGGACGTTTTTGCACAAGCTGCCAGCTTCTCAAACTTCAGCAGCTTGTTCAGGATCTTTTTTTCTCCTGATTGTGAATTTGAACCTTTAACAGCTTGATATTAAGCTCCCCACTTCTCAGCAGCATTTGGTCTAACTTGGATCTTTTATCATAAGATGATGGATAGTAGAGCTGAAATAATCATGATTAATTGATGACTGAAACTAATTTAACCTTCAACTGGAGCATAACAGTCCATCAGCTGAAAGAGGGACCTACTATAAGGAGAAATAATGCAGATACTGTAAAATATATATATATATATATATATATATATATATATATATATATATATATATATATATATATATATATATATATATATATATATATATATATATAAACAGAACATACATAATCCTGTGTTTATTCTTCAAGGAACTTTTTTCTATCCGATTATTAATCCATTGATCCAAAAAATTTTTATAATTAATCTATAAATCGATTACAAAAATAACCGTTAGCTGCAGCTCTAACTGCTTTAACTGCTGATCTTGGCCCATAGCTGTAGCCTTCCCTCCACAAATCTTTCTCGTATTCATTTTCCTCTCCTTTCTTTGCTTGACAAGATTCTAACTGATTTCGTATAAAATAAAACACACTTAAATGGCGGGAAGTGTCCTGCCTGAGTCTGACCGCTTGGACATAAACTTATCTCCCACTTGTCAACCTGCTCAGTTGCTGCACGCTTTAAGTAGAGCCCAAACAACGCGAGATCTCGCTACATGGGATTTGGTTTTCAAAATAAAATTATCTAAATTCTTTTAACATCAATTCAAGTTAGAACGAGCCCAAAAGTAGATTATTTACATATAGTATGCTCTAATCAAATCTTTTTATCTTTTAAAAGGTAATCTAAACGCCTATTAGAAAGGGGATACATTTGTACTGATATGTGTAGCTTTTACTTTGAAGGGTCCGCTCAGAAGACGCTTTACCTTGACAGTGGAAGCCAGGGTACAACTGCTAGCATCATTAGCCTTTAGCTAAAAGCCGTGTTATCGGTAGGTGTAACTGACAAGCTGCCTGAAGCCGTTCCATGCAGCTCAGCTAACATGAGCTAAAATTAGCCTGTGGAATCATTGACTCACCCGGGAGGAATGATTTGTCCGGGTTGACAGCATAACTCCTTCACTACTCCAGAACGGTCCGATTTCACCTTCTTCTCCGCCAGCCTAACGGCAGCCCCCGTCTCCTTATCCTGGGCTACGGGAGCACATAACGCGAGAACCGAGTCCACGTTAACCAGAGTCCCCGGCTTTACTTTCCACTCCAGAAGCCGGAGCGGAAGACCCGCGCTCGACCAGCGCATGTCCGCCACCTGTGCCGCGGGGCCCTGGTCCTCCGCGGCGGCTGCTGTCGCTGCTGCACCGCCGCTAGAATCTGCAGGAGGATCCTCCATCTGTCCCGCTCCGTTCCAAAATACACCTTTTATTTCTAAGTGCTCAACCTAAAACCTATCTACAACTCCCCACAGTGTGCAACGGTTCATTAAAACATGTAGCCTGGAGCTCTAATAGACGGTTAAAAACAAACGTTCATGCGGTTCTGAGCCCCTGAGGTCTGCACGGTGCAGCTCCGTTCGCTCTTCCCGCTCGTAAACAGGAAAGCGCGACGCTGCAGCGGCACGAGTCACACAGCTTCCGGTGGATGGGCGACATAAACAACACTCGGTACTTCAAAATAAAAGCTCAAGTAATTGTCTTTGTTGAAGCCATGTTTACAGCACGAAGTACTGCTATGTTTAACCTTTAAGTTTTAAATAGTGTGTTAATTGAATAAAAAAGCAAAACTGTACTTAAAGTGTAGGTCAAGATTTTTTTGGTTTTTAATTTGAAGGCAAGACTAATTTCTTCATATTCTTTACATTCGTCAACTTTTTTTCAGATTAAATAATAGTAATAGTAATTAAATAATAGTATCAAGGTGCTACTTTATTGCATCTCTTATACTATATCCATTGGTTGTGCTGTTCTTTTTACATCTCTTTGCAGGTGATGAAGCAGACTGAAAATGTTTTATCATTGTCTCCCTTTTATCTCCTCTTTCTTTCATCTTTTCTCCTTTTTTTTCTCCTTTCCTGTTCTACTTACATTGCAGTGTCCATATAATCTGTACTACTCCCTGCATGAATTATAATAAAGGTATTTACATGCATAAATTAAGTGGAACACTATTGCGATAGCCGTACTGCTCCACTTGTGAAAGCAAAACCTGTTGGGCTCTTTTTTGACCTCAAGACAATTATTATTATTGCCACATTGCCATACAGGACACTGTAAAAAAAAAAAAACAAAAAAAAGTCAACATTTTCATAATAATAGGGTCTGTTTCTGAGAACTTGGCTTTCCCTATGGGTTATATTTCAACTAGATATGTCCAGATAAATGATACAGTTAGAAGTATTGCTGGTTATACTGATTGGGCTTTGTTCCCCTATCCGTCCTGAATTAAACGGTGCAAGAAGGATATCGATACGATATATTATGCCAGACTTATGACCATTTGTTTAGGAACAACTTTCCCATTTATTAAGCAGGGATACGTGGAACTGCAGCAGCAGGGAGTCCAGTTCAGAACAATCAAGTGATAAACAATCTAGAAATTCCACAGGAAAACAAAATTAGTACAAAGTCATATTCAAACTAGTTAATCAGACAGACTATTTTACAGATTGGAATCTGGTTCAGTTAACAAAATCGATAAATAAACTTGAAGAACTCCGAAAAGCCAGAATACTCTCTAGTGGAGAGCTATTAATAAACTGCAGAGACAGCGCTCAGCAAGGCAAAGCTATAAGAATTAACAAGATTGAGGGGAAAAGAGTTCAGTGCAGCTTGTTGGAGAACTAAAGGATTAGCATGGGAGTCATTGAAGGAGCTCCATTAAAAGTTTCTGAAAAGCAGATTCTAGAAAACATAAGTGGTGCAAAAGTAAAAGAAGTGAAATGGTTAAAAACAACAAGAAACTGAGAAATGTGTGACAGCTTATCTGTGTTGATTAAATTTGAAGAAAAGCAATTACCCTGTAAGGTTTTCATTGGTTATATGAGCTACAATGTCAAAATATACAATCCTCCACCTCTGAGATGCTTCAAATGCCAAAAATTTGGTCATATCGCAGCAGTATGCAAAGCAAAACAGCGATGTGGAAGGTGTGCTGGAGAGCATGAATATGGAAAATATGGGAAAGAAGCTAAGATTAAATGCTGTGACTGTGGTGGAGAACATACTGCTGCATATCCCGGGTGTGAAGTGAGTAAAATATCGGAAGAAATTAGAAAAGTGAAATCTGAGCTTGGAATAACGTATGCTGAAGCAGCAAAAAGGATCCCATCCCAGTCAGAAAATCCCTAAAAACACTTCAACACATAGCAAATTCAAAACCTCTGGAGCAGCGTCCCAAAATTGAAGATTCATGGATTGTAAAGAAGAAAGATTTGGTTCTTTTCATGGTTGAAATGATCAATTGTAGTGCTCAGACGACAAGGCAAACCGAAACAAAATCAAAATAATAGTGAAAGCTGCAGAAAAGTATCTTGAAGTTAGAGATTTAAACTGGGAAATGGTTGAAAGCATGATGGGAAAACTGATAGGATCATCAGAAACTGGCAGAGTGATGATAACTTAAAGATAAATTAGAAAAAATGTGATTAAGTATTTATTATGTTGGATTCAGTTAAACAGTTTGGAAAATATAAATTTTTTTATTATTTATTTATTTTCTTCGGGTGAGTCTTCTTTCCCGTTTCCTTGTTTTACTCCTTATCAGTTGGTGGCAGTAGTGCACTTAAACTAGTTTGTCAACGGCCATAAAGTCTCAGAAGAAGAAGTTCATCATTTCATGAAATTTGCCTCTTTTTTATATCTTTCTTTGGAACTAGTTTTAGAATAAATTCTGCTTATTAGCTGTCTATCTATAAGCTTCTCTCTGTGTCCTTCCTCTGCTTCTCATGGTCAGGCTTGCACATAGGTTTGTCAATTGTCAAGCTTCTAAGGATGCTGATCAAATGACACATTTTAATTCATTTTAAATGTTTTTGCCACGTCTTTTCATTTCCACATATGATTTCACACTTTAATACTTATTCCGTACCATCTTCTTCAACATTTTACTTCCTATCTTTAAGCTACTCCTTTTATTTCAATCAGATACGATTCAAGTCTTTTTTTATTATTATTTATTTTCCTGTTTCTGCTATTTTATTAAATTTCAGCTTATTTTATATTTTTTTTTCAATTTGGATTTGATTCTGCTCTCTTTCTGGACAGGCATTATTTTTTTTCTGTTTGCTGCTATTTAACGCCATGTTTCTGCTGTTGGTTTCCACTATTTTTAGCAAAGTAATTAAGCATTTTTGTTTTCTCCCATTTCATACATTTATAGCAGTTTTTGCTTTAATTTTCAGCTTGTTTCTGCCATTTTAACTTTACAGCTTAAAGTTTAGCATACAGCATTCGAACTGCATTTTCACAGGAAATGCAACTTTTTCCAGTTTATATTGAATGTCAAATTCAGGCATAATAAATAATTCAGTTATTTGGATTATGGGTTAAAATAGAAAATTAGAGAAGCAGCAGGAACATTAAGTAATGACTGTGTTTGTAGTAAAAACACATGCCATCACCCCACCCCATGCAATGATGTTTTAATTTGAAATTTTCAACCAAAGAGTAGGCTTTCAAGATAGTTCTCCGTTTAAATGACCTCATCACACCATGTGTCAAAGTTAAGGCCCATGGGCCAAATCCAGTCCTTAATAGTAATTTAATTGGCACTAAAGGGTCTTAAAAAACAATATAATTCCATAAAAGTAAGGAAGAACCAGCATCACATGAAAAAAAGTTTTTATTTTAAAGAATTCATTGATTTTATTGTAATTTCACATATATGTGTTAACATATCTTAGACATAGACAACTGTTATTGTCATTTTTTATACATGGAGTTTATTCAAAAACGACACTTTGTTTAGTACAGCTTTTCAGACAGGAAATGAAAATGTCCATTCTATAAAGTGCAGCAGTGATCAGATATAAAGTGTGGGAGAAAAAACACGGTGCAAAAAATGCATTGGTATGGAAGTTCAGAGCATTAATATATATGGTGCAAATATGCAGTATTTTTTTTTTTGTTTGGTGTTATCAGTGTGATGCAGAGTCTGTTTTTTTCCAACATAGTGGTTAAATGTAAGATTGTTGTGGCCATTAGTTATCATAAACCAATCACATGTGTTTTTACAGCTTACAATAATTAGTAGCATTTTCTTGTGAGTTTATTTTTGTAATGCTTGTCATGATTTTTGGACTAGAAAAACTCCATTGAGTAGTTAATGTTTGTTTTCTAATATGAAATAAATACCAATACTGTTATAGAAGCAGAACATTGTGTTTTATCCCAACCCCGTAACATCATCAATTACCATCCATCCATCCATCCATCCATCCATCCATCCATCCATCCATCCATCCATCCATCCATCCATCCATCCATCCATCCATCCATCCATCCATCCATCCATCCAGATTTCTCCCATTTCTCCATCTAGGCTATCATTTTATCATTCACGCTCTCCATAGTTCTCCTGTGGCGTGAGCACAGGGCGACTGTTGCGCGCCTTTAGCGAGCATGCGCGTTTCCTGGCGCTTGCGCGGTGAATCGTGCCACCTGCGCTGTGCGGAGATGCAGGGGAAACCGTATCTGATGGGGAAACACAACTCGACATAACACCGGTATTTCCATCTGGAAAACGCTGTTTTGCTGCTGGAGTCCTCCTCACTCTCCATCTCTCTGTGAGTGCTGTACGTTAACACCCGCCAGCGGAAACACCCACCTACCCAACTGACAGACGGAATCTCACTATACATCAGCCATTCTCATCCTCCCCTCTCTCATGACAAGGCGCGCATAAGTCCTATCATGAAAAAAGGTTCATTGTGCGACCTGAGTAACGCGCAATAACGTCTGCAATAGTATCTGCGTTATAGTTACAGTCAAAGTAATTAGTTAGATTATTCGTTACTAAAACAAGGTAACAGCGTTAGTAACGCCGTTACTTTCAACGCCGTTAGTCCCATCACTGGTTACGACTTTATTCTCTTAGTATTGCGACTTTATTCTCGTACTGTTACGACTTTATTGTCGTTGTTAGGAATCCAGGCTGTGTGGGTTGTGTTTTTGTGTTTTCCCCCTCCACCACCAGGTGGCGCCCTGTTCTCATTGGTCCTCCCTCACACCTGCGGCTGGTTGGCTCATTACTGAGGACTTCTTAAGCGGTGGACTGTCACTACTTCAACGCCAGAGTGTTTGCCAGTTTTGGGTACTCTAGCCAAGCTGAGTTTAGCTGAGTCTTTGTTTCTCTGAGTCTAACATGGTTTTTGTCTCTTGCCTTTCGGCAGGAAGTCATCCTGCATACTGGATGTTTGGCCTCCCCCCCCTGGAAGGATTGTTTGAGCTTCACACTGAGCAGGGGATAATTCTCCACACGTCCCATTCTAGTTCTCCTGGAAATCTAAGTGGCAGTCTGTTCCATTGCTCCTCAGGAATCAACCAAACCAAAACCTGTCCGCCCTCCAACGGGCCCCTCTATCCCTGGTAAAACCCACACCGACTGGATTCTAGGAAGAAACCTTTTTCCGCAATCGTGAGTCCCGTTTATCTTTGTTTTTGCAAGACGTCGTTCAAAGTTCCCACGGACCCTGAACTAACCCCTGTGAACTTCCCTTCTCGCTTCCAGTTCCGGTTCAACAGCTCTCTGAGTTTCCCTGAATCCAACCCATATGAAATCCTCGATAAACCTGTTGAACTTTTACTCTGGTTCCTCTAAGTGGTTTTCTGCATGTGGGTCAGATCTCTTAGAACACCATGACACTCGTAATATTATAACTTTATTGTCGTAATGTTACGACTTTATTCTCTTAGTATTACGACTTTATTCTCGTAATGTTACAACTTTATTTTCGTAATGTTACGACTTTATTCTCGTAATGTTACGACTTTATTCTCTTAGTATTACGACTTTATTCTCGTAATGTTATGACTTTATTCTCGTGATGTTACGACTTCATTCTTGTAATTTTACGACTTTATTCTCTTAGTATTACGACTTTATTCTCGTAATGTTACGACTTTATTCTCGTAATATTATAACTTTGTTCTCGTAATGTTACGACTTTATTCTCGTGATGTTACAACTTCATTCTTGTAATTTTACGACTTTATTCTCTTAGTATTACGACTTTATTCTCGTAATGTTACGACTTTATTCTCGTAATATTATAACTTTGTTCTCGTAATGTTACGACTTTATTCTCGTAATGTTACGACTTTATTCTCGTAATATTAGGGCCTCGCCCTAATACTCCGTCGTAGATTAAGTATTTATTATGCTGGGTTAAATTAAACAGTTTGGAAAAGTATCATTAATTTATTTCATTATTTTATTTTATGTTTTTTTGGGGGGTGAGTCTTGTTTCCTGTTTCCTTGTTTAACTCCTGATCAGTTGGTGGCGGTAATGCACTTGAACTAGTTTGCCAACCGCCATAAAAAAAAAACTACAAGAAGTACAGGGGGGAAAAAGATAAGTTCCAGGTTTTTATCGTCATCAGACGGAGACGGATGTACTTAGAGAGGCTTCATCTTGGACTCCCGCAGCAGAGTAGACACTCTTTGAAGAATCTGTATGCTAGTAGCCAGATGAGGCTGCTGTGCGGCTGGCCGGAGGGGACTCAGTGGCTGGCATTCATCGCTCCTGAGATTTGGAATCATACTGAAGAACCATGACTGGAAAACCCTCCAGATTGGTAAATAAAAGCGATTTTTAAAGCATCTTTACCTCCGATCGATAAGGTTACTCCCTCAGTTCAGCTAGGTGACTAACAGCTGCTCAAGTTATGTTTATCTGATCATCTGCAATAGAAGCAGGAATAAAAAAAAACGTAGCGAAGGTTTTTAAGCAGATAAATCGCAGTGTTTTTCCTTTTTAAATTAGTTTCCTCTGTGTGACAGGCGGCTGTAGCGGGAGGAGCGTTTGATTCCTCCTGACCTGTCCCCTGTGTGAGTTTCCCTTCTTGCTGTTTAAGTTAAAGAAGGGAAAGAAAACATGTCCGCGCTCAGGTCATTGACATCCCTGTTATCTGGGGATCCATTTGTCAGCGCCAGAGACATTCTGTCCCTCACATGCAGACAGCGAACAAAAACAAGAGGTGTCCTTGGTTAGGACCCTCCCCTGCATCCTTCCCCGGTGTACAAAACAAACACACAGCCTGGATCTACCCACATAGATCCTCCTCAGGGTCCAGAGTTCACTTTCAGCTTCTAACCTCACAGATCTGTCCTACACACACCTCTATGGGCTGCCATTGGTGAAGCTTATCTAGTCAGATATTCACAGCAATGTTTGAAAAAAAAAAAACATTAAACATAAAAGAAAAAAAAATTACTATTACTTAATTACTTATTATATAATTCATACATGTATAAACATCACATTTTCCAACCAGACATTTACAGGGTTACAGGTCATTAAAAATCATTAAATTATCTTTTTTTTTAATTATTATTATTATTATTATTAAGGCTTTAATTGGCATTAAAATTCATTAAATGTGATTATAGTGGCATTTAAAATGCTTTATTTAAAAAAAAAAATATATATATATTTATACATATAAATTTTTACATGAAACTATTTGGTCAGAAATATTATAGCAGATATAACTCGTTCCATGTGTTTGCGTGGAACTGCTTCCAGTTAATCATAAAGCCGTAAAGTTCGGAAAAGAAGCTCCAGGCGAAAAAGATCTAGAATGGGGGGAAAATGCAAATTTCATCAAAAGTGGCTGAAAAACAATGAATTTGTGACATGGCTGCAGCCTGTCCACTGTACAGATGAAGGAATTTGCTGTATGATTAGTTATTCGTTCCTGTATAAACCCTGATTTAGTTAGAAATTTCAATACTTAATTTGTTTATTACATGCATTAAGTTATAAGGGCTAAATATTTTATTTGTCAGTGTTTGGTTGAGGTTTTCAGGACCCAAATGCAGAGGCGAGGAGGCAGAGGTGAGTTCTTGTATTTTAAATGGAGTTCTCACAGGTAACAGAGGCAGGAATTAAAAAATCCAACATAAAAATGCAAAACAAAGCAAAACCATGGAGACATCAGGGAAAACAAGCAGGGAAGGAGACCAACACCAGAGGGAAAGCAAAGAAAAACCTAATATATCCAGAAAACACCAATAAAGCGAAAAAACATGGATGAACGTAAAACTGAAAACTTAACAGAACCAAGACAGTCACATTAATAATATTTAAAATCTAGATGCTTAACTTAATTCAAAATTGCTTTCCAAATATTCCGTTCAGTGCTAAATACTTTGTATAGTGCTAAATATGTATTTTCCAATTAATTTTGAATTAAGTATCTAGCTTTTAAATATATTAGCCCTTTTACTAAATATTTAGCACTGCACTGAATATTTAGCTAACAAGTCAAATATTTTATTGAACTAGATATTCAATTTAATAAATAATGTAATTAACTAAGCGAAATATAACACTATACTACATATTTAGTTAGCAAGTTAGACACTTAGTTTACAAACTAAATATTAAACTTGTTAATTTGGTATTTATTTAGAAAGCAAAATCTTATACTTAGCTAAATATTTGCAAGAAGGTTCTGGGTTCGATTCCCGGCCCGGGGTCTTTCTGTTCGGAGTTTGCATGTTCTCCCTGTGCATGCATGGGTTCTCTCCGGGTACTCCGGCTTCCTCCTACAATCCTGAGCTATCTCTATAGTTATGCTGCTATATGTTTAGACTGCTGGAGGACATAAGGATCCCTTTTCATCATTTTGCTTCATTCTATCTCTATCTATTCTTCCACTCTGCAGAATCTGTTAGTTAAATCTCTAACACTATGCTCTCTCTGCTTTTTCTCATAGTGGCTTAGTAGATGTTAGAGATTGGCCTGTTTTTTCCAGTGTAGTCCTGTTTCTCTGACTGTGACTGGCTGGATGAGCTCTCCTCATCCTCTGACATGGGAGCTGGCTCGGAGCTCGTCTGCCTGGCTGTGTGTTTCCTGGACAGGGCCGCCTTTTACAGCTGCTTTTTGTATCTCTGCTTCTGTCTCCTTGAACCCCAGTCGGCCTCAGCAGATGGCCGCTCACATTGAGCCTGGTTCTGCTGGAGGTTTCTTCCTGTTAAAAGGGAGTTTTTCCTCTCCACTGTTGCTACAAGCATGCTTAGTGTGAGGGATTGCATTTGAGTCAATCAGTCGATGCAATCAACTGGTTTTCCTTTGATAGAAAATTTTGCATCAATTTGACTGTATGATCTGGTGAACTGCAAAGTGCCTTCAGATGACGTGTTGTGAATTGGCGCTATATAAATAAACTGAATTGAATTGAAAACTGTTAGGTTAATTGGCTTCTCTAAATTCTCCTTAGGTGTGAGTGTGTTTGCTTATGGTTGTGTGTCTCTGTGTTGCCCTGCGGCAGAATGGCGACCTGTCCAGGGTGGACCCCGCCTCTCACCCGTAGACAGCTGGAGATAGGCACCAGCAGCCCTCTCCCCTTAGCACTAAATTAAATATTTAGTCAGCAAACTATATCTGATTCAAAAACTAGATATTCAAAATATTTAAAAATGATTTTGAAAGCTAAATATTTAGCATTGTACTAGAAAACAACAGTTCAGCAATCTGCAGGTCCAGCAGATTCTGCAACAGCTTCTTCCCCACCGCCATCAGACTGTTGAAAAAAACACACCAAATACTGCATAATTGCACCATATTTATTAATGCTCTGAACTTCCATATAGATCACTTTGATCACTGCTGCACTTTAAGGAATGGAAATGTTCATTTCACTGCTAAGCTGCTGCTCTGAGGGCTGTATAGACAAAATTTTGTTTTGTATACAACAATAAAAGTCTAAGAAATTCAGCCAGCAAGCTAAACATGAAACTTTTGGACTAAATATTCAGATTGTGAAATGATTAATTGATTTGAAAGCTAAATATTTATTAAATATTTAATTTGGATATAGATATTTAATTCGCAAAATAAATTATTTCCTTTAATTGAAACATTAAGATTGCAACTAAATATTTTATTTAAAGCTAAAAACATTATTATTTCTCAAATAGATTTATTGTATATGATTATAAAATATTTGTTTTACAATATTTACTTGGACTTTTTAAAGCAAATATTATTATTTGACTAATTAAATGTTCAGTTTCAAAATGGGATGTTTGTTAAATATCTTAATGATATGGTGGAAAATATTACTGGGAATTTAAACCCAGTTTTTTCTTCTATATTTCTAAGTAATCCAAAATATAACTGTGGATAACCGACTAGATACGTTTATATACGGGACCCCATACCCCCCCCCTGGTTAACAGCTAAATAGACTGCATGTTATTTGGCTGCAGTTATAATATGCAGCCTCTCTGTTTCACTTTAGTTCAGATTATGCAATCATCATCTGACTCTCCTGAGAAGACGTCCGCATCAAACCACCAGATCCTTCAGCTCAGTCAGGTATCCGTCCCTTTTCAAGTCTCCTATTCCATGTAAGTCCGTCTCCTTGATGCAGTGGTGTTCTCCTTCAGGGCGGGGCGGCAGCGGGGGCTGCTGTGGAAGACCCTCCTTGGCCTCTCTGTCGGCCTCCCTGCAGCAGCGGCTGCAAAGTATGCCGCCTCAGAGCCGAGGCAGAGGAGGAAGATGAGGATTGTGGTTGAGGGATTCGGCCGTTTCTGCAGGTTGGTTTCATGCATGCAGGGTTTCTACCACAGGCGGTTCTAGATGGGGGCCGACAGGGGCCACATCCGGTTATAGCCCCTGTATTGAAAGTATACACTAACAAAAATAGAAAAAAGTGTGTATTTTTCCTTGATTTGAGCAGGAAAGTAAACATTTACTGTGTTATCCTCGCAGCATGTGACCATGTGAAGCTAGACAGCCAGAGAACAGCGTGAAAAAAGTTCTCCACGCAATCTGGTTTTGATTTCTGCCTTGCATTTGTATTTTGTGTTTGATTTTGTAAAAAGATCCACATCTTCTGTAGCTTACTTGCTGAAACGGGATTTTCCAGAGAAAAAAAAGACGTCAAAGATATTTTCAAAGTGAGAGCACTCACTACCTCGGGTATTTAACTTACAGCTCTGGCAAAAACGAGATGTCTCACTCTGATTTGTTATAAACCCAAACTCTTTTTAGCTGCTCTTTAAAATGGATTTCTTTAGACTCATTTCAAACTATTAACTAATTTATGATTTTATTTATGGAACTAATCCATGCCATGAATTGTTCGCTGTCTTTTGACAAAAGGCAGGACATATACAAGTGAAATAAGTAAAAAACAACTCCATTATATTAATTCGAATGGATGATTTGTAATGAACTTATTTTAAGTTGAAAATATAAATTTCTTTTCTCGATCATCTTATTTACCTGCTCAGTTTAAGGGAAAGATCTTTTTACTTTTTTTTTAACACCAAAGTCATTTCTTATGATGATTGATCAACTATTGTTTTGAGAATATAGATCATGATTTCAAGAAGTTTACAAAGTGTAAACTGATGTGACTGCATGGGCAGATTATTGCACTTATTTAGCATTAAATCTTCTTTTGCTGCTTATTCTTCTACTAATATTAGAAATGAAGAATATGTCGGTTTCCTCTGTTCAGGAGCTTTGGTCAGATTTCTGCTGATCAGGTGTGAATTAAAATAATTCCCAGTTCAAAAAGTGCTTCAGGCTTTTAGCAGCTTTTATTTTATCGCAGTCATTTTCACTGAGATGACCTCTCAGAGGCAGGGTGCTGTTATCAGTCTGCTCATTGGTTCAGTGATTTTATTTATTTTTTTGTCTAATTACGACTTGAATCTTTGTTGCAAAGTATTTCATCCACCACTAGATGGCCCCAGTGAGCATTTCCCGTTAATATTAGGAAGCAGGATGCCATGTTGTGTGCGCAGGTGTTTCTGCATGTTGGATATATTTCCTTCAACTGATGTTCTTCCCACTTTACATCCAAAGTTTCGATCGATTTACCTGATGGGACGCCATTTTTTAGACTTACGCCTGGGGTAACTTGTGTAAAAAAAAAAAACAAACAAAAAAAACTTGACGTAACTTATGTAGCAAACGTGACGCAAGTCGTGCTGCCCAGCGCTGGGCTGGCCGACCCGGATTCAAATCCGGTCCTGGTCCTTTGCTTCATGTCTCTCCCCCTCTCTCAATGAGGCGGCTGTCCCTGACCTTGATCCTCGGCCCGTACCAGTGTTTTAGAGCCAATAGTTCGACAAAAACTATTAAAAATAGGTTGATAATTAAAATCTTTCCTCAACGATTTCTATTTAAAGTTTTTTACCAAACCTTTGCTCTAGTTTTTGTAAGAGAATAAATAAGATCACGAGCCGTGCCTTTAATTCTGATAACAGTATGGTCTGAGTTTTGAGTCTTAGATGGAAATATTTTAATTTCATGTGTAGAAAATGGAGACGATTAAAAGCATCTAGTTAATCTTTAGTGATTAAATTTGCACTCCTAAAAAGTTAAAAGTTCTGAACTGAAAGCTACAAATTCTACTTTTTTTTTTTTGTAAATGTATTGATACGCTGCTTAAGGTTTCATAGTTTGGAGTTTATACAAAGAATAAACAAACGGATTTAAATAAAAGCTAAAAGCTTTTGGTTGGATGCATAAAGGAGGATTATTTCCTGTAGGATCAGAAACACAAAGTCAACTAGAGATGGTGGAAAATGTCTCTATGATCAAAAATGCTTTTAACTTTCACAGAAATGAACGTCAACTAATATTTACTGAGCTCCTAATAAAGCCCAGTTCTGCTAGAAAAGTGTCTATTAACAGTCCACAGGTCTGGGTGTTTGATTTAATCACCATGAAAAGGACTGGAATACCTGATTAAAAAAAAATGATTTGGATTTCTGAGTGGCTGCAGTTCATAAAATCACCAGCAGAGGTCACTATTCCCTTTTCAGTTGTTTCCTTTCTTGTTGGTTTTGTTGGAATAAAAGTGAATAATTGAATGAAAAACCTTTTTGTAGAGACATTGGGATAGAAAAATATAAATTTGAACATACAAATATTATGATGAATGACGTGTATAATGGTTATATTTTAATTTAGTGTGTAACTTTACTATATGTATAAAGAAGTTATGTTGTTTTTAGTAGTTGCTGTGATCTGAAGTTATCTATCTGGTTCACACTGGTGTTTAAACTACAGCAGGATTAAAATCTGATATAAAAAGCTTCTGGAAATTAGGATTAATGATCAGATTTGTGCATTTGGACCATCTGCCCCCTGAGAGGCGATCTATTGGTGGTAATATTCACCAATAGAGTACAACATGTCTACCTACTGAGGATAGAAGGATGAGGACATAAGCAGGTTTCCAGATTAGCATGTTTGTCAGAAGTTTTCTGTTGTCCAAACCCAAAATAAGCGGCTGATGTTTCCAGGTCTCTGTCAGTGGGGATCTTCATCTCTGTGGATTACTGGTGGACCACCAACGTGGCTCTGCGAGGGATGGATGAGGTAAGACGCATGGAGGTGGATTCCACTGCTGCTGATGCTGCTGAGGGCTGAGAGGACCCGTTCAATGATTCCTACTGACTGAAGGGCTATCTTCTTTAAAAAAAACCATTAAACAAGATCAGAGTCAGTTTATTTCATTAAGATTTGAAAAAAAAAAAAAAAAAAAAAAAAATATATATATATATATATATATATATATATATATATATATAATATACAAGACATATAATATACAATATATAAACCCATTTACTGATTAGAAAGTTCTGCGGAGAGAGTCGATGGATGTTTGTAGTTTTCCTCATAGTTAAACTTCAGCTACAAAGTGGAAAAACAATCCTGGAAATCACGTCGTAGGATTTTTAATGAATTTATTAGTAAATTATGGTGGATAATAATTATTACAGACCTGTTGCGTCTTCTTATAGAAGCTCTTCTGTCCTCCACTTGTTACCAGCGTTTTGAGCAGCTGAAGCAGCGCGTCGTGAGCTGTAGAGCAGCTGATGCGCAGAACGCGCTGCAAACGCAGCAGCAAACTGAACTTTAGCTGCTGATACAGATCACTATGATCACTCCTCTGAAACAGTTAATAAACGCCTAAATTAACTTAAAATGCTGAAATCTGCTGGGAAAACATGTTTGCTTTTATTATCCTGGTTCTTGCAGCGGACATGAAAAACGCCTTCCAGCTGCCGCGGCAAACCGCCAAGAGGCAAGTTGGCCTGAGGCTGCTGTTGAATGGGATTCCTTGTGACAGAGTCACTGATCACAGCAAATATAGCTGCCATTGTTCCAGGCAAAGACAGGATAGATTAGCTCCGCCCAAAGTGCATCAGATCCACTTTTCCACCGCGCAGCCAGAGCAGCAGAGATGCTTCAGCCGCGCGTCTAAGCAAAACTTATACAAGCATCAAAAATGAAGCAGCACGCGCGTTTCTGCTGCTCTTGCTGCTTTAGGTGTGAACGTAGCATAATAGTGAAAAAAGTGGAAATGTTGACGTGTTCCTGCAGGGGGCAGCAGAGCAGGCCAGAGTCTGGTTAAAAATGTGACTGCTACTTTATACAATCGATCATGTCAGACTCCTGTCGCCCCCCCACCCCCCGCCAGAGCAGCCCATCCTACATGTCAGAGATGTCAGCCTGCCACCAGCGGGCGGCGGACCACATGGTGGAGGGAGCCATCAGGAACGGAGGGCTCTACATCAAACTGGGCCAGGGGCTTTGTGCCTTCAACCACCTGCTGCCCCCCGAGTACATCAGCACCCTGCAGGTCCTGGAGGACAAAGCCCTGGACAGGCGGTACAAGGAGGTGGGTTCTGCAGGACACGCCGCGGCAGAGGAGACCTCCAAATGCAGCGTTTTTGGTTTTTTTAAGCACGTGTTTGTCTGGAGCAGGTGGACGCTCTCTTCCTGGAGGACTTCAAGAAAACCCCAGAGCAGCTTTTTAAAACCTTCGACTACGAGCCCATCGCAGCGGCCAGCTTGGCTCAGGTCCACAAGGCGGAGCTCCAGGATGGGACGCCTGTCGCCGTTAAGGTGAGCCGCGTGAATAGCGCCGCAGCTTCCTCTCATCTCCACAGTGGCGGTTCTAGACCAAATGTACCAGGGGGCCAGGAGGGGGCCAGCGTGTTTTCACGAGGGCAAAGAAAAGCATGAAATAATAAACAGGGCAGGGATTCAGATACATTAAGAGTAAAATTTCTATTCAATTAGGTTTAATTACAATTCTGTCTTATTAGGTCAATTTACATTCAGAATTTGGGAATTTTTTATATTTTTAGTTTAATCTAAAGTCGTAGAGAATTGGCCGTTCCAACTGTTGGATTCCGTAATCTCCTGAGTGGTGCACGACTTTACACAAGTGAATAAAGTGATTGTGATTGGTCGTTTATCAAGAGGGTGGGACTGTTGTAGCGGAAGGTTCGCAAGCAAGTTTGATTGTGGCCGGTTTGTCTGAAGATTCTTGCTAACCAGTTAGCAACTTAGTGCTAGCAGGTTCCCAATGGGAAATTCCATTGGGACCAAGTAGCACTAAATTGGTGACTTAGAAACGACACTGTCAAGGAACGCTATGGACAGAGGAAACATGCAAGAGGAGGAGAGTTTTGTTGGAGGTCGTGGATGAGTCTCCTCCGTCATACATTTTTTATTTAGAGGAGGAAAGCGGGGACGAAGATGTTGTGGAAGAGGACACCAGGGCGGCAGAAGCTTGGTTTGGTGTAGAAGGCTTCCAGCCGTACATGTTTGAGCCCTTGCCTCGCAACGCTGCCAGTTCTGTTAGCTCTACGCCTGCTGAAGACACAGACGTCCATCCCCGTGAACACTGGGACGGACTCAATGGGAAAGGAAATGATTCTTATTTCTTATTTTAACCGTTGCGTATATTAGCTGCGACATATGAATGAATTGACAGATGACCGTTGATATATGATTGGCTGAATTTAGCTGACGTATAACTAACTGCCCTGCATAAGATAACGAAAAAAACCAAACAGATTTTAAGACAGGATTCTTTTTAAATAGAAATTTTCTACATTTTGGGACAGTATCGTCTGATAGGAAGTACATTTATATACACGTTTAAGCCAGAATGATTTGACATTTAAATATGATTTCCCTACGACTTTAAGTTAAAATGACCATTTTCTATAAAATCTGAATTAGAGCTCAAGAAAAACTGATGAATTCAGCCATAAAAAGTTTTGTATTTTTTTTTGTTTGCTTTGAAAAATAAATAATTTAGGAGATGAAAACTGGGATCCTATCTCAACACCACTGAAGCTATCACCTTATTGTTTTTAAATGATTAGTAAAACAGAATTGGTAAAGAAAAAACATAAATAGATCCAAATGACCTGTCAGTAACCATTTCTATTCCAGCGCATATCACCATTAGAATTTCTTTGAGTATTATGTCTTCAGTCCAGGGGCCAGGACACGATCTACAGGGGCACTGGCCCCCGTCGGCCCCTGTCTAGAACCGCCCATGCAGCTCCACCTGACGTTGTGATTTCGGGCCCTGCAGGTGCAGTACATCGACCTCAGGGACCGCTTCGACGGAGACATCCGAACCCTGGAGATCCTGCTGGATGTCATCAAGTTCATGCACCCTAGCTTTGGATTTCGATGGGTCCTAAAGGTCAGCTGACCTCTCTGAGAGGCGCTGCTCCTCCTCTGTCTGCGCTGCAGTTCTCACTCTGGTTTCTGCAGGACTTAAAGGGGACTCTGGCTCAGGAGCTGGACTTTGAGAACGAGGCTCGGAACTCGGAGCGCTGCGCCTCGGACCTGAAGCATTTCCATTTTGTAGTCGTACCCAAAGTCTTCTGGGAGCAAACCAGCAAAGTAAGCTTTCCTGATAGATAAAAACATCTCTCCTGCATCACCAGCATGGTTTATTTATCTGTTGTTTTCTTGAATAAAGAGGGTGCTGACGGCGGAGTTTTGCAGCGGCTGCAAAATCAACAATGTGGAAGAAATCAAGCGGCAAGGAATAAGTCTGAAAGATGTGAGCTGATCTCTCTGCGTGTTTAATGATTGTTAGAATAGATGCAGCCGTGCTCAAGACCTACTATCCTGCAATTTTTTGATGGGCCCCATTTTGAACAAACACTTGAACGTGATTATGAAATGAACTAGAATGGGAGGCAGATCTTTTAGTTATCAGGCTCCTCTCCTGTGGAACCAACTACCAGTTTTAGTCCGTGAGGCAGACACCCTGTCTACTTTTAAGGCTAGGCTTAAAACTTTCCTTTTTGATAAAGCTTATAGTTAGAGTGGCTCAGGTTATCCTGAGCTATCTCTATAGTTATGCTGCTATAGGCTTAGACTGCTGGACATAGGGACCCCTTTTTTATCATTCTTCTTCATTCTATCTCTATTCTCCCACTCTGCAGGATCTGTTAGTTCAATCTCTAACGTTCTGCTCTCTCTGCTTTTTCTCATAGTAGCTTCATCTTTTCTATTCCTGTTTGGCTGTGACTCCATCCTGGAGAGAAATATCAGCTTTGCTGCTGCCATCAACACCTTTGTTTATAGATGCAGGAGATCGGCCTGTTTTCCAGTGTAGTCCTGTTTCTCTGACTGTGACTATAACTGGATGTGCTCTCTTCATCCTCTGACATGGGAGCTGGCTCAGAGCTCGTCTGCCTGGCTGTGTGTTTCCTGGACGGGGCCGCCTTTTACAGCTGCTTTTTGTATCTCTGCTTCTGTCTCCTTGAACCCCAGTCGGCCTCGGCAGATGGCCGCTCACACTGAGCCTGGTTCTGCTGGAGGTTTCTTCCTGTCAAAAGGGAGTTTTTCCTCTCCACTGTCGCTACAATCATGCTTAGTGTGAGGGATTGCATTCAAGTCAATGAGTCGATGCAATCAACTGGTTTTCCTTAGATAGAAAACTTTGAATCAGTTTGACTGTGTGATCTGGTTGAACTATAAAGTTCCTTCAGTTGACGTGTTGTGAATTGGTGCTATAGAAATAAACTGAATTGAAATTGAACTTGAATCAAATGAGTGGCTCGTTACCATACCTCTGCTGAGGTAAAGGAGCGGATCGAGCCTTTCGATTCAGGTTCGTTAGAGAAGAGATGCATCTAAAGGTTACAGGATGGTAGCTCTTGAGGACTGGAGCACCTCTGGAATAGAGTATTTCATGATTGAAAGACTGAGTTTGTGTTACAGACTGCAGACAAACTGATCCGAATATTTGCGGAGCAGATCTTCTACACAGGCTTCATCCACGCCGACCCGCATCCTGGAAACGGTCGGTACAGAACATCTTTGGTTGTTTGGAAGCATTTTTCCTCCTTACTGGTTAAAGGAAAAGTCCGGTCAGCAAGGAATAATCAATGGATCATTATTTATACCTAAAACTAATACGTTCTGTGATTTAATGAATTTAGTGTTAATCAGTAAAAAAATAAAAACATTGTTTTCGTTGTGATCACGGAGTCTGGGAGCTGCCATTTTTGACTAGATATAGTAGCCCCTCCCTCCTGCCATCTTCCAGCAGTGACGTCACGGTGCGGTAAGCCTAGCGCCATTCTCCCCGCTTTACAAGCAAAATCAATGGGAACTACTAGACACATCTGCAATCAACAACAATTATTGAAGATTTCCAGAGGACTTCACCATTGAAATTCACCAGAGCTATAGTGAAACTGACAATGCCCACGTGCATGGCAGCTGGATGTTGTTATACATTGGGTAAAAGTGAAAAAGAAAAAAATAGTTATTTCATCTTTCCGATTCCCGATCCTCCACTGACGGGTTCGGCGTTGGATTGCCAACTTGAAGAGGGAGGATTTGCCATCGAACTTCTGGCATACTCTCTGCTTCGCATCGTGCACTGGTCGCCACCATCAGGGATAATAGCGGGTTGTGACAAACACCAGATACAGCACTGGGACTTGCTGAACAGCCGATACCGCACCGTGACGTCACAAACCAGTAGGTGGCAGCAGAGCATGCGAACGGAGCAGAGCGCAGTGCAATTCCAGCTGCCTGCTCATTCGCTCCCGCCGCTCAAAGTTGCGCCAGGACGTTTTACTCAAAATCCGCTCCACGCTCACCTTAATTATCCTGCCGCTGCGGCGAAATCAATCCACGCTCGCTCAAATTTTCAGAAGACATTTTCTGACATTTACGTGCCCTGAGACACACAGCATTTGATTTAAAGGAATAGTACACCCAAAACATGATTAGCCTTCATTTTCTACTCACCCCCATGCTGAACAACACTCTGGAGTACTTTTTTGATATCTCAAATGCATCTGGAGATCTGGGAGGCTTCTTGCTGTCTGCTGACATTCAAATAATGGAGGTCTATGGCGCCCGAGGCAGAAAGGTCCATAAAAGTCCACAAAAAACGTGTCAATATTCCTCCATACTGCTCGTCCAATGTATTCCAAGTGTCCTGAGTGGGTAGCATCCAGAATTTACTGGAAACAAAGTCATTTAGAATGTTTTTAGAGCATAAACAGTAGTGTATAGGATTTCCTAAAAGCGCGTTCACGAGTCTACGGAAACCGCGACAGACCAAACCAGCGCATTCAGCTCAGCAAAGAACTCATGCTCTTCCTCAACACTGAAGTCCTCAGACATTTTTCTTTCGTTGTTTCTTTCTTTGCACAGGTAAACAGCACATTTCTTCTTCTACGCTTGCATTATCGGCAGAGCAGACGCTGAATGCGCACTTTCATCTGGTTTGGTCTGCCGGCTTCCGTAGACTCGTGAACGCGCTTTCAGGAAATCCTATACTCTACTGTTTATGCTCTAAAAACATTCTAAATGACTTCGTTTCGAGTAAATTCTGGATGCTACCCACTCAGGACACTTGGAATACATTGGACGAGCAGTATGGAGGAATATTGACACGTTTTTTGTGGACTTTTATGGACCTTTCTGCCTCGGGCGCCATAGACCTCCATTATTTGAATGTCAGCAGACAGCAAGAAGCCTCCCAGATCTCCAGATGCATTTGAGATATCAAAAAAGTACTCCAGAGTTTTGTTCAGCATGGGGGTGAGTAGAAAATGAAGGATAATCATGTTTTGGGTGTACTATTCCTTTAATGATGTGACCCATACGTGTGTATCATCTTACTTAACTGGCTGTTAAATTATCGCACTGTTTCCCAGCTGCTAACGTAACGCCTCGCTCCATTCATGTTGCCCTGCGTTTCCTATTTAATTATTATTTATTTTACTAGACTGCATTAAAAAACGTCGCTTCGCATCCCATTGCTAATGAGATAATAGCGTATAATGCATGGATGCGATCCATTTTCAAAAACAGGCTCTTACCACAACGATCCCTTCATTTAAACCCGATCTGTATTAGTTAGTGCATGTTTTTATGATATTTTATCACACAATATGTAATCCTTGTCTTGGTGATTCCGTGGTTAAGTTGAAACATGGATTATAACAGATTATAGGCACAGACTACAGCATTGGCATAGGTTTTAAGTCAAAAATTAAATAAAGTCGGAGCGAATTGCGAATCGCTCACCTCAGCTTACATGCTCTGGGTGGCAGTAGTGTTCTTTGACAAACATGGACGCATCCAGTAAAGCACATTCAAATGAAAATTACTGTTAATTAAAAACATTTATAATTTATTGAACAATATTTAATAATTTCATATTTATAATACTTTCAGAAGTTTGAATTCTGAATATAACCGGACTTTTCCTTAATCATCCAGATTGATGCGCTCATCAAAGGTGGAAATAAACGTCCTTTTTATTTTATTCTCTCTGGCAGTTCTGGTGAGAAAAGGTCCAGATAAGAAGGCGGAGCTGGTGCTGTTGGATCACGGCCTCTACGAGTTTCTCAGTCAACAGTAAGAACCGAACACGTCTGCTTCCCGTCTGCTTTTGATGTAGCTCTGACTGTGACCTCTGACCTCAGCGACAGAGAGGCTCTGTGCAAACTGTGGCGGGCCGTCATCCTGAGAGACGAGGCGGCCATGAAGCGGTACTCTGACGCTCTGGGGGTCAAAGGTAGCCAGAACTTTTTAACGGCCTCGAAACGGAGCGGCGGAATATGTGTGTTTAATTCCATGCTTGTCCTCTGCAGAGTACTTCCTGTTCTGCGAGATGCTGCTGCAGCGCCCCATCAGCATGCGGACCTTGAAGCTTTCCAACATCCTGAGCCGGGAGGAGACGGCCTACATGCGGGAAATGGCGCTGAACCGCTTCGAGAGCATCATGCAGGTGCTGAAGGCCATGCCCCGACCCATGCTGCTGGTGTTCCGGAACATCAACACGGTCCGGAGCATCAACATCACTCTAGGAGCGCCGGTGGACCGCTACGGCATCATGGCCAAGAGGTCAGGGGTCGGAGCGTGGCACGGTTTGGGCGACCTGCCGCCAATAAACCAGGGCCTCGTTTTAACCAGACTTCCGCTTTCTTTAAAGCGCGGTTCGAGGCTACGGGAAGATTCAGGCGGAGAAGACGGGGATACTGCCGCGGTTACGGATCATCAGCTGGTGCAGGACGACCTGGGAGAGCCTGAAGTTTCAGGTGGCCTTAAGGTGAGTTCTCTTTCAACATTGGTTTCTGTAGTTCGCTATGGGAACCGCCCCTTCGCTTCCTTCTTTCCAGTGAGGTCTCTAAAACCTCTTTCCTACTGAAATTAATGGGTTAACGCAGGTTTTCAAACACGGGTCAATCCGCTAACAATCGGCTTCAGTCTAGTTTTAGCAGGAATTAAAGTATTCCAGCCCCACGTCGGATTTTCGGCTCCTAGCGATTTCCCGTGGGTAAAAACAAAACAAAAAAAACCTTCAAAATAAATTAAACTAACAGTATTAGCCAATCAGAAGAAGAAGGGAGCTGGTGTATATCTATATATGTATAGATATATATATCTATATATACATATATATAGCTGGAGTCTAAAGACCGATACTACCGTAAATCCTCTAATATAGGACGGGGCCTTTATTTCACTGGGGTGCATCTTGGTCCAGGCCATTATTGGAAGGAGGCCAGAGTTAGAGGCATCAAATTTCTATTTGATCAAAACAGACGACCAGTGAAATGAATAAAAAACAGATTTTGTGTCTCTTTGAACCTATAAAATATTAGGTTAATTTATTGAAAAAGTACAGTTACCATAACGGTATACAGAACATTATTAACAAATACCGGTCATTCAGACGTCTTCCAGCAGCTGCAATGTTTCTGCACGGCAATACGAAATAGAAAAAAAGCCTAAACAGAATGGAATCTTGGCCAAACCGACTTATGAAACATTTTAAGAAATGGAGCATTTAACCGACACTGTTCTGCCATCACAGCTACATTATATTTGACGTATCCTGAGTGGAAGTAGGGTACCGATATCTCAAGGGAAATTCAGAACAATGAAGGCCAACGGATTAATTCATAAGATTCATAACAGAAGGCAACTTACAGCTTTAGACACATTGCCGCTCACTCATATTGTAGGTAAAACAACAAAAAAAAATCCTCCAATTCTGTTTAATTCTCTTTCACAACCAACATGGTTGGTTCTAATTATAGCCCCAGCCTGTATAAGACGGTGAGCCCGGCCATTAGAGCCCCGGCCGCTAATGGAATACAGGCCAATATTAGAGGATTTATGGTAAATTTTGTTCTCCTGTGTCTTTATATAACATCCATGTTTCAAAAACGTTGGTTGATTCATTAAACATTAGCAAAGTTTTTGGCCAGCCAGGCTAATTTACGGTGTCCATTTTGGGCCTGAAGGGAAGACCTGACTTCAAAGGTTGTCCGTGGAAACAGATTAGAACCAATCGGATACTGAAAGACGTGGCGTAGAAACGAGTTTCTTTAGAAATGAAAAGCTCTTTACAGCAGCCGATGGTTGAAATGCTTTTTTTTTTTTCTTGGAACATTAAGACACAGCATCATTACATCGATGCCCCCTTGCAGCTGCGATCTTGATACAGAAAAGAGCCATTGCATTATGGGCCCGCCTCCTGCGCTGTGATTGGTCCAATCCGTTTTACAGCTTTCTTCTAATAACTTCAGATAATAACGAAAGTAGCTGCAAACAAAGGACAAAATTATTCAGAAAAGGTTTTAAATGTCAACATTAGGATGAAGAGGAAAGTTTTTTTTTTTTTTATCCAAACTTTTCCTGGTTTTAAAGCTTGTTTTTTTTTTTTAGGTCAGAGATGGCCATCATGAGTCTGACCAGGACGTTCCTGAGGCTGCTGGAGGTTCTGGGTCTCAACACTCTGGACGCTGAGGTGTACAATTACCTGACGTAGTGCCGCAATGAAGCACTAGGGGGAGCTGTTCCAGATACACAAGGAGATGATGCAGATTTTATTGTTTTTAGCCAAAAAACATTGAGAGTCGGGATGAGGAGATAATCCAGGACACCTGCCTGCCACAGCGACTGACTATCCTGTCATTTTAGGATTTACTGTTTTCTTTTTGTTTTGTAAAAAGCAGAAAAACATTGAAAGACAAATGGAGTTAAATTTGTTCCATTATTGTGCCGAGAACATGTTTTAGGAATTAAAGAAGAAAATACATTCCAGGGAAAAAAAAAACAAAACAGGAAAAAAAAGGTTTTAGATCAACTTTGCAGTTTTCTCCCAGTTATTTAGTATTTTCAACTGTTTTTTAGATTTTACTTTTCCATTCATCCATTTTCTCCCGATTAGTCCTGTCATGGTGGGCCATCTCCAGCTGTCTACTGGCGAGAGGCGAGGTACACCTGCACAGGTCGCTAGTCTATCGCAGGGCAGAAAGACTCAGAGCCGGGAATCGAACCTAAATCCTCCTTGCTGCAAGGCAGCAGTGCTACTCACTGAGCTACTGATTTAACTTTTTCAAATTTTAATTTTGTTTCTTACAGATTTTAATATTACCTTTTTTTTTGGACAGATTGAGTTTTATGAACGTTTTCTTTTCAAATTGCGTTTTTCATGTTCACACATTTCCCTTCAACTCTAAGGCTACGTCCACACCGCAGCCTAAAGTGACCCAAATCCAATTTTTTGGCCCATATTTGACTGATATCTGATCTTTTCATGGCAGTCTGAACAACATAGATCCAACTTTTCCAATCCCACCCAGGCTGCTTGGCTATGTGGTCCTGAATCCGATACAAATCTGATCTTTTCAAATGCCACCTGGGTCTGAACGGCCAGTTCGCATCCATCCAACCTGGGCGCCATTAATACCTGGAAAAAGGTCCCTATTCCGGGTCTGCCATGAAAAAGTGGCAAGAAAAACAACAACCATGGCAGACGATGATGCGGAGAGCAGTATTTATGTTTAACCATCTTGAAAATGCTTTTATGGTTGGGAAAGATCGCTAGATGCGCTCTGGCACTACCATCCATATTTACTTCCGTAAAACACAGAGCACGCTGGCCTGTGACATCATTGCGTCCTCTACTGTGCACTACTTGCGTTGTATGAATTCAGTTCACACAGGAGATCACATAGAAGTAGCACATATTTAGAAATGTGAACAGCAATGCAAAAAAAAAATCGTATTTCACAAAAAAAAAATCGGAATTTGGAAATTGAGCATCAAGGCCTGCAGTGTGAACGTAGCCTAAGACTGGTTCTCAATATGTGTACTTGTGCGTGCTCGTGAAACGTCATCAGCCTCAGCCCTAGTACTGTTCCAATTCACAACAGCAGACCAAGAGCGAACAAAAGTCCCCGAATGTTGTTCTCGTCCCCTCCTATTTACCCAGCATGCATCAGAGCAGACTTGTCCGTTCTTGAGATTGACAGCTGTCCCAGCATGCACTGCTGCAGCAGCAGCTTCCAATAGAGTATTCCAGAGTATTAAGTTGAAAGTTCACTTTTCTGTTGTTCAATTAAAGTAGGTTTTACAATCATTTATCGCGAGAACATTTTACTGAGCATCACTGTATGGCTCATTTACTGATTTAATGCGTGAATTTAAAAAAAAAGTTCTGATGTTGAGAGGACCGCAGCAACCAGCGGACCTCCAAGAGTAACTGTAGCCGGGGCTAACGTTAGCCCGTCTGCAGCAGCCCTCTCAGCATAGCCGTGTGTGAAGGACTGCTTGCTCTGATGGCAATTTTTTTGGGAAAATGTTCATTTGATTTGTGTTTACCTGACTGTGTTCATTATTATTCCTCCAATAAAAGAAAAAAGTCAGAATTTATGATCTAGAGACTATTAACAGGTGAAATGCAGCTGCAGACGAGCCGAGCCTGTGGTGACGTCACAAGTACGCTTCTGTTCTAATTGACCCATATTTATGTTGCGTGCTCCCGTTCTCACCACAGCCAGACTTTCCTGTGTTCTTAAGAACATACTTTACGAGTCCATACTCATGTTCTAGGGAATTGAGAGACGGCCAATACAGAATGCTGTTGCTGATGGCCATGCAGACCAAGAAATGCCTTTGCTCCTCATTCAAGAGGAGATCCTGACCAAGAAGTAAAGAAAAAGTAATCTGTAAAAAGGTGATTTGTAAAAATCAATTATTTTTTAAAAAGCAAATATAAAATTTTGGAGAAAAAAAAATCGCATCAAATATATAAAAAACAAATCGGAGAAAACAGCAAGGTTGTTTCAAAATCTTTTTTTTTTGTTGGTGTTTTACTTTTTTCCCTGTATTGCATTTTTCTTCATTTTTACAAAATATGCTCTCTGCTTCTAAAATAAGGGAACAAAATTGACTCCATATCTGAGCCGAAGAACAAGAAGGAAATATTTCCTGGAATCAAAGTTTGAGGCTCTATAGATCACAGCGAGCCAGAAGGCTTCGCCATTAAAGGAACTATAAACTACATGGAAAGTTTGTTTTATATGTTAATAAAAAGTTCTACCTCTGTATTTATTTATCGTCTTCTGCATCAATGAAGCGCAACTCAGAACGATTGTTTTCTTTTTTTAATACAAAATATTCTAAGAAAACAAGATGAAGCCGTTGGATAAGAAAAAGCACAAAGATGGCTTCCAGATTGGAATGTGAGGGAGGCTCAGAAGTGAGCCGTCACTCGGTCGATTTCCAGAAGATCGTCCAGGATCTGCAGAGAGGAGAGAAACGTGTGAAGGAGGAGGAGATGTGGAGCGAGGAGGAGAGGCGGTGCGTCTCAACTCACTATGTCCTGCGTTGTTCCGATCTTTTTGGCCAGCTCGCTGCGCTCCATGGTGCTGAGGTAAAGGTACTTGCTGAGGAGGTCTCCATCCAGGACGTTCCTCACCGCGTTCTGCAGGCTCCGTCTGTCGCAGTGCATCATCCTAGAGACAACAGGAAGTGATGCGGACCGGGTTCCTTTATTCTGAAAAGGTTATTTATTTTTGCTTTATGTTCGAACCTGTAGGCTTTGGGGTTGAGCCCGGCATAATGAGGCAGCAAGGTGTTGAGAGCGTTCTGCAACATCAGCAGGCGGCGGTAGGTCTTCTCCGGCATGGGGAGCAGCAGGCCGATCCCGCCGTCCAGGGTCGCTATGGCAACAGAGTTTGTATTTAGGAACCTGAATCATTAAGTCTATTTTTAACAAAACTAAAGGGATAAACGCAAATCTGACGTATTGACTGTAACTATGCTGGTCTGTCGGGGTGTGCTGGTCTGTGTGGGTTTGCTGGTCTGTCAGGGTATGCTCGTCTGTGTGGGTTTGCTGGTCTGTCGGGGTGTGCTGGTCTGTGTGGGTGTGCTGGTCTGTCGGGGTGTGCTGGTCTGTGTGGGTGTGCTGGTCTGTGTGGGTGTGCTGGTCTGTGTGGGTGTGCTGGTCTGTCGGGGTGTGCTGGTCTGTGTGGGTGTGCTGGTCTGTGTGGGTGTGCTGGTCTGTGTGGGTGTGCTGGTCTGTCGGGGTGTGCTGGTCTGTCGGGGTTTGCTGGTCTGTCGGGGTGTGCTGGTCTGTCGGGGTGTGCTGGTCTGTCGGGGTGTGCTGGTCTGTCGGGGTGTGCTGGTCTGTGTGGGTGTGCTGGTCTGTCGGGGTGTGCTGGTCTGTGTGGGTGTGCTGGTCTGTGTGGGTGTGCTGGTCTGTGTGGGTGTGCTGGTCTGTCGGGGTGTGCTGGTCTGTGTGGGTGTGCTGGTCTGTGTGGGTGTGCTGGTCTGTCGGGGTGTGCTGGTCTGTCGGGGTGTGCTGGTCTGTCGGGGTTTGCTGGTCTGTCGGGGTGTGCTGGTCTGTCGGGGTGTGCTGGTCTGTCGGGGTGTGCTGGTCTGTCGGGGTGTGCTGGTCTGTCGGGGTGTGCTGGTCTGTCGGGGTGTGCTGGTCTGTCGGGGTGTGCTGGTCTGTCGGGGTGTGCTGGTCTGTCGGGGTGTGCTGGTCTGTGTGGGTGTGCTGGTCTGTGTGGGTGTGCTGGTCTGTGTGGGTGTGCTGGTCTGTGTGGGTGTGCTGGTCTGTGTGGGTGTGCTGGTCTGTCGGGGTGTGCTGGTCTGTCGGGGTGTGCTGGTCTGTGTGGGTATGCTGGTCTGTCGGGGTGTGCTGGTCTGTCGGGGTGTGCTGGTCTGTCGGGGTGTGCTGGTCTGTCGGGGTGTGCTGGTCTGTCGGGGTGTGCTGGTCTGTCAGGGTATGCTGGTCTGACAGAGCACCGTGTTCTGAGCTCCTACCGAACCAGGAGATCTGCTTGTTGTCCCAGGTCAGAGCCTTCTTGCTGATGGAGTCCAGCGCTCCTCGGCACGGCATCCTCCAGAGCGTGCTGATGTGGGCTCCCGCGTTGAAGTCGGCGCGCCTCAGCAGGCGCATTCCTCCGAAGCTCTCTTTAGCTGCAAACACACACAGAGTGACGTAACTCCGACCGCTGGTTCATGAGGGCGGAACTACGATAAATCGGCGGTGAAGGACCCACCTTCAGGCAAATACATGTAAACGAACAGGTTCTTGTCCCGATCAGATACTGTAAATAAAATAAGGAGAAATTGAAGCTCAGCGAGGCAGAAGACTCCATGGAAACATGATCCACAGCTGATGAAGGACGTTACCTAGGAAACCAAGCTGGTTGTTGTCCACCAAGAACTCGACGCTGTAGACCTCTAAGGGCTTCGCATCCTGTTCAACCAGAAAGACACGAGTTCAGCTCAGCAGGTCAGAACCAGATGTTCTCTACGAAGCCCTGAAAGCTGATTGGTCGGTTCAACAGAACCAGGTTCTGCTGAACGGTCCAGAGTTCTGAGCGTCTAATGAAGAAATATGAATGTTTGTAAAGAGGAATTAAAGGGAGAAAAACCATCACCGGTTAGAAAGGGAGGGAGGGAGGAAGGAAGGAAGGAAGGAAGGAAGGAAGGAAGGAAGGAAGGAAGGAAGGAAGGAAGGAAGGAAGGAAGGAAGGAAGGAAGGAAGGAAGGAAGGAAGGAAGGAAGGAATGATTGATTAGAGGAAGGAAGGAAGGAAGGAAGGAAGGAAGGAAGGAAGGAAGGAAGGAAGGAATGATTGATTAGAGGAAGGAAGGAAGGAAGGAATGATTGATTAGAGGAAGGAAGGAAGGAATGATTGACTAGAGGAAGGAAGGAAGGAAGGAATGATTGATTAGAGGAAGGAAGGAAGGAAGGAAGGAAGGAAGGAAGGAAGGAAGGAAGGAATGATTGATTAGAGGAAGGAAGGAAGGAAGGAATGATTGATTAGAGGAAGGAAGGAAGGAAGGAATGATTGATTAGAGGAAGGAAGGAAGGAAGGAAGGAATGATTGATTAGAGGAAGGAAGGAAGGAAGGAAGGAAGGAAGGAAGGAAGGAAGGAAGGAAGGAAGGATTGATTAGAGGAAGGAAGGAAGGAAGGAAGGAAGGAATGATTGATTAGAGGAAGGAAGGAATGATTGATTAGAGGAAGGAAGGAATGATTGATTAGAGGAAGGAAGGAAGGAATGATTGATTAGAGGAAGGAAGGAAGGAAGGAAGGAATGATTGATTAGAGGAAGGAAGGAAGGAAGGAATGATTGATTAGAGGAAGGAAGGAAGGAAGGAATGATTGATTAGAGGAAGGAAGGAAGGAAGGAAGGAAGGAAGGAAGGAAGGAAGGAAGGAAGGAAGGAAGGAAGGAAGGAAGGAATGATTGATTAGAGGAAGGAAGGAAGGAAGGAAGGAAGGAAGGAATGATTGATTAGAGGAAGGAAGGAAGGAAGGAAGGAAGGAAGGAATGATTGATTAGAGGAAGGAAGGAAGGAAGGAAGGAATGATTGATTAGAGGAAGGAAGGAAGGAAGGAATGATTGATTAGAGGAAGGAAGGAAGGAAGGAAGGAATGATTGATTAGAGGAAGGAAGGAAGGAAGGAAGGAATGATTGATTAGAGGAAGGAAGGAAGGAAGGAAGGAAGGAAGGAAGGAAGGAAGGAAGGAAGGAAGGAAGGAAGGAAGGAAGGAAGGAAGGAAGGAAGGAAGGAAGGAAGTATGGATCCAAGGAAGGAAGGAAGTATGGATCCAAGGAAGGAAGGAAGGAAGGAAGGAAGGAAGGAAGGAATGATTGATTGATTAGAGGAGAGAAGGAAGGAAGGAATGGTTGATTAGAGGAAGGAAGGAAGGAAGGAAGGAAGGAAGGAAGGAAGGAAGGAAGGAAGGAAGGAAGGAAGGAAGTATGGATCCAAGGAAGGAAGGAAGGAAGGAAGGAAGGAAGGAAGGAAGGAAGGAAGGAAGGAAGGAATGATTGATTGATTAGAGGAGAGAAGGAAGGAAGGAATGGTTGATTGGAAGGAAGGAAGGAAGGAAGGAAGGAAGGAAGGAAGGAAGGAAGGAAGGAAGGAAGGAAGGAAGGAAGGAAGGAAGGAAGTATGGATCCAAGGAAGGAAGAAAGAAAGGAAGGATCCAAGGAAGGAAGGAAGGAAGGAAGGAAGGAAGGAAGGAAGGAAGGAATGATTGATTGATTAGAGGAGAGAAGGAAGGAAGGAATGGTTGATTGGAAGGAAGGAAGGAAGGAAGGAAGGAAGGAAGGAAGGAAGGAAGGAAGGAAGGAAGGAAGGAAGGAAGGAAGTATGGATCCAAGGAAGGAAGAAAGAAAGGAAGGATCCAAGGAAGGAAGGAAGGAAGGAGTTGTGCTCAGCTGCTCTCACCCTGCTGACCAGCGACAGCGTCTTGCTCTCCTCCTGGTAGCGCAGCAGAGAGATGCTCTTCATCAGGTCGGCTGCCAGGATGAAGTTCTTGATGCTGATCATCTGGTGGATGTAGAGCTGCGTGTCGATGAAGGCCATCCCCGTCAGGTCGTTGTCCTTCAGGACCCACAGGAAGATCTGCAGACATGGAGGCTGTGAGGCGTCCTGCTATGCTATCAGTGACTGGTTAGTGGTTCCCTGGTAACGCTCAGTCAGGGTTACTGTCAGGCGACAGCTGCTCCTCACTACACATAAGATGAACAGAGTGTGTGCTGTGGACCTTTTGGCCGATGGCTGACACCAGGTATCCATGGCAATGGCACAGAGCCGTCACGGGGCCCTTCTGCTCCTTCTCATAGAGCACCTTGAACTTGTTCTTGGTGAGCGGCTGGCCCGGTTCTGGGACCACCTCGATCACATCCAGGATCAGAATCTGAACACAAACAGACTTCGTTAAGGACATGGAAGCATCGGGGCTCCGTCCGCAGAGGTAGGGGCCACTCACCCTGCCCCTGCAGGTCACCTCCTCCCCCTGCATCACACAGGTCCCTGCTGCAATGTAGCCCTTCAGGCCGGAAACCGTCTCCTGACTCCTCAGAGCCACGGTCTTCATGCAGGTCACATGTTCCCACTCCTCCAGGTCGATCCTGGATGACATCAAAGCTCAGATCAGCCTGGTGGCTCCATGAAGGCCTCAGAGGGAGGGTCTGATTTACTCAACTGATTATTAACCATTGAAGGAAACATCACTCCTGGCATAAACCAGCTTATCATCAAGGAGTAAATCAGTTCATTTCAAATGATTTTAGTCGTTATTCTTACAAGCAAAGACAATTTTATACATCTAAAATATAAAAAAGGCAACCCATCCTTTATAAATAAAACTAGTTTGAATCAAAAAGTTTTTTTTTATTACAGATTTAATATTTTCTCTTTTCCAGATCAAGTTCTGCGAATCTCTTTTTCACATTCCCTTTTTCATATTCCCTGACGTTGTAGGGGCGGGGCTTCAAACAGATTTGAAAAATAAAACTAAAAATATCAAGTTTTATTTCTTTATTGCATTTTTTATTTTAAATTTACAAAAACTTGTTTTATGTTAATACTATTTACAAAAGATTTTTTTTTTCACTTGATTATTCAAACGTTATTTTATTTATTTTTTCAAATAGCTCTTTCTATTCCATTTTCCGGATCACATTTTCTCCACTTCTTTCCTCTGGAGTGAAGCTGCATTTCTATTGGGCTGAGAGGCCGTTAGCAACAACATTGTATCGGTCAGAGGTCAGAATGTGATCCGTGAAACACAATATGAATAGAAAGCAATTTATAAAACCTACCGTAATCTGAAAAAGAGAAATTTAGAAAGAGAAAAAATTTAATATAAAATCTGTAAAAAAAAAAAATAACTTTAATAAAAAAGTTTAAAAACAATTATGAAAAAAGCTTTTCTGATTATGCAGTTTTTCAAAGTTTTAGTTCGGGATTGTATTTTTTTCGCTTCAATTTTTCATTTGTAAATAATGTTCTTTGCTTGCAGCTACATTGGAGTAAAATTCACTCCATATTTCATCTTGTACGTGAGTGAAGCAGTACAGAGGACAGCAGACGGACACACTGTCAGCTGACAGGGTTTGTTTTACCGTGTGTTGGGGATGGTCTCCCAGCTGACAGGAGAGATGAGCTGGATGGAAAACTTCTCTTGCTGAGGGTTAATGTAGCACTCGTCTAAAGAGAAACAGGAAGATAAACAGGAAACTCATAAACTCACTGATTTAAATGATTTTTTTTAAATAAACACAAAGGAGTAAATACAGAGGAGAGGACAGGATGAATCTTTAAGATAAAACATTAGAATGTAGATTTAATGTCGCTAACAGAAAGCAGTCATAGTCTGTTCAGTATGCGAAATAAAATTGTAATGGGTGTGCAAGTGAAGAAAAATGCTAACTTGTTTTATAAAGGCTGATGCCTTCAAAAACATCAGTACATCAGAATAAGAGTTAAAGGGTTGTGTAAACCAACAGGAAGTGTGTTTTCTCCAACCTCTCTCAATGGTTTCAAACTCCTTCTCCTCTCCCGTCATTCTGGGGATGCGGGTGCACAGCTCTTTCACACTCGTGCACACTGCGTACACCTGGAAGCCAAAAGGAGGAAAACAAACTTTAACATCAAAGAATGATCTCTCTTTAGAGTCCATCAAATGTTTTCTGCTCTTTGTAGAAAGTCAATCTTCAAAGTCAGAGTTCCTTCAAGTCAAACCCTGCTGGTTTCACCCTGCTTCAGGTTAAAGACTGTTGAATTCAGAGCAGAGGGAGAAAGCTTTGCCTTGGATTCGACGTGGTAGGAGACGTAGTGGACGGTGCACCTCAGGGGGATTTTCCTGACGGGCCAGGGGGCGTCGTAGGACAGGTAGGTGGGGAGGACGCTGATCCTCAGCTCCCCCTGTGGAAGAATGGAGGCCAGGTTAAAACCCCACCAGTAACGGTAGGAATATGGAGATGTGAAATTCATTTCTAGACATCCAGAATGGGATGTTTAGAAGTGGAGAATGTCAAGTTGTTGACTGACAAAGAAAAAATGTATTTACATTATAATACAAACCAATAAATATCTAAACAGCCTGCCATAGCCTGCTGATAACGTTACAGAGGAAACTAGATTATTTCTTGATTGGTAGTAGATCAACGGATCTATTTAGGTGAAATCATCTGTCAGCGGGTGATTCAGCACAAACATAGCACAGTTGATTGACACTAAATGTATTTATTTTTGCAAATGTGAGCAGGACCTCTGGAGTGGTTGACCTCTGATGACCCCTGGAGAACATTTGTCTTTATATCTTTAAAATGATAGGAGCACAAATGAATAAAATGATTGCTGCACAAACAGCACAAACATTTTACACCAATTTTGTCTGATTTCATAAAAATGGGGGGGCTGATTGACCTTTTGACCTTTACCTTAATATCTTCTAAGCACAAACAATGTTTTTTCTGCACAAACCAGCACAAACATAGTCACGTTAATTGACACCCATATCATCTGATTTGAAGAAGGTGGGGGGGCTGGTTGACCACTAGAAAAATTTCTTTATATATCCAAAATGATAAGAGCACAAATGAAATTTTTTCCTGCACAAACATTTGACACCAATTTTGTCTAATTTGAAGAAGGTATGGGCGCCATTTCACTCATGTTGTTCTAACAGGTAGGACCTGTGCATCATCTCATTGGGTTCCTCCTCATTTTGATTCTGTCTTCCATCACACTGTAAACACTAAGCTGCTGTTTGACTCTGCAGCTGTTTCCTATTAGGCTGTTATCACACATCAGTTACCATGGCAGCGCTCCAAGGCAGCGTCTCTTAGAGTTTATAAAATTTATTTTAAAAAACAAGTGAAATGTTTTAGAGGCTGTATGTCTAAATTTAAAACTTATTGTTTTAGATAAAACCGCCATTAAATCCTCTTATACCAATTTTCATATTTTCAAACAGCTGAATTAGTCTGGATATAATCAATCAACAGAGAAGAAGAAACGCTTTAAGTGAAAAATAAAAACTGCTGAATCAAGCTAAATTTAGGCCAATTTAACTGAACTTCCTGTAATTAAAAAAGCTTGATTAGTAGTGAAGCGGGCTTTATCTACCTGCTTGTTGAAGTAGAGGAAACCTTTGGGACAGTTGATGTTGTGGAACGGAGAGAAGGACTCGATTGGCCCGTCGATGCTCATCGGGTGGAGCCTCAGAGCTCCTCGTGACGTGACGAACATCCAGTGAGGAGACGGGCCGCAGATAAACACCTGGACCAACAACGGTGGCAGAGAGTTATGGCTGGACGCCATGAAAAGAGGTCCATGGATGTTCTTTAGAGATCTTAAACGTCTTACCCCTGAGTAACCAGAGATGTCTTCGAAGTATCTGAACCTGGAGATGTGACCCTTCGTCGGAGGGCCCTCCTCGGCGCCGCTCTCCGCCTTCTTGTCTTTCCTCAGCTTTGATTTCTTTTCTCTGAAGTTGATGTTGTGGTGCACCTGCTCAGAGGAGGGAGACAGAGAAGCTGTGAGCTTTGACCTCTGAGAAGACGGCGGCTCGGCTGCTGCATCGTACCTTTTTGAAGCGAACTTTCAGGTTGTTCTGTGGCTGCTGCTGATCGTACGGGAACGCTTCGTAGATCAGAAGCTCGTTCTCCACGTAGACCTGAGAAACACCAAGAGGATTTTATGGCTTTGTTTTGATTTTACTAAACAGCGGATGAAAAATGCTGGTGAAGGTTGTCAGTCATCCAGGTCATCGTCATTCCAAAAAAAGAAAATTCAAAACAATCCACTGGACTTTGTTTCAAGTTTAAAGACGTTTCACTTCACATCCAGGAATTTTTTTCTATTCAAAATACAAAATGCAAATTAAAATGTTGAAAAAGCTTCCTGGATGGGAAGCAAAACGTCTTCAAACTTGGAAACAAAGTCCATTGGATTGTTTAAATTTTCTTTATTAGAGTGGATGAAAAACTCACCAGTAAATACGGTCTGCTGCGAATGTTGCCCAGAGACACCAAGGCGACTTCTTTGATCACCGGGAACTCTCCCTGTCGAGCGACTTCCTCCTTTTTACCATCCGCCTGCGTGGCCGACTGGCCAGAAGAACTGTCCACCAGCACCCGCTGACCTACTGGGAAGTTCTTCACCAGGAAAACCAAGCGCCAGTCTGGCAGCTGGAAAATCTACAAATCAAAGACCAGAGAAACTTTGACCTGCTGCCTGAAACTAAAAGAAAACTACTAAAAAAGAAAAACCATGAAGGTATTGATTATTTTCCTGGTTATTCATTTATTGTTGTAAACAATAAATGTTATTATGACACAAACACCAAACGGTATGAAGCCTCTTCTCGTCTTCTTCTTATTTACTCCATAATTACTGATTAAAGGTTTCAACAACAAACACAAGAGAGTCAACTGCAATTTTCCTGTTTTATATTAAAGGTATAGTGAAGAATTTCCACAATTTTTTTTAAAAGAACCACCCTCTTCACTTAAAAAAAAAATGCACATCCGCTACCCTGTACCCGCTCCCGAGAGGGAACGCCTATCAAATGTGTGAGAGAGCATGCAGGAGCCCATTTCTCCGCCTGCGCACTCTGTTTAAAACTTGCTGTTCCCATATCAATACGAGCTAACTGTGCCCAAAAGTCCGATCTCACCCCTAAATCCCTCAAACACGATATACAGCGGGGACTATATAGTGGACTTTATAGTGTACTCAGTTAATGGTGTTCCTCTTTACTTAAAGGGGAACACAGTTTTTTTTTACATCAGGCCCTTGATTTTTATGTTATTACATCATGTTCTACTCACTCATATGAGTTTTGTGTCATTTGGAGCCGCTCTGAAGATATTCCATTATATCCAAGTAACGTCTTCCTATGGGCAACGACTTGAACACACAAACTAAACTGTTCATAATTTATTCTTTATGTTACGCCAGCATTCATAAAATGTAAACGAATCACTGTCCTCCAGACATCCGCGGTTATATTTTTAGATTTATATTTTTTTTAAAACAAAGTGGGGCGTGTATGATGTCATCCGTACGCTGGACTGGAGTTGTAACAGTCAGCCCGGGCCACAGGCGGCTACGCTCTACCCCTTCTATTCATTAGGCTAGCTAATCTGAATCGTTCAATTCCATTTTGAGATAATAGATTATAATCAGAAAAGTGTTTTGTTGTCCTTTATAGGTCTTAGAAAGGAATCTGTATCGCTCTATTTCTACCAACAAACTAAACTTTTGATTTAAATAATTGCCCTATGATGGACTGGCGACCTGTCCAGGGTGTACCCCGCCTCTCGCCCATTAACCTCTGGAGATAGGCACCAGCACCCCTCGTGACCCCACTCGGGACAAGCGTGTAAGAAAATGGATGGATGGATAATTAATGTATGTATTTGATTTCTAAAACTACTAAAATGAAAAAAAAAAAAAAAAAAGAAGATGAATGAGTTTAGCTCCAGACTTAGCCGTCAGCTTTAAACGTCTCAGGTTTAGAGGGAGGGCCTACCTCCATCACCCCGTTGTCTCTGATGATCACACACCAGTGGGACGGCTCTGCTTTGCCTGAGCTCCCTTCGCCGCTGTTGCCTGCGGGTCCCGCTGAGTTGCGGCTGGTTTCCTCCTTTGAGGGCTGGTTGGTGCTGGACTCTCCGTACAGCATTTCCTCCTCGTCATCCACAGCGTTGCTGCTCAGACATGAAACGTGAAGATTAAAGCATAAACAGGAGATCTAAGGGGCAGATTATACTTCTGCAACCGCACATAATCAAATGTTGCTTGCGTCTGGTCGCGAACCCGTTTTGCTGGTATGCGTCTGCACTAGGGCTGCAACAACGAATCGATAAAATCGATAAAAATCGACTTTTAAAAGCGTTGGCAACGAATTTCATCATCGATTAGTTGTGTCGCGCGATTATTGCGTCATCCGCCGCGCCGTCATCACTGCCTCTTGACTGAAAGAGGAAGAAAAAAAAATATGGCAGAGCGAGTCAGCGCCGCAGGAGCAGTGTTGCCAACTCAGCGACTTTTCAGACCCCTCCAGCGACTATTTTTCAAAAAAGCGACTAGCGACAAATCTGGCGACTTTTTTCGGTGTCACTGGCGGCTTTTGGAGACTCTTACGTGAAAGCATGTATCATTCCTACTCTGCCGTGGGGCGCCTCCCCCCGCTCCCGCAGGAGTCCCTCTCAGCTGCATTCAGAGCCTCAGCGTCCAGACTGCAAATGAAGCGCGCATGCACCGGGATTGACGGCGCAAATTGATCACAATAATTAAAATAGCCTGCGCTTTGTAAAGCGAAAAAAGTGATAACATGCAACTTTTTTCAAAAGAAATTAACATGGCACGGAACCACCATGTTTGTTTGGTTTTAAAGTGGGGACACGTTACGTTAGTTTCTCAGGTAGCTCATCTGATGCTTTCCTTACCTTGTTAGTAGGTCACAGACAGTGAGAAGGTTGGCTACTTATTTTACCTTTAATTTGATTTCAATTAGCTTAAGCAGCGTTTACATTTACTTTATAAATAAATTAACTTGCAAATTATGAGGGCAAGGCTTTTAAAGTTTAAATGTTCTGGCAAAGATAAAGTAAAGAAGATCCTGCAATTTATGGAAGTAAAGCAGAATAAAATCCAGCAAGATCAGTAATATGTCAATTAATTATCTGCCACATTCCCATGTAAATATCTGTCTTTGGAGGATGTGTTTTTTAGCACCCCTAGTTCTCTCATTTTTATTCCAAATACAATTTATAATTTGAATCACAGGGCTATTTTTATCTCTATGGTTCAGTATTTTCTCAAGTAGCAACTTTAACTGCTATACTTTCCTGTCTTAAAAGGCAGAACTCTTCTAGTCTAAAAAAAACTCATTTGTTGAAATGGGGGGGCCTATTGTTTGAACCCCTTAGAGGCTTTTAAAAACAAAAATGTCTTTTTTTGCGCTTTATGAAACAAAGTACCCTATATTTTGTGGATGTACAGCTACATTTCTCATGTAAGTTTGCGTAGTTTTAACACAAAAATGTATTTTTCATATTGCACCAGTACAGTTAATGAGCAACCTGTACTTGTGTGCTTGTTTGTTCTGTCTAAAATGTTTATTTTGGAATAAAGAGGTTAATATAAAAAATATTTTTTGTCCGATTCATCGATTAATCGAAAAAATAATCGTCCGATTCATCGATTTTTAAAATAATCGTTAGTTGCAGCCCTAGTCTGCACCGTTGGTCTGGAATTTCTAGGGACGCACAGCAGTTTCCCGCCAAAGCGCTCAAAGCCTATTCAAGAACTCGCGAGAACTTCGGCGGCGCTGCGGGAGTATTTATTTTTCAAAACAACAATGACGCGTCTGCAAGATATCGAGGTCACAGAGATGGATCTAGAGTTGCTAGACATCAAAGAGGAACAGGTTCTGGCTGATCTCCCTCCAGAGGACCTTGGCATCTTTATATACTTTGTCTAAGTGGTTGTACTTCCGAACCTCCTCGATTAACCTTTCGTCATAGTTGTACATTGTAGTTGTTCCTTGGTTTTTAAAAATGGCACGCCCCGGCACCGAATCTAGAAGGACGACCAAACAGACAGCCTGGAAAGGCATACCAAGGACCAAACACAGCTGCTTTTTGTCCACGCACTTCCGCTTGAGGTCTGCGCGGGTTTGCAACCATCCGACACGAAGTCAGGAATTATTTGAGGTGCAAGACGACGGTTGTAGAACCTCTGAGCGGGGGGCGTGGTCGCGCACAGAGACAGATTGGACAGTTGCAGAGGCTATGCGTCAGAAGCATAAATTGGCCTTAAGAACGCACTGACAGGTAGCCTGATAAACCAGACTAAATGGGAGATGAAAGGTGTTATTTAGGCTGGCCCCGATAAAGGAGAAATCGGAAGATTGTTGATGAGAACAACCTGTTGTTTTTCAAAACATGTCTGTTGTCTGTGCCTATTGGCCAACGCTCTGACCAATGAGCGCAACTGACTGTGATGTAATAAGCGCGACAGGAAGCTGGTGGGGAAGCGTAAACAAACAGCGTGTCAGTAAAACGGCAAATATGTCCTTCTTAAAAATGAATGAGCGTAGAGCTGATTCTAAAGCTGAGTCAAAAATCGCCATCAGAGCCAGCCGTCCTTCACACACGACTATGCCGAGAGAGGGCCGCTTCAGACGGGCGAAGGTTAGCCCTGGCTGCCGTTAGCTTCGGAGCTCCGCTGGTTACAGCGATCCTCTCAACTTCGGAAATAGTTTTTTTAATTACGCATTAAATCGGTAAATGGACCATATAGTGACGCATTAAAGTATAATATTCTCGCCTCAAATTATCTTAAAATGTACTTTTATTGAACAACAGCAACAGAAAAGAGAACTTTTAACTTTCAATGGAGTGCTCCTTTGAAAGTTGCTGCTGCCGCAGTACATGCTACTGTTCAATAGTTGTTGCCATCTTCCTTGTTGTGCTTTCTCCAGCATCGGGCAGCTTTGTCTCCACGCCGTCAAAACCCCGCCCGCTTTGCATCCAGACATTCAAAACACATCTCTGCGTTGTGATTGGCCCACCAGTTCTAGGGCCTGAGGCATTGATCGAGGCTAGACAAACCCACAGGCAAAAATAATCTTGGCCGCTGGTGGGTGGGGCTAGTTTACTAGGCTAGCTGACAGGGCGATGGGAACTCATACCTGAGGTCCTGGTAAACCGTCTCCTCCTCTGAAAGGCTCCTGCTGATGAAGTCCTCTTTGGTGGAGGAGCACGTCTTGCTTTCTGTGGTGAACATGCCGCTAACATCTCGGTACGCACACAGAGCGATCACACGGGATTGCTTTAAAAAAAGAACAAAAAAAGATCTTAAAAAGGTATTTGATACAGAGGCAATTTGTAAGAAAAAGAAATGTAATATTGCAGTCTTCCCAGCAGGGAGTGCTCTTTTTAACGCTCTTTCAGCCGCAGGGAAATAAAATATAGCGCGCTGCACTCACGGTGGAAATCTGTGGTTTCTGCAGGGCCAGTCGGTGCGTTTTCCCCATGTAGGAGTCGCTTTTCAGCACAAACATGGTGACCACGCCCTCAGCCGTCATGATAACCACGTAGGGGTCGGCCACGGAGCAATGCACGATGGGAGAGCCCAGATCCACGGGGATGAAGTGGAGCTGTTTCACTGAAAGCAGGGAGAGGATAAACATCCAGATCTTCGATTTGTGCAGGAATCCTTTAAAGAGGAGCTGATTTTACCTCCTTCTAGCAGACGGAGGCCCATGGGTGAGACCTGGATGATGTACTGGTCATCGCCGATGTTTCCAGCGAACACCGTCGGCCCCTGAGTAGCAAACCCACTGGTGTCCAGCTCCATTATTTCCTGACCTGTCTGAAGAATCTGCAAGAGAGCATCGCAGAGGAACCGTCTGATTACGCTTCGCTAGAGACGCAGTAGAAAAGAGAGAAGAAACAGTAGCGTTCGTCCTCTTACCATGGTGGAATCCTCTCTGCTCAGGATGAGAAAGCCATGCCTTTTGGAGTCGTCCTCCAGGGGGCGCTCCGTCTTCTCCTCCTCTTTCTCTGGCTCTTCCTTGTCCTTCTCTCCCTCTTCCCCGTCCTCCTTACCTTCTGCCTTCGCAGCGTCGTCCGACTCGTCGCTTTTTAAAGCCTAGAAAGAAACAGGCAGCAAAAGGTTTTTTTTTTTTAATCAAAATCATGTCATTGCCAGATTACTAGTCATAGTTTAAAGTCACTCTTAGGCTACGTTCACATTGCAGGCCTTAATGCTCAATTCCGATTTTTTTGTGAAATCGGATTTTTTTGCGTGTCCGTTCACACTTCCAAGTATATGCGACTTGTATGTGATCTACTGTGTGAACTGAAAGCGTTCAACCGAAGTGTCCCGCATGCGCACTCGAGGACGCGATGACGTCACATGTAGCAAGCGTCCTCAGTGTTTGCGGAAGTAAACATGACTCGTAATACCGCAGCGTATATTGCGTTCTTTAAGTTCTTCTCCAACAGGAGCAGGCACATTACGAACGAAATCTTTTTAAGAAGATCAAAAAGAAAGAGAGCCAGATTTCTTGCAATGGCGTTTTGTGGGGCAGTAATAGAAACGTCCGTACAGAGCTTTCACTGAGCTCTCCATTGACAGCTCTCTGTGTTATCTTCCGCCATGGTTGTTAGTTTTTCCCACCTCCGCTTAGTAGGACGCAGATTAGTAACGTTTAGTAACATTTGTCAAGTATCAATGACGTGTAGGTCGGATGAATGCGACCTGGCCGTACAGACACAGGTCGCATTTGAAAAGATCAGATACGTATCGGATTCAGGACCACATATCCAAGTGGCCTGGGTCGCATTTGAAAAAATCCGATCTGTGTCGTTCAGACTGTCATAAAAAGATCAGATACAGGTCACATATGGGCAAAAAAATCGGAATTGGGTCACTTCAGGCTGCAGTGTGAACGTAGCCTTAGACTAAAACCGCGAAGCATGGCTGAGCTAAATTCAAGTGTCAAGCCTTTAACCCTTTATAGGCACTCAGTGAAATACTTTGAAAATCTAAATTTCAAGCCAAGTTTTATTTGGACCTTATTACCTTTGTAATATAAAAAAAAATATGGATATTTTGATGGCAAAATTTAATAAAATAATGTAATAAAAAGAAACGCCAACTTGCGAAAATATATTAAGAAAAATAAAAAACTATTTGGAAGGGGTATGCAAGTGATCAAAAACGCTAACTTTCCCTATAAAGGGTTAAAGGCTCTGGAATTCCTTTTAAAAAGACCCTAAACCTTCTGAACGTTCTGAGTTGAATGCTTTAGTGATTGTATAATTTTTATCCAGTTTTAGACAGGACACAATATCCTCCGTCCAAAAGGTTGAAGATTTAAACGCCCAGAAAGCCTCAGTCCGTGCTGAACCAACCAACCTTTTTGTCCTCCTTGACTTCACTGGAGACAACAGTCCACATGTCTTGGCAACCAGGCAGTTCGAAAGTGGTGACCACCTGAGGCCGAATGCTTCTCTGTGGTGAGAATAGAAACAATAAGTGAAATGAAGCCGTTTAAAAGTGGGCGGATGGATCAGAGGGAGGCTGTATCTGGGGTGTTTACAGGCTGCTCCGTGGATCTCTGAGGCAGCCCTGGTAAACCCAGACTTTACTTTAGCACCGTCACAGGACCTGTGGCGGACGGCCCTCGCCGCCACAGGGTTTCAGGACGGTGCAACATTAGAGGGATTTGAAGCGGCACGCGATTTACCTGGAGGACGGACAGCGCACCGTTTTTACCGTGACCGGAGCAGACGACCACCTCCAGGTCAGGTTCAGGGTTGCTCTGGAACTGTACGAAAGAAAACAAACGTTTTATTTTAAACAGTCTGTTTTATTCTGATGACTTTTGGCGTTGGGATGGTTAGATGTGCGTTTACCTCTTCGGAGAGGAAGGCAGGCTCCCCCATAGAAGCATTGGCACAAGGACCGATGTTCAGGATGCTGTCACACACCTGCATTGAAACAGAAAACCTTAACAGCAAATGGGATATTGTTATTTTTTTCCTTTTCCTGTTTGTGTTATTTTTTTGGTAACAGAAAAATTCCTGGGGTTGAACCTTCTCTCCATTTTAACCCTTTAACACTGAATGTTCCTTTTTAAACCGGTTCTATTATGGAAGGTTTTGGCTGAAAACAAATTAGGCTTCGGTTGTAAAAACTTCTCAAAACCGATGAACAAAATCAGGTTAAAAAATGTGCTGAGACATGTGCTCCAGATGAAGATAAAAGAAAGATATGCTAAGCTAACACTTTATGTTTTTTTAAAGAATTTCGGGTAGGGATGGGAATCCAAAACTAGTTCCTGTTCTGAGCCGGTTCCGTGTGTTCCAATTCCATGGCACCGTTTGGAAGCTCGCTTAACGATTCTCTTAACGATTCCAGGCAGCAGCAGAGCCTAGCGCTGGGCAGCACGACTTGCGTCATGTTCTTTATGCAAGTTACGCACATGGCATTCAGTAAGCAAGACAAAACAAATAAAAAAAAATGGCGTTTCATTGGGTAAAGCGATTGAAAGTTTGGCTTCATTTTAATAGGGTGACCAGAGGTCCTCTTTTTCCCGGACATGTCCTACTTCTCAGACCTAAAAAAATGTCTGGGGGGAATTTCAAAATCACCTCGGATTTTGGTCGACTACAGTGCAGCACGTAGTCCAAACAGGGAGCCAGGGCGGGGGACGGAGCGACCAAACCTGACCCGGTAACGGTAGCCAGGACAATGGTAGCCCTGTGCTTCCCACCACCTGCCTTACTGGTCCCCAGCCCCCTTTCTCCGCCTAAGGACGGGCGTCTCATGGCTCTGCTGAGGTCCGGTCCAGTCAGCGACCCAGTAGTCGACAAAAAAAAAAGTGTCCTTTTCAGAAACCCAAATCTGGTCCCCCTACATTTTAAGGAAGAGAAAGATGGCAGCAAGGCGCTTTGCAATCATTGCAAAGTGGCAATTACATCCACGGGAGAAAATGCATCCAACATGGAGAAATACCTGCACACATTTTAACGAATGCCGCGTTTTTAATGCTTCCAAACAGAAGCTAAAGTTACGACCAGCATGGAAGGCAACTCCTAGTAAATCATATGCTATTTCTGGTCATAAACCATTTTTCTATCTATCTTTGAGGCTATTAAAGAAGTGTGCCTTTCTCGTTAATCCAGCCCTTAATTGCTAACATGTTTAATTAGAACTACTGGTAGCTGGAAATTCCTACATGATTCTAGTTATTGGACATAGCATGTTTTCTTACAATGGATGTAAAGAAACATGCTATAAAGTTGCTCTGCAGCTCAGGGAGCGAGAGAAAGGTGACACTCGTTTGTTTCAATCAGGGGGGATGAGTTTATTTCCCGAAATTGTACAGTAATGCTTTTTCATTAAACGGATGCCTTCTCCATTCGATGACTGTGACGAGAATCGACAAGAGAATCGAATTGTTTCAAAGAATCGATAAGGGAATCGGAATTGTGAAAATCTTATCAATTCCCAACCCTTATTCCAGGTTGAAAATTTCACCTTTTAAGAAACTAATTTCAGTGGATATAAAACCATCCGCTGTTGTCTTTGGAGCACTTCAGCATGAGCAGATGTTCCTCTCAGTGTTTTCTGATTACAGAAAATGCTTCCATTTGTGTTTTTTTTTTAAATAAAACTGCATATATCAGTGTTTGAAACACTTTGCACTTCTGTCAGACTCCTGACTTCATAGTCTCTCTGCTCTGCAGCGTTTAGGGAAGTAGGGATGGAGTCACTGCAGCCCCAGGTGCTGCCATGATAAAATTATTGTGTAGTAGATAAACTCACCAAAACAGAGGAAAGTCTTTAGATTTGTCTGTTGTCACTTTATACAAAAAAGGTTGATAAATGCGTCTGTGGTGCAAAATTATGGAATGAATAGATTAATGGCAGATAGACCAAACTGGACTGTTTGTAGTTTTCCTTCCACACTGAGAGCACCGCAGCACTCTGTAGCCACCAGTTAGCTTCAGAAGCTAACCTGCTTTACAACAACAGGAGCCAATATACATTCACCGGCCACTTTATTAGGTACCCCATGCTAGTAACGGGTTGGACCCCCTTTTGCCTTCAGAACTGCCTCAATTCTTCGTGGCATAGATTCAACAAGGTGCTGGAAGCATTCCTCAGGGAGTTTGGTCCATATTGACATGATGGCATCACACAGTTGCCGCAGATTTGTCGGCTGCACATCCATGATTCGAATCTCCCGTTCCACCACATCCCAAAGATGCTCTATTGGATTGAGATCTGGTGACTGTGGAGGCCATTTGAGTACAGTGAACTCATTGTCATGTTCAAGAAACCAGTCTGAGATGATTCCAGCTTTATGACATGGCGCATTATCCTGCTGAAAGTAGCCATCAGAAGTTGGGTACATTGTGGTCATGAAGGGATGGACATGGTCAGCAACAATACTCAGGTAGGCTGTGGCGTTGCAACGATGCTCAATTGATACCAAGGGGCCCAAAGAGTGCCAAGAAAATATTCCCCACACCATGACACCACCACCACCAGCCTGAACCGTTGATACAAGGCAGGATGGATCCATGCTTTCATGTTGTAGACGCCAAATTCTGACCCTACCATCCGAATGTCGCAGCAGAAATCGAGACTCGTCAGACCAGGCAACTTTTTTCCAATCTTCTATTGTCCAATTTCGATGAGCTTGTGCAAATTGTAGCCTCAGTTTCCTGTTCTTAGCTGAAAGGAGTGGCACCTGGTGTGGTCTTCTGCTGCTGGAGCCCATCTGCCTCAAAGTTTGACGTACTGTGCGTTCAGAGATGCTCTTCTGCCCACCTTGGTTGTAACGGGTGGTTATTTGAGTCACTGTTGCCCTTCTATCAGCTCGAACCAGTCTGGCCATTCTCCTCTGACCTCTGGCATCAACAAGGCATTTCCGCCCACAGAACTGCCGCTCACTGGATGTTTTTTCTTTTTCGGACCATTCTCTGTAAACCCTAGAGATGGTTGTGCGTGAAACTCCCAGTAGATCAGCAGTTTCTGAAATACTCAGACCAGCCCTTCTGGCACCAAGAATCATGCCACGTTCAAAGTCACTCATATCACCTTTCTTCCCCATACTGATGCTCGGTTTGAACTGCAGGAGATTGTCTTGACCATGTCTACATGCCTAAATGCACTGAGTTGCCGCCATGTGATTGGCTGCTTAGAAATTAAGTGTTAACGAGCAGTTGGACAGGTGTACCTAATAAAGTGGCCGGTGAGTGTATTAGCCAATAGTGTTGGTTTTCCAACATAAATTTTAACATTTAAGGACACTAACGAGTGTTCAAATATACAGTAAACTGCATAAAAGGCTTTAAACTGTTTGGACGTATTTATTTTGAAGGTGAGGCAGTGCACCATGTGAAGCAAATCTTCAGATCACCTCCTCTTTAAATGTGGTGCATTTCTGTTTTATTTTGAAAAGGTTCTGATTTTATTTTCACCTCAAATGAGTAGGTAGCCAGCTGCGTGCCTGACTGGGCCTCGCTGCCGTACACCTCGATCTCATCCACCTCATCTGTAAAGAAAGAGGAGGAGCAATAAGCAGATCAGCCTGTGGGACGGAGACACCAGAGGAGGAGACGGTGGACGCACCTGTCCAGTTGGTGGAAGACTCCACTCGCTTCTTTTTGACGGGCGGCTCCTCCTGGAAAGGATCAGTATTAAACTACGAATTCATTCAGTTGAACTTCTGCATCAGACTGAAAGCTTCTAGAACACAGACCTGTTTGTCTGTCTCTTTCTCTTTTTCCTGCTTGTCTTTTCCGTCCTCAGCAGGCGTCTCCTGCAGCTTCTCGGTGTACTTCAGGAGCAGCGAGTTTCCAAGCCGCGAACCGAGGAACAGGTAGCCGGGCTCCATGGTAACCATCTGGAGGAGGGAGAGGGTTCATGGTAACAGCTACTAATACGGATTCTAACCTAAAAACGCAACTTTTTCCTGATCCTTTAAAACTAGGAACTCACACATGTTGTGAGGACGCTGGCTGCAGCTTTGTCAAAGTGGAAAGCTCTGACGCTCCTCATGCCGTCTGTTATGAGCGTCAACACATAACTGGAAGGAAACAGTCAGGGACAAATCCTAAATGTCAGCAGGATTCAAGCGTGAGCTGAAAAGTGTCAGAGGAACTCACATCTCTCCTCCTTTCAGGGAGATCACCATCTTGTCAGCCGCTATAAAGTCAGACTGGGAGCAGTCCAGTGTTATCTTCACTTCCTCCTGGACACCTGTCAATCATCGACACATTCTTTAGAGGCAGAGCCGAATATCTAAAGTTATACTGGAACTATCAGGCAGTCAGGAGGTCTAAAGATGAAAATGATCAAATATTTCTACAGATTTTTTTTTTAGAAAATGTAAGGAAATGTAAGGAATAGAGGCGAGAAGGAAGGAAGGAAGGAAGGAAGGAAGGAAGGAAGGAAGGAAGGAAGGAAGGAAGGACACGAACGAAGAACGGACAGGAAGGAAGGAAGAACAGAGAGGAAGGAAGGAAGAACAGAGAGGAAGGAAGGAAGAACAGAGAGGAAGGAAGGAAGAACGGACAGGAAGGAAGAGAGAACGGAGAGGAAGGAAGGAAGAACAGAGAGGAAGGAAGGAAGTAAGAACAGACAGGAAGGAAGGAAGTAAGAACGGACATGAAGGAAGGAAGGAAGAAAGGACATGAAGGAAGGAAGGAAGAAAGGACATGAAGGAAGGAAGAACAGACAGGAAGGAAGAGAGAACGGAGAGGAAGGAAGAGAGAACAGAGAGGAAGGAAGAACGGAGAGACAGGAAGGAAGGAAGTAAGAACAGACAGGAAGGAAGAGAGAACGGAGAGGAAGGAAGAGAGAACAGAGAGGAAGGAAGAACGGAGAGACAGGAAGGAAGGAAGTAAGAACAGACAGGAAGGAAGGAAGGAAGAACAGACAGGAAGGAAGGAAGGAAGAACAGACAGGAAGGAAGGAAGGAAGAACGGTCAGGAAGGAAGAAAGAACGGACAGGAAGGAAGGAAGGAAGGAAGGAAGGAAGAACGGACAGGAAGAACGGACAGGAAGAACGGACAGGAAGAACGGAAGAACGGACAGGAAGGAAGGAAGGAAGGAAGAACGGACAGGAAGGAAGGAAGGAAGGAAGAACGGACAGGAAGAACGGACAGGAAGGAAGGAAGGAACGACGGAGGAACGGACAGGAAGGAAGGTAGAACAGACTGGAAGAACAGACAGGAAGGAAGGTAGAACGGACAGGAAGAACAGACAGGAAGGAAGGTAGAATGGACAGGAAGAACGGACAGGAAGAGTGGACAGGAAGGAAGAGGGGAATGAAGGGAGAAAGAAAGGAAGGAAAGAAATAAATTGATTAAAAATTGAAAGTAATGATGTTAGCAGGCAACCAGTTTAATTTTACTATAAACAGCTGAGCTTTTACCACACAAAGAACCAGGGAATCTCATAATGTGTCCTTATGTTGCTAATATTTACTGTTTAAAAACCTTTTCTGTTATTTTCCCTCAGTTAATAACGATTAACATAATACTATACACATAATATACTTCCATTCAGAGAGAGCTAAAGGCTAACGCGCTAACATGAAGGCTTGATATTGAAGGTGAAATCCAAGAAGACGTTAACGACTTTGTCCAGCGTTACTCCCGTTATTAACAGACAGAGCTGGTTGGGTTTTTTCTTACGTAGAGGGAAGGATGTGGTCCCATTGGTCAGAGAGTTCAGGGAGACTCCATAAGGAGGGACGCTCTGGTTCAGATACAGCAGTGAATTCACAGCAAACACCACCACACCACCTGGGAAGACATGTGTTCACATCAGCAACTCAGTCTCTATGCCAGTTTCTATCTTCATATGATCCAGCTAGCCTGGTGAAGGCGAGGCTCACCGATGGGTTTGGGAACAGCCATGACCTGCGTGCAATCAAAAGGCAGATTGCTGAGAGACCAGATGACAGGATGAACCTTCTGCATGATGTTGAGGGAGATGGCCACGATGCTGCAGGTGTCCTGACGAACCGCCACGCGCCTGGAAGGAGGATTGCACATCAGAGGAAGTAGACAACTATGGAGGGAATTCTGTTCCATTATTGTTGGAGGTTTTAGAAACGGAAAGTTGAATAACAAGTGATCCGGAAAAGAAACCTCGAAAAATGGTTCAATAAAAAAAGGTTTTGAGAGTAACTTTGCACTTTACACACTTTTTTTCCCTACTTTTTTATTCAATAGATTTTTTTCCCCCCCAAAAAATATAACTTTAACATACACTATATTGCCAAAAGTATTTGCTCACCTGCCTTGACTCACATATGAGCTTAAGTGACATCCCGTTCCTAATCCATAGGGTTCAATATGACGTCGGTCCACCCTTTGCAGCTAGAACAGCTTCAACTCTTCTGGGAAGGCTGTCCACAAGGTTTAGGAGTGTGTTTATGGGAATTTTTGACCATTCTTCCAGAAGCGCATTTGTGAGGTCGCACACTGATGTTGGACGAGAAGGCCTGGCTCTCAGTCTCCGCTCTAATTCATCCCAAAGGTGTTCTATCGGGTTGAGGTCAGGACTCTGTGCAGGCCAGTCAAGTTCATCCACACCAGACTCTGTCATCCATGTCTTTATGGACCTTGCTTTGTGCACTGGTGCACAGTCATGTTGGAAGAGGAAGGGGCCAGCTCCAAACTGTTCCCACAAAGTTGGGAGCATGGAATTGTCCAAAATGTCTTGGTATGCTGAAGCATTCAGAGTTCCTTTCACTGGAACTAAGGGGCCAAGCCCAGCTCCTGAAAAACAACCTCACACCATAATCCCCCCTCCACCAAACTTTACACTTGGCACAATGCAGTCAGACAAGTACCGTTCTCCTGGCAACCGCCAAACCCAGACCCGTCCATCAGATTGCCAGATGGAGAAGCGCGATTCGTCACTCCAGAGAACGCGTCTCCACTGCTCTAGAGTCCAGTGGCGGCGTGCTTTACACCACCGCATCCGACGCTTTGCATTGCACTTGGTGATGTATGGCTTGGATGCAGCTGCTCGACCATGGAAACCCATTCCATGAAGCTCTCTGCGCACTGTTCTTGAGCTAATCTGAAGGCCACATGAAGTTTGGAGGTCTGTAGTGATTGACTCTGCAGAAAGTTGGCGACCTCTTCGCACTATGCGCGTCAGCATCCGCTGACCCCGCTCCGTCAGTTTACGTGGCCTACCACTTCGTGGCTGAGTTGCTGTCGTTCCCAAACACTTCCATTTTCTTATAATACAGCTGACAGTTGACTGTGGAATATTTAGGAGCGAGGAAATTTCACGACTGGATTTGTTGCACAGGTGGCATCCTATCACAGTTCCACGCTGGAATTCACTGAGCTCCTGAGAGCGACCCATTCTTTCACAAATGTTTGTAAAAACAGTCTGCATGCCTAGGTGCTTGAATTTATACACCTGTGGCCATGGAAGTGATTGGAACACCTGATTCCAATAATTTGGATGGGTGAGCAAATACTTTTGGCAATATAGTGCATTTAATTTTTTACTTTTTTAAAGATTTTTTTTTCTTCAAATTTCTGAATTGCATTCTTTTCAAATTGCATTTAACAGATCTGATTCTTACATTTAGTAAATTAATATTTAAAAAAATGTAAAACAATGTAAAAAAAGTTTACTTTGCAATTTTAATTTAGTAAGCTTTTTTTTTTTCAAAAAAATTTTTGTGTATTCTTTATTTTTGAAATACCGTATATATATATATATATATATATATATATATATATATATATATATATATATATATATATTTTTTATTTTTTTTTTTATTTTTTTTTGTGTTTTACAGATGTTTTTTTATTTCTACTTTCATATTGACTTTAATGAATTTTATACTTTTTCGATTTGCATTTTATAATTTATGAAATCAAATTATTTATATAATTACATTTCATGAATTGATATAAAAAAAATCTGATGCAGAAATGAAACTTTATACCTGAAAATAAATGTTTCCCCATATATATTTCTTTTATTTATTTGGATTTTGGTTTGGTTTTTGTATTTTCAAAAATAGCACACACATTTTATTGTTTTTTATACGTTATTATCAGATTTACTTTTAAGAATTAAGATCTTTTTTTTATTATTGTGTTTAACACATCACACTCTCTACTTCTGGAGGCAGACTTTGATGTTGATTGAAAAGTAAAGAGGTTTTTCTATTGGTCTGATTGTTTGTTTTGAGCTTCAAGCAAAGAGAATGTGACCTAATATGACCCAAAAAAAAATAAAAATAAAAACATTTCAAAATATTAAATCCCCCCCAAAAAGCATTCATAAGAAACATGTTCTTCTTTTCAGCAATAATGGAACAAACTTCCCTCCATAAAAAGCTTCTGTCCAAATTAGAAACGGCGTCTGATCACTGACTCACCCCGGCCACGTCTGGTTGGGCTCATAGAGAATCAGCAGCGTAGGCTCGTAGTAACCGTGAAGGAACTTCATGTCGACGATGTTCAGCAGCTTCTCGTCTAACTCGCGGACGTCGATGATGTAACTGGGCAGGAAGCTGGATTTGGGTCTGTTAAGGGTTTAAAAATAAAGGACATTATTATCATAACCCTGAGGAGCAACAGGGGAGGAACAGGAACTCAGTCCTACCCTTCCCCGACTCCGCCTTCCTGCTCATCGGTTAGCGTGTCCTTCCTGAACGGCAGCACCACCAGCTTGGTGCCGTAAACCAGCATGACGGCGCAGCGGTTCTCTGGATCGACCCGGACTATGGGGATGTGGACGTTCTGCACGAAGCCATCCTGGAGATGCAGAAAAACAGAAAAAATATAATCCCCTGAAACATTTAATACTTTACTTTAGGTTCTTGTTTAACTCCTGAAAACTAAAACAAGCTGCACACCATGAGGAATTTACACCACAGGTTGGCCAGCTCTTAAACAATAAGACTTCAGCTAAACCATGGTATTGGGTTATTGGAAACATGGGGGAAAAAAATGGATGGAGGATTAGGGCCACTAAAAAAAAAAGTTTTATTTCAGTATAATATGAGAAAATTCTCAGAATTCTGGATCTTAATGTAGATGGGCTCTATGAAGGAAGGAATGCAATCAGCTTCACTGACAAAGATGTGTAACATATTGGTGGAAGATGACAGAATTGGGCGACTTTTCACGTGCCCGAGGGGTCCCTCGTGATGCTATTTCATTAATGGAAGAGCAGAGGTGATTATAAACAAGAGAACTACTGTCTAAAACAGACATGGATATTGATTGATGCTAACAGGTTAGTTACCTGTCAGAATTCAGTCAGAATTCTGAGAAGAAAATGTTTTTAAATTTTATAATAAAATAAAATTTAAAAATCAATTAACTTTTTTTATTTTCAGTGGCCTTAATACTCAGTTAAGTCAGTTAAAGTCATGCTTTAGAGTTTTTACACTCCAGTTAATGATTAATCAATTACTAAATAAGTTTATTGTTTTTTCAATGAATTAATTAAGATTAATCCAATTAACTGTTTCAGCCCTAGTAAAAACACAAATATTGTATTTAAGTGGAAAAGTTTTAGTTTCACCTGGTTTAATTCTGAATGTTTTCACATTAATCAATAAATCAAAAAATTGATCAACAGATTAATCAATTAGCAAAACAATATTTGAGTTGTAGACATAAGGTAATTTCAGATGGAAATTGCTCCTAAATTCTTTTGGCTTAAGGCAGGGGTCTTTAACGTTTTCCAGGCCAAGGACCCCCAAACTGATGGCAAGATGGAGGGGGGGGGGGGACCCTTAATTATATATATTGTATGAAATTGTGTTATATCAAACTGGTTCTATAGTCACTCTATTACATATGGAGTAATGTAATGAAAGTAATTTCTCCCTGGGATTATTAAAGTATTTCTGAATCTGATTCCTGGTTGATGGGACAGGTGTTGTGAATGAAGCGGTGCCCAGCTTGAAAGAGCTCCTGTGTGTTGCTGAATGTGTGCATTGCTGACTGAAAGACATCTTCTGCCTCCATTTATCTGTTTACTACAGTGTGTTGAATTCATTTAAAGTTCATTTCCAGAAAACATTTAAATTAGAGGAAGAAAAAAAAAAGCAGGGTGGAATATAAAAAACAAATAGCCTAGTAAACTAGCCCCACCCACCAGCGGCCAAAATTATTTTGGCCTGCGAGTGGTCCAGCCTCAATCAATGCCCCAGGCCCTAGAACTGGTGGGCCAATCACAACGCAGAGATGTGTTTTGAATTTCTGGATGCAAAGCGGGCGGGGTTTTGAGGCTGTGACGACAAAGCTGTGCGACGGTGTAGAAAGCACAACAAGGAAGATGGCAACAACTATTGAACAGTTCTCGTTTGACTGAGCTTTGGAATCAGTTTTGGAAGGATTAGATTTGGGGCTTTTGTTGAAGCGTAACAGGAAGAGGCTCTACGCTCATTCATTTTTAAGACGGACATATTCAAAGTTTTACAGACAGGCTGTTTGTTTACACTCCCCCACCAGCTTTCTGTCATGCTTACTACGTCACAGTGAGTTGCGCTCATTGGTCAGAGCGTTGGACAATGGGTACAGACATGGTTTGAAAAACAACAGGTTGTTCTCATCAACAATCTTACGATGTCTCATTCATCGGGGCCAGACTAAATTACACATTTAATCTCCCATTTAGTCTGGTTTATCAGGCTATGAAAAAAGTCTAATCAACCAAAACCTCCAGTACCTCCTTGGACCTCTGTTGAAGACCTCCTGCTTAAGGGGTTAAAGTATAAATCAACATTAAATCAAAGGTGTTTGGCTTTACAGTTACAACCAACTTGTGTTTGTCCAACATTAAATCTGATCAGGTTTGTGGTCGCTGGCGGCGTACTTACTCTGAGTTCTGGCTCCTCAAAGTAATGCAGAGAGAGAGTCTTGAGGTCATGTGTCCCGGGGTCGTACTCCACTACAGCCAACTGGTGAGACAGCAGGGAGATCATCACTGAACCTGATCGCTCTGAGTTTGTTCCTAACATCCCATTTAGACAGGGGATACCTTTGCATCTTTAAAACTGAGGAGGAGCGCATCTCTGTTGGCGCCTATCAGCTGCACACTCGCCATGGACATGATGTTACCAAAGAGAGAGAAGGAGGCCACCTGCTCCAGCTTCTCCTTACGGGTTTTAGAATCTGCAACAGAGTCAATAAGTCTTAGTAATGTTTATGTTTTCATACAAACACAGATTGGTGTCAGATGCCTGGACATACCGGATGACTTTTCAGTTCTGGATGTGCTCTTCAGGAATAAAACAAAAGGCAATCACAGACATGTTACACAAAGACAAAAAATGGGTCAAACTAACAGCTGCTTTTACCTCAACATCATGGATGATCCTGTAGACGAAAAGCTGGGATGTTCCGGCGATGACCAGGTTTTTCTCCTTACTGGATATAAAGTTACAATAGACGGAGAACTCCACAGCAGTGGGGGTGTGGGCCTGCCTGTACACCGCATACATCCTCCCTGCTTCGCTTCTGCCTCTGATGGGAGACAGCAGACATGTCAACACCTCTGAGTTACTAACATTACTGCAGGACTCATTCAGGGAGCTACTTTAGGGAGCGTGTGCAAAGAAAATCAAATCACTGACACGCTTTAGGATAAAATACATAGTCAATTAAATGTTCGGGTTATGTTTACAATGTTTTAACAATTTAAACCTTAAATATGCCTGAAACATAAGTATAGCAATCATTAGGTTCAGGAAGTCATTGTACAGAGACGCCGGTTCCAACAGCTAGCTTCAGGCTCGTGCAGGTAGCTCAGCAGCTAGCATGTATTAGCGGTTGTTCGGGTTCTATAAAAACAATGGGAAGCAAATTTATTAACGTACCTATATCCGATAAGTTATCTAAGCTCGATGCTTTATTATATGTCTTTTCATACAAACGTAGTGAGTCATATTTCTGAGTTAAATGACTGTTAGCGCTCCAGCTAATTGCCAGGCAACCTGGCGGTTAGCTTTGTTGTGTTGCCCTCTGAGTTCTTGTTCTGTCAACAAATCAAAGGCACGCAGGCGTGTTGCTGCCCCCTACAGTTTAGGGTTTTAAAGACACCCGCCCGATCGCTGGCATTTAATAAAAACTGTATTTGATTTGGATGCCTTTTATGTACGGAAGAGGATCAGGGCAGCTGGAAAAAAAAGTTTACCGATTTTTTTTTACATTTTATTTCAGTTTAGTATAATCTCAGAACTCTGACTTTAATCTTAGAATTCTGCCTTTTCCCCCTCTGAATTCTGACTTTAATCGGAGAAATCTGACTTTATTTCAGAATTTGGACTTTAATCTTAGAATTTAGACTTTTTTTCTCTGAATTCTGACTTTAATCTCAGAATTCTGACTTTAACCTTAGAATTCTGCCTTTTTTTCCCTCTGAATTCTGACTTTAATCTCAGAATTCTGACTTTTTCTCTGAATTCTGACTTTAATCTGAGAAATCTGACTTTATTTCAGAATTTGGACTATAATCTCAGAAGTCTGACTTTTTTCAGAATTCTGACTTTAATCTTAGAAGTTAGACTTTGTTTTTCAAGAATTCTGACTTTAATCTCAGAATTCTAGCTTTAATCTTATAATTCTGACCATTTTTCTCTGAATTCTGACTTTAATATGAGAATTCTGTCATTTTTCTCAGAATTCTGACTTTAATCTGAGAATTCTGTCATTTTTCTCAGAATTCTGACTTTAATCTCAGAATTTTGGATCTTAATGTAGATGGGCACCATGAAGAAAGAGATGTGGAGCACTCAGCTTCACTGACAAAGATGTGAGTTGTTTGGGAGGGCCAGTGACACATTGGTGGAAAATGACGGAATTAGGCGACTTTTTACGTACCAGAGGGGTCCCTGGTGATGCTATTTCATTAAATGAAGAGAAGTAAGGTGATTAAAAAAAGAGAGCTAGTTTAGTCTCTAAAACAGACATGGCTGCGGCTTGATGTTAACATGTTTCTTAGCTGTCAGAATTCACTCAGAATTCTGTGATTAAAGTCAGAATTATGACTTTTACCCATATTAAATGGAAATAATATTTAAAAAAAATGTTTACTTTTTTTTTCAGTATCCCTAATCCTCTTCCGTATTTTATGCCAAAGTGTGTTTAGACATTAAAAGTATTAACATTTAAAGCAGAACTTAAATAACATGCTGCTGTCATTCTGCACATCTCTGTTGCTGCTATTTTCCCATATCCACTACCGTAAAAATGTCCACAGCTGTATGTTAATTATTTATTCTTCAGATGACGACTGCACAGTACATTTGTAAAAACACTGTACAGCACAGTATTTTGTTTTTTTCTTTAACTCTTACACTTATTCAGGTTTTTTTTTTTTTTTTACACTTTTTAACATTCTCTTTTGTTGTAATGCTTTGTGGCAGTATCACCCCAATTTACCCATTATGGGACAATAAAGTGTATTCTATTCTATTCTGTACTAAAAGCATTTAAAGGATGTGATTTAGCTGTTTGTTTCTGATGATTGTAATGTGCTTTTAATCTGAATGTAAGATAAATGTTTTTTAAACATCTGAACTAGGAAAAACAATTTTCTGATAATTTGATAGTTTATATATAAATATATATACCCAAGAATGTTTATTTATTTTAAGCAATATACGTCTCAAAATGTTTTCCTTGTTAACTACGTTTCCTTTTACATGCTTAAAAATAAAACCACAAAATTCTAATTACCGGTAGTGATATATATAATGAGGAAAATAAGTATTTGGACACGTTGCTATTTTGCAAGTTTTCCCACTTAGAAATCATGGAGGAGTCTGAAATTGCAAGCATAATTGTGTGTCCACTGTGAGAGACATAAACTTAAAAAAGAAATAAAAAAATCACTATTTATGATTTTCTAACAATTTATTTGTATGATAAAGCTGCAAATAAGAACACCTGAGAAAATCAATGTTGATATTTGGTACAGTAGCCTTTATTTGCAATTACAGAGTTCAAATGTTTCCTGCAGGGTTTGCACACCGTGCAGGAGGTATTTTGGCCCACTCCTCAAAACAGATCATCTTAAGATCAGTCAGGTTTCTGGGCTCTCACTGAGTTTGAGCTCCCTCTAAAGATTCTCTGTTGGATTTAGGTCTGGAGACTGGCTAAGTCACACCAGAACCTTAATATGCTTCTTTCAGAGCCACTCCTTTGTTATCCTGGCTGTGTTCTTTGGGTCATGTTGGAAGACCCAGACTCGACCCATCTTCAGTGCTCTAACAGGGAAGGAGGTTGTTCCCTTTGCAATACATGGCCTCGCTCATCCTCTCCTTAATACAGTGCAGTCGCCCTGTCCCATGTGCAGAAAAACAGCCCCAAAGCATGATGCTACCACCTCATGCTTCACAGTAGGGATGGTGTTCTTGGGATGGCACTCATCATCCTTCTTCCTCCAAACATGGTTAGTGGAATTATGACCAAAATTTCTATTTTGGTCTCATCTGACCTCATCTGGCAAAGTTAAGAAGGTCTTGACATGTGCTGGTTTAAGCAGGGGAGTGTTGACCTAGTGGTTAGTGCTCTAAGAAGGTTGCAAGTATCTAGTTTAATCCCCACAGCCTGCACTCTGAGTCCCTGAGCAAGACCCTTAACCCCACACTGCTCCCTGGGTGCCGCACAAAGTTAGCCCACTGCTCCTCAAAGCAATGGGTCAAATGCAAAGAATCAAGTTCTCCGGTGTGAGATCAATAAAGTTAAATTATTATTATTCCATGCCATGCATGACTACAAATTATGACGTCTTGTGTATTACCAACAGTAACCATGGAAACGGTGATCCCAGCTCTTTTCAGATCATTGACCAGCTCCTTCCATGTAGTTCAGGGCTGATTTCTCCACCAGGTGAGATCTTGCATGTAGCCCCAGTCTGAGGGAGATTGACAGTCATGTTTAGCTTCTTCCATTTTCTAATGATTGCTCCAACAGTGGACCTTTTCTTACAGAGTCGCTTGACACTTTCCCCGTAGCCCTTTCCAGCCTTGTGGAGGTGTACAGTTTATTCTCTAGTCTTTGGGCAGCTCTTTAGTCTTGGCCATGATGGTAGTTGGATTCTTACTGATTTTATGGGATGGACAGGTGTCTTTATGCAGCTCAAACAGATGCATCTAATTCAGGATAATAAATGGAGTGGAGGTGGACATTCTGAAAGCAGAATAACAGGTCTTTGAGGGTCCGAATTCTCGCTGATAGACAGGAGTTCAAATACCTATTTGCAGCTCTATCATACAAATATTTAGATCTCTTTTTTTTATTTTTCATATTGTCTCTCGCAGTGGACATGCACCTACGATGAAAATTTCAGGCCCCTCCTAGTGGGAGGGTGTTCAAATGCTTATGTTCCTCCCTGTATGTCTCACAATTTTTACCTTGTTAACCTTTTTTTTCTTTTTCATATTTAGAAATAAAACCACAAAAATCTATTTAGTGATATATACTAACAGCTCTCTAATCTAACCACCTGTTGCTTTGACTGAAGTCTTCTGAGGCTCATATTTAAAAGCTTTGCAGAGGAAATAACTGAATGTTCTGCCCACTCTTTATGCAAACTAAACTTAGCCTGACTGGATAAAAAGTTTTTGTGATTTTGAGTAGGCCAGTTATATTTATGAATGAACCGATAATAAAACCTTATGGAATGCTCATTGGCGCAGTGGGTAGCACTGCTGCCTTGCAGCAAGATGGTTCTGGGTTTGATTCCCAGCCCAGGGTCTTTCTGCATGGAATTTGCATGTTCTCCCTGAGCATCGTGGGTTCTCTCTGGGTACTCCGGCTTCCCACAGTCCAAAAACATTACTGTTAGGTTAACTGGCTTCTCTAGGTTCTCCTTAGGTGTGATTGCGTGTGTGAATGGTTGTTTGTCTCTATGTTGCCCTGCGATGGATTGCCGACCTGTCCAGGGTGTACCCCGCCTCTCGCTCGTAGACAGCTGGAGATAGGCACCACCCCCCTTCGCGACCCTGCTTGGGATTAAGTGTGCAAGAAAATGGGTGAAACCCTAGGTTGTAGCTAAGGGTGACTATGTGGTCACTGGTCTTTTCCGGCCTCCAACAAGTTATCTTCCAGGATTTATCCATATTTAGCCACTGATCTCTATTTATTCACTGGATTGCTGATTGCCCAAAAAAAGTGAAGCCACCGTCCGCCATGCTGGAAATCCCCACTCCCACAGAAACGCGCAGTAAAAATGTCTACATGTGTGGGATTTGGCTGCAAAAATAAGCAGTCTGCCGGCTGTAGGAAGTCGTTTCACAGGTAATTTCACTGTCAGTATGTGCAATTTTATTTTTCAAATTATCAGATTTTTGTTTTAAGTAAGAGCAAAATGCAAGATCTTAATTTGATGTTGCCTTTTTTTTTTTTACCAGTTTATGTAATTTTGCTTTTGTAGTAACTGAAGCTCTGTGGAGTTATTAAATTGGTTCATTTGTGTAGCTCTATTGTAAATCTGTGTTAGATTTAAAGGCAATGCACAGACACAGTATAAAAGTATTGTGGAAACATATTCTTCTTTAGCCTATTTGTGAGATAAAATATTTTGAGTGTGCCTTTCCTTTGCCTATATAGGGGTGATTGTTTAGAAGTCTTGTACCAGTCTGTATGCTGGAGTTAAGTAATGGAGTTAAGATGGGATGACAGAAAGCAGCTGCCTCCCTACATGCTGTGAACGGCAGACCTGTTCTGAGTGTTAAGTGGTTAAAATCTATGTCCTTGATGAATTGAAGTGTTTTTTCTCATTTAAGTGTGAGGAAGTTCTTTATGCAGGGGTGGGATAGTTCCAAGGGAGAGTGTGTGTGTGTGTGTGTATATACTGGCAGATGTTTATAAATGTATGTACTGAGCTTTGCCCAGTCAGAGTTCTATCTCTCCGCCTGAGGACGTCAAATAAATTTGAACCTTTTTTCTTGCAAGAAATGCCTCATGCACGCACCATTTGCAAATAAAATACTAAAGCATTTACATACATGTAGTTGTAATTCAATCTCTATGTAAAATCTTAAAATTATATGTAAGATGTAATTACCATAAACATTTAAACAATGCATGTATATTATACGTACATCATCCATTGAGTACATCTGTATTATTATGCTCCATTAACACATTAATTTAGCTGTGATGGATTTGTATAATATGTTATATTACATGATTTACAGACTTAATTGATGAAGTCTGACTATGACTATGCAATGTGATGTGCCTATTTTTTATTATAATCTACTTATGCTATGAAACAGCAAATGTGTGTCAAAGTGACTTAGACAGACTTTATCATTTTATATACACAGTGTATGCCAAAAATACATTTTGTTCAGTACAGCTCTCAAGACACTTTTTCATTTTATAAATTGCAGCCGTGATAAAGTGAAGAGATAATGTAAACATACCACTGTATATCAGTTACAGTTCCAACATTCAGGTTTTTTACAAAAAATCTTTATTTTAAAAGTTTGAGGTCCCCCTGAAAATGAGAACATCATTATTGTTCGATACTGTACATATTGTTTTCATTGCGAGCGGTCTAACGAGGGAGTACCAATATGGCGGCCGGTGACTTCACTTCATCCCCGTACTACCAACGGGCAATCAGCAATCCAGTGATTAAATAGAGATCAGTGGTAAAAGCCGAACCCACCATGATGCTTCTACGTCATCTTTCACAATGCAAATGGAGTTACATCATATTAAAGCAAAAGAAGTGTGGGGTTAAGGAGGAAGCAGAGGCTCTGGCAAGAGAAGGTTTTAAATTTATTTAACGTCCTCAGATGGAAAGATAGAGCGCTGACTGGGCAAAGCTCATTACATACTGTACATTTCTACTGCAACTCCCAGTACACACATACAGTACTCTTGGAAGTATCCCATCCCTGCATAAAGAACTTTCTCACACACAAACATTTGGTTATTCCCAAGAAAAAAAACCTTCTCTTATACTTTCTCAGAAATAGGAAAAATATTCTTCCACAGAAGCATCATCTACTTAGACTTAATCACTTCACTTTAAGTGTTTTTAATTTACATAGCTCCTGTTTACAAACATAGGTGTTCCCAAATTTTAGAAACTAACAGTTAAATAACAGCAAGACGGTTTTCCTCTCATATTACTTATATTTTATACATCAATAGTCTCCATAATGATTTCTGTATGAAAACTCCATGTCATCAGTGTGTAATTATTTAAGATTTCCTTTGCAAATAAGATGCTCAAAAAAGCTGGACACTGTTGGGGGAAAAAAGGCCTCAATAGCTTCTCATTTTTTATTAATATTTTCATAAACATCTTCCAATCTTCAAGAATAGAAAAAAAAATCTATTTATTTAAAAGGCAAAACTGGAAAATGCTGTCAAGCAACACTTGTCGATCATTTTTCACAGCAATTCTACAGCAATGCTTCAACCAGAGGAAACCACAGCCCCCACAATGCATTGCTGCGTTACAAAAAGTTAAACTCGGACGATGAATGAAGTAAGAGCTCAAATATAACACAGATTCTCAAACATAACATTAATAAAAAGACGAAAAAAACACATTAGTGTGTCATGAGAAAGAGACATTAATATATTTATGATATAAACATTTTGGAATTTTTATATCAGTGCAGTTTAATCCAGAAATGAAACTTAAAAAAACATCTTTTAAGAGTAACTAGATTTCTCTGATTTTATTTATAATAAAAATGTCTCTATTTCTTTGGATAGATTTTTTTTTAAACTGTATTCTTTTTTTGAAATTGTATTTAACAGCTCACATATTCCCCCCTTATGGGGGCGGGCTTTCCTCTAAAGTGAGCAAGCATCTTTGTTGGGTTTCTGAAAAACAACATTTTCTTTTTTGGGCTTGAAGTGCAAGAAATAAGATCTGTAAAAACGCAATCAGAAAAAAATGGAAATCCTAAAAATTCAATCTGGAAAGAAAAAGTTGAAAAAAACAAAAACTAAACGAAATGAAAACACAAACAATACCAAAAAAAAAAAAACTTTTTTTTGATCAAGACATTTTGTAAAGTTTCATTTCTGGATTGCATATTCTTTCCAATGGGCTTCATGCACTACTTCCTGAATTTAAGGCAGCTTTTTTGTTTCCTGTCTTTTTCTACTGGATAAACTGATTAATCCAGATGTGTCTGACCTCAGTTACAATGACCAGACACATCTGGATTAATCACTTCATCCAGTAGAAATAGACGGGAAACAAAAAAGCTGCCTTAAATTCAGGAAGTAGTGGAGTTATCTCCATTTCAATTTACAAAACATGTTCTTTCCTCTAAACATAAATGGAACAAAATTCACTCCATAAAACAGAAACAAACAAAAACTTTTGACATAAAACATTTCCAAGACTGAAAGATCAGCACTTGAAAGGCTTTTTTTTCTCCTCTTTATATTAACATCCCACAGGACATCAGCAGAGCATTAGACTGTAGATCCAAAACTTTATTTCAGATGTTTACACTCATTCAGGTTCAGAATCTGCATCGCAGGAGAGTAAAAAACAAACTGCAGTCAATGTTGTGCCAGTTCATAGTTTAAAAAGAAGTTCAAAGTTAATCTCACACACATAAAAATGAACTAGCTCACATTCATAGTTCACTTTTTCAAAAAATGAACTAACCTTTAAATGAACTAGTTCAAGTTCCTTTGGTAAATTAAGCCACAATCCTCCATAATAGAAACTCATATTCCGCCCTTTAAATGTGCGATCATCATAGAGAGAAAGGGAAAGTGCTGGATGCAGTCAAGGTATACTGGATGTGCAGTGAAGCCTTTATTTAGCCAAATTACACAGAAATTCAGAAACATACAGGAACATTCAGGTTCTGCTGAAAAGATCTGGATAAAAAAAGATTTCTTACATTCCTCTTTCAGTAGCGGATATTTAGAAAGCTCGGACGCTTTAACTCGATGTGTCACTTTAAATTTGAAGTGGACACGGCTGACGTATGGATTTGTTTATTAAGCCCGGAGGAGAACTGTTTGCACAAAAACTGGAGTTTTTTTCTGTCAGTCTTCCTTTGTTAGTTCATAAAACTCTAAGCGCTCTGCTAAACTGGCATCAGGAATACCAGTAGATGAGTCTGAATGGCACAGGCTAGTACTAGCAGTAGACATGCTGATCTGCCATGCTGTTTGCCGTAATAAGTGCCGTAAAACCTGACGTTATTCAATAAAAAGTGTTATCAATTGAATAAGAACGTAAGCTGTGTGTGTCACTCTCGTTCATTACTTCAGAACTGATCTGTTCATCTCTATGGAGGACCAGCTCTACCATATTTACAAAGATGATATATCTAAAGATGATTATGAGATTAAAAAAAAAGATGAAATAGTCCAGAGAGCTGTTCCAAACCAAATTTCTTTTTGTTTTACACTTATATAAACAAAATGACAAAAAAATCTAATATTTAAAAATGAATACAGAAATAAATCCTCCATAAATAAATAAGCATACAATGAATTGCCCTCCAAAAAATACAATAAACAATTATTTATGTACATGTTATATTTTTGTCAGTTTTATCCTTCCTTTGTATTTTTTTACCCAATTTATTTCTTCAATAGTATTTATTTCTGCCTCATTATGCAAATGAGGAGGGGTGTGTCTTAGAGGGTCACCTTCTGTCCATTGGTTGGTTAGTAAGTAATTAATAAATAAAGTTGAAGATTATAATGGACAATATATAAATAAGGTAATTATTAAAAGGCGAATAAATAAGGAAGCCAATTAAAAGAGATATATTAAATTCAATTCAGTTTATTTCTATAGCGCCAATTCACATCACATGTCATCTCAAGGCACTTTACAGTTCAACCAGATCAAAGTTTACTAAGGAAAACCAGTTGATTGTATCGACTCATTGACTCAAAGGCAATCCCTCACACTAAGCATGCTTGTAGCGACAGTGGAGAGGAAAAACTCCCTTTTAACAGGAAGAAACCTCCAGCAGCATATAGATTTATGTATCACTCTATAAATAAATTTTTACCTGCATTTATTTGTTTATTGTATTTTTTGGGGCAATTCATTGTATGCTTATTTATTTATTAAGCATTTATTTTCAAATATAGTGGAGAAGGTCCTCCATACAGTTCACCGTTCACGAAAAATATGAACAGATTCAGCGAGTGCCGTTCACTGAACGAGTTCACACAGAACACTGCATACAGTGAGATTCTCTCAAATCTTTCATTCATTGAAGTCATTAAACAGGTTTATTTTATGTTTGATATGATTTTATTTATTCCCAAGTCTGATATTGTTTTACTTTCATGTTTGTAGCGTAAAGGCAGACTGGTCCCCGTTTTATAGAAGCCTGTTTCTTCAGCTAAGGTTTGTCAGCATATGCCTTTAAACGCTTCCAATAACAGTCTAAAAGGTGATTGTCAGATTGAGCTTTATACTTCCAAAACGATGCCCTTCAAACATTTAAACGCACTTCTTAAATCATGATAAACATAAAAAAAACATCAGGAGTCTCTTCGTAACGTAAAAAAAGGAGGTTTCAGCGACTGATTCGCTGACAGGTGATGAGATATTCGGGGAAAGCTTGTGTGTCGTTGAAGATGACGAACATGCTGGGCTTTGTAATGTCATCCGTCACGCTGTCGTATCTAAGGGGGATGTCTCCGGTCTCTTTCAGCGGCGCCGTCTTCATCGAGTGGCAGCCTTTAGTGAAATCCCCCGTTAGAACCTTGGAAACGAAAATGAACTTGTATCCGTCCGCGTTCGGAGGGGAATACTGATCCTGGACGGACAAGGCGGAGTTGACTGCGAAATAAACCCCCTGGCCGTACACCGTGGCTGCAGGACAGGAAAGGAAAAGCGTAAAACATCAGATCATCACAAACAAGCGTAGAGACGAATGTTTGGAGACGCACCGTTCTTCCCACAGAAGCTTCTGTTGAAGCCGTGAATACAGATCTCCTTCACGCTGGCTTCGCTCGTCCCGTGGTAAAGAGTCCGTTCCACTACCTGCTGGGCGGAGTGCTGCAGCACGCTCGCCTTCTTCAGCTTGTACTGGTTGTACAGCAGCCTGTTCATGAGTTTTTCCACCTGGAAACGGGAACAACACAAATCTGTAACCCCAGAAACACAAGGTTTACCAGCAGGGAGGGATTCTGCTCTTTTCCCACCTGAATGATTCGGATCTTGCTGTGGTACTCCTGTATGGTGCTGTAGAAGTTCTTGATCACCTCCTGAAACTCCTCAGAGTCCTCGTCGATCTTGGTTGCATCAGGCAGGTGTAGGAGCAGAGAATATTCCTCCTCTGTCATCAAGAGATTTAGTTAGACTCGGTTTAAAACAAAAAAATCTGTCTCTAGACACCACTAAGCCACTAAAGGAATGGCTTAAAAAGTCAAAGTACAGCATTATGATAAATAGAATATCAATCCTCAAAGTATACATCATTGTTTATTTATGTAAACTTTTTTAATTAAATTATATCGCCTTTATAATGCTCCAACTTCTATTGACTTTTGCAAAAGATTTTCTTTTTTTCATTCTGCAGATGATAAAACTCTTTATCAAACACTGAGAAGTTTGTTAACAGCAAATAAAGATCAGAGGAGGTCTCTGTATGGAGTGAATTTTGTTCCATTATTGTTGCAAACAAAAAACACATTTAGTAAATCTCACATATGTATCTATAAAATAGAGCTCATACTGGGGATATAAACTTATGATTATCGAATAATACTTTAACAATTAATTAGATCAAATACATTTTTATTTAATATTGTATACTTAAAAGGAATTTATTTCAGTGTTGTAATGTTACCTCTACCCACTAGAGGGATTCATTTTTAAAGCGCTCCTACTGGAATTTGCAAGAGAAGTAATGACAGAACAAAGCATGTATCAATCCAGAGTCTGTTCCATGATTATTTACAGATTCATAGAGACAAGGATGCAGAATTTACGTTATGTGGTTCCATTTGTAAAAATAAACACTGGATAAACTCCTTAAATTATCACCCAAATAGAGCCTATTTATGCTACGCATATCCATCTGGAAACCTTCCGTTGAAGTAATATTGGGAAGGGGCGAAAATACTGGTTAGCTGATTGGCCTATGTTGGTGATAGACGGGCCAAATAAACCAATCAGATCAACGAAGCATATGACGTACTAACAGAGCGACGACGAAAACACAACCACAAGCCAGGCTACTCTTGCCGAAACCAGTCGGGAGAAGAGCAAAAACATCTTTTCCTCTGAGAAAAGCCTCCAGAGCAGTGTTTTGCTCTTCTTTCAGTGAAGAAATACTCTGTAATTCCGATAAAACTTGCTCGATAGCCACGCTAATGCTAGTTTCATCGGCTGAAGCCGCCATGTTCTTTAGACTGAACTGTCGCGCTTCTCGTTGCGTCACACCTCAACCCGCCTCAAAGCCAACTCTGATTGGACGTTCGTTTGGTGAACGGCTCCAAATTTTCTTTAACGGAGAGTCTCCAGACTGATCTGCGAGTGAAACCTTGAAAGCTCGCGAGATCAGGATGGTCTCACGAGGCTAGGAAGGCGAGGGTTTGAGGACAGAAAAAAATGAGAGAGCGTCAGGAAAAATATTTCTAGGTTGATAGAAAAGGACATGCTAGCAATTAGCATAGTAAATAGGGAAGGTTATTTTTATCATCTAAATATGTCTAGTTTTGATACATTTTGTGTAGCATAATGTAGCTTACTGTAGTAAAAAAAAAAAATATATATATATATATATATATATATATATATATATATATATCCTTTCATGTTACAAAAATTGTCTCTTGGTACAAGAGAAAGCTCAGGTATTTAATATAATGGAAGCTTAAAAATGAATTATAAGTCAATAGATAAAAATGTCCAACTTTAGATCAATTAATCATTCATTCACAATAAGACCAGAGCAAAATAATTTAAAGTTTAAATATGTTTAGTTAGTAAAATATGCAACCCATCAGGGTGTAAAAAAAGGAACACTCCAACCAAGGTTATTGTCTCCAACTAAAACGATCAAAATGATAAAAAACTACAATAAAAACAATTTTGACTTCGCAAAAAAAAGAACTAAAACAAGATTTTTTCTTTGTGTCTTAATTATGAAATTATAAGTTCTAGTTTTTTTCCCCACAGTATGAAAGTTGTCTTAGATAAAAGACTCAAACTACGATTAAAAGTAACAAAAACTAAACTGAAACTGAGCATTTTTAACAGTAAAAACAACAAAAAACCTAGTTATCAAATACTTAAAACTAATCAACAATAAAATAAAATAAAACATCAGAAGTAGAACATGAAAAGCGCCAATTAAATAAGCAGAGACCTTTTCAGATACCTACAACTGCAGCATTATATTAACACTAGGGCTGGGTATTTTCGCCAAAGTTCTGAATCGATTTAATTTTGAATCATGCAGTTCTAAATCGATTAATTTCGATTAAATCTGTTTTTACAATAATGAAAGTTGTTCAACTGTGTTTTAAATACTCATATATTTTATTTTTTTCCTGTCATATTAAACACAAAGTGCAAACTTGTAAATCAGACAGTTTAAACTTGAGATGTGAACCAAACTGTCTAAAAAATGCAAACTTGTTTGTGAAAAGTGAAAAAGTGAAGCCTCACTCGAGCAAGCAGACGTGACACAGCAGTCATGCATGAGCTGCATTATCTCCAATGCACAAACCATATTTGCAGCGTTGTCTGTAACAACTACAGGGTGTTTGCTGGTCAGCCCCCATTTGTTAATGTCTTCAGTAAACCTATTAGCTGTCTGGCTTGAAGTATTTTGAGTGCATCTTTGCTGCTTATTTGAATGTGAACGTGGCGCACGTCACTATAAAACTAATTGATCTCATTCCCTAGACATCGATTTTGCAAAAAATGTAAAGGAATGGATTCAGAATCGATTAAATTGATTTTTTTTCCCCCAGCCCTTGTTAACTGAAAGGTTAAAAATATACCAGAAACAAATCACAGCCTTATGAACTGTTTAGAAGAGTATATAATTCAAACCTGAGTAAAGGTGTTATATCAGCCACATATAACTGCCTGTCACAGAACAACACCCACTCCACAGCATATATTAAAGCAAAATGGGAAAGGGAAACAGGGAGTGAAAGATCAGATGAAGTGTGGAAAAGAATATGGCAATATCAATGGAAATGCTCCAGTTCGATGACCTGGTGGGAATTTAACTGGAAGAACTTTATTAGATATTTTATCACCCCATCCCAGAAACGTAAATTCAGCGACATCACCTCTGTCTGCTGGAGACAATGTGGTCAACAAAGTGCAAATCACCACCATGTCTTTTGGGATTGCCGAAAGGTTCAAGGTTTTTATCATTGAAGACATTTTGAGAGGATTTAAGACTGTATCTGCGATGTGTTCCTCAAGATTGGCTGAAAGTGGAAAAATACTTAATAAAATCCTTTAGGTGGCCAGCAAAAAGCTATCACATGTAAATGGCTACAACTAGAAAGCCCATAAAAATATACGATGGAACGAATAACCGCCTATGTTAACCTAAAAATGGAACTCTTCTTAGAGCGATGGTTGAAATGGTGTTTCTTTACCCCAGCCAAGCGGCCTATTAGACTCTATTACTATGACTTTACAATGTAAAATGTATCCTATTGTATGAATACACATGTGAGAAACTCCCTGCATGCACATAGCTCTGTTCTTAATGTGTGTTGTTCCCCTCTTCCCTCAAAAAAAAAAAAAAAAAAAAACACAATAAAATATATATAAAAAAGAAAATCAGAAGTCGAATATAAATAGAGATAAAAAACAAACAAAAAAAAAAACTGTCAAAATGTCAAAACCATTCAAATCTGGTTCCATGCGACCGTTATGTTTGTGAGGATTCTCAGTCATCCAGGTCACAGTCATTCCAAAAAAGTAAAAGTAAAACAATCCACTGGACCTTGTTTCTAAGATTTAAGACGTTTCAATTCCCATCCAGGAAGCTTTGTCAAATCAAAATGATCCGGTTCAATTTGCATGTTTTCGAAGCCAAAACAAGGCGTTGTTTGGGCCCGCTCTATAAAACCTCGACTCAACACCATTTCTGAAATTTTTAATTGGGAAAGCTTCCTGGATGAGAAGAGAAACACCTAGAAAACAAAGTTCAGTGGATTGTTTTTTTAACTTTATGGAATGTAACTGTAACCAATAGTAAAACAGGGAGACTTGACCTGTAGAGAACAGAGTTGGTGGAGAAGCTCTATGAGGTATTTACAAACGTATAACTTCAACACATAAACTCACGTCTGTGGTTCGTTCCAGTAGGAGGATAAGCAGAGAAAGAGACTTTCAGAATAAAAGAAGCTGCTTTGATTTATCCCACAGAGACATTTCTGTTTCATTGGACCATGCTATTTTGATACGGCAATTTTTCATCTTTCTCAATGTTTTTTTTTTTAGTCTTTCTGTGGCAAAAATTTCCGATTAACAATCAGTTATTAATTAGGATTACAGAGAAATTGTCTTTTTAATAATGCTAGCTTTGCTAACTATCACTGATACGGGACGGCAATACCAGTAAGCTGGGCTGATGAACGCACAACAGTTTGAGTGAGCAGCTTGGTTCAAATTGGATTTTTAGTTTTAAAAAGATATCCAGGTCAAAATCTGGTAAATGACCAGGATTGGAAATCTGACACAAAACTGATCAATAATCTCTAATTTCAAAGGTATATAATCACCTTGTATGTCTAAACCAAAAAGACCAAAATAAAGTTAGTTATGACAATATCAGGGTATATACTCTAAGCATTTATCCTAATATTGTTTTCATTTTCCTTTTTTAGCCTAAATGGAACCTCAGCATATGGAGCCATGAGTTGACATCAACCAATGTGGCGCCATCTGCTGACAGTACCACTGAACTGCTAGAAAGCCATAGACTAGGCCTGTGTTTTTCAAGCCTGGTCCTCAAAGGCACACTGTTCTGCATGTTTTGGATGTTTCTGAGCTTCAACACATCTGATTCAGATGATTGCAGTTCAGCAAAGCCTGATAATCTGCTATCGTTGATAACAGGTGTGTGAAAGCTGGGAAACTTCTAAAACATGCAGGGCAGGGTGCCTTGAGGAACAGGATTGAAAAACACTGGACTCGGCAACAAAATAAGTCCAGACCATATTAAACTTGGTGTAATGCTTCATGGAATTTTTATTTACAGCTCGAATGATGGGACTTAAAAGCTTTACTAATACCAGTCAGTGCATTTCTATTAGCATGGATATATCCTCAGGTGTCAATCAACTTCTCAGTGACATCAGAATGCTTTCTAAGCAATCCTACGCATTTTTTAAACTTGATCTTTTCTTTCTTCTTCCTCCTTCAGAGTTTATTTTCCATTGTCTTGCACAACAATTACATTAACACAGGAAGCGAAATGTGTTCACACAAGTTAGCGAAAATTCCTTGGACTGTTTATCTTTTACTGACCATTAGTATTTGAACTATTAAGGCCAGAACACACACTGGCTGCAAACAAATTTTTAATCTCAGATCCGATGTTTTCATGCCACACTTTTCTTAAATTAAGTGTATTGCCCTTAATTTGAGTAGGTAAAATGAGATAGCTTGCCAATGGCCTGAGTGTTTTTACTCTTAAAATAAGGTAATTAGATAATGCTCACTAGAAATAAAACATTGCAATTGTGTTTTCTTATTTTAAAAGTAAATTGTCTTGTTCCATTGGCAAAATGTTTCTTTTAATTCCTCAATCCAAGAACAAATGTGCTTATTTTACGTGGAAAAAAAGACTTATCTAGATTTTCAGTCATCCAGGTTATAATCATTCCAAAAAAGCAAAAAAAAAAAAAATCCACTGGACTTTGTTTCCAAGTTTGAAGACATTTTGCTTCCCATCCCGGAAGCCTTTGAAAATTTAGAATTGAAAATGCTTCCTGAATGGGAAGGGGTGGCGAGTGAAATGGAGTTCTTTCTATGAAATTGACAGACCGTAGTAGTCATGTTTGCTCAGCCATGCCTTTGTTAAAATACGTTGTTACTTTTTCTTTTTAGGGCTTTCAGCACAAAATTGAGCAAATTGCCAAGGCAGCGTTTCACTATAGTGAGCTTCTACTTGTTTGTCTTTCGGATAGACGAGTCAGAGCAGCGCCATCTCACTGCGGAGCTGAGTCCCACCTGGTTTTTAGACGTACAGTGTGAGCAGGTAGATCGCATCAGAGCGTCAGGTCACACAGTGTGAGAACAAACATCGTGAGCTGTGAACTCCCACTGTACGATGAAACCCTGCGGTTTTCTCTAACATGTAGCTGGGTGCAACGATTGAAAGAAATCTTACAGTATATGCCCGGCTTTAATTGATTCCAAACATTATCCTAGCAATGTGTCAGCCTTGTACATGTCTGTGATCGTACATCCTGCTCCACACAATCTCCAACACAGCTGATGCGCCTCTCTATCTGAGCTGTTATGAAACGATTTTTTCTAACAAAATCTTTTCCATTTCTATTCTTGAACTAATGTATTTTTTGGCATCAAACCACCTGTGATTCTTTTTCGCATTTATACCTAATGTGTATTGTTGGGAGTCTTGATGATACCTGTCAAACCTTGGAGTAGTTTTGATATCAGGTTTCCGGTTATTCTTCTGTGCATTTCTTTCTTGATCTTTGATTTTTCTGTTTTTCTTTCCTGCACTCCCTCTCAGCTGTTGCTTTAGCTTGTTGACCTTTTTTTATGGTAACTATACACAGAAAAACAAAATTTTCTAACAAACAGAATAAAAAACCAAACATTAAAAGAAAAAAATAACAAATACTAAACCAGCAGTAAGGCAGTTTGTCATCAAACTCAGACTAACAAGCGTATAAATGTAATAAATGTCAAATAATGTAACACTTTGTTCCCCGATACTAAGAAAAGTTGTTTTTTTTTTCTATTTGGAGCCAAAGTTTGCCAGCTTTACATTTACCTGGTACATCCTGGGTCACATCCCCCAAGTCAAGCAGCTTCCTGGAGATCTTCACCGATCTCCCCGAAGCGACGTTATATTCCTGCATCTTCTCCAAGTTGATAATGTGGGGTTGGTTGTCCAACAAGATGTCTACTTTCTTAAGCTTCATCCTCCAGGCGTTCTCGATGAACACCACGACCTCATTGGAGTACGGTTTGGCCTCGGAGGTCCCCGCGTTGTGATGCACCCACTGAACAGTCTTCAGGATCTCATTGTCTGATATAGAGTTCACGATGTTCTCCACCAGCAGCTTCACGTCGCTAATGGCTGCGCTCACGTAGTCCTTAAACCCCGAGACGCCGATGATGGTTCCCTGAACCTGAACGTCCACCGCGTGCTTCCGCTTGATCATCTCCAAGCATTTCCTGTGGTAGTCGGACATGTTTTTGATGCTCCTGTGCTCCACCTTCTCCTCGGCCTGTCTCTGGGTCACCTTCTTATTGAAAGCGATGTCCGACCGAATCAGGTCGCAGTTATATCCTGCAAACACGTGGAGCTGGACGGTGTTGGCAGCCTTTAACATGTTCTCAAAGGACAGGTCAACGCTTTCCTTCTGCCGCTTGTTGTCTGAAGTGCTGGCCGCGCGCTCCTCTTGGATCAGCTTCTTGGACAGCTCTAGGGCTTTTTTCAGCTGCTCCTCTTCATCCCCCAGGGACCAGTGGCTGGACTCCATGGAGTACTGGATGGCTAAAGACAGCTGGGCCTCTTCCCCCAGGCTGCTGATTTCCAGAGCGTCCTCAGACTTCGCTTGATCCGCTACGGGCTGCGAAGCTCGGAGGTCTGTCGCCTCGGAGTCCTGATCCGTCAGCTCGCCTGGCTCCTCTGCCGTGTATAGATCTACGTTATCTGTATCAAAGAGCTCGTCTGGAGTGAGCACCCAGTCGTCCTGCTTTTGATCCCCCCCTCTCTGGAGGTTTTTCTGAGACAGCATCTTCCACGCACAATCAAAGATGTCCTGCAACAAACAGGGAAGCAAAGTCAATTGTACTTAAATCCGTCTCTATTTTAGGATTGGTCTCATTATTGATCTCATTATAAGTAATTGCCACTTTGCAATGATTGCAAAGCCCCTTGTTGCCATCTTTCTCTTCCTTAAAATGAAGCCAATCTTTCTGAGCGCTTTTGTTTTGCTATTCTAGACTTACGCCTGGTCACGTAGTACCTGCTTACTGAATGCAGGGTGCGTAACTTGCGTAAAAAACATGAAGCAAGTCATGCTGCCCAGTGCCCCAGGCTCTGGTGCTGCCTGGAATCGCCAAAGGGTGCCATGAAATTTGAAAACACAGAACCAGTTCTAAACAGGAACAGGAAGGAATGTTTTGTTTGTTTTGCTAATAAATCCGTTCACTCAATTTGTGTCTAATCTGAGACTTCTGTAACATGTGCTATCATGTAAAAGGAGGAAGAAAAAGCAACAACGGCTTCTCCAATATCGGTTACGGTGATGGGAAAATAAATTGGCATCAGTCTAAAATAAATCGCTTTCTAAAGCAGGTATCAGTTCTATGTTTATAAAATCCAAACTCTTCTGCATGTGAATCCCTGTCATCTATAACAGGAGTCTTCAACGTTTTCCAGGCCAAGGACCCCCAAACTGATGGCGAGATAGAGCAGGGACCCCCTAATTATATATATTGTATGATATAGTGTTACATCAAACTGGTCCTATAGTCACTCTATTACAGATGGAGTAATGTAATGAAAGTAATTTCTCCCTGGGATTATTAAAGTATTTCTGATTCTGATTCCTGGTTGATGGGACAGGTGTTGTGAATGAAACGGTGCCCAGCTTGAAAGAGCTCCTGTGTGTCGCTGAATGTGTGCATCGATGACTGAAAGACATCTTCTGCCTCCATTTATCTGTTTACTACAGTGTGTTGAATTTATGTTAATGTGGATTTAAAGACATTTCCATTAGTGGAAAAAATTGCAGGAGGGAATATAAAAAAAAAAAAAAAAAAAGTCTAATCAACCAAAACTTTTGCGACCCCCCTGCAGTACCTCTGTGGACCCCCTAGGGGTCGCGGATCCCCTGTTGAAGACCTCCGGTCTATAAACTTTGACCGTATGGTTTTAAACCGGACAATCTTTTCTTTTTTTTTTTGAGGCTTTTGCGGCACTAGTGGCTCCTTATTGCAAAGTAAGCTGAAAGGAAAGGAGGTATAAGAGAGAGGGAGAGACATGTGGCAAAGGACCACAGGCCGGATTGGATCCCGGGTCGGCCACCTTGAGGACTGAGGCCTCTGTACATGGGTCCGCTGTGCAACCGAAGCATGCCCAAACCAGACAAACTTTTAAAATGTCGTTTTAAAAAGAACAGAAAAGTTCTGGTACATTTAGTGAAATATTTAACAATCAGTTTAAAAGAGGCGACGTTTCCAGACTTCTAACAGGGACTGTTTGATGTACTGAAGCAGGGGCGGATTTAGGACATTTGGGGCTCTAGGCAAAAACAGAAAGGGGCCCCCTGAATTGATAACACAACACATTAAACAGACTGATTATACAGATACGGAAATTTTAATAGAATAGATATAGATAATTTGTTCTACGTTTTGTCCCTCTCTTGTTGTTTTCCTCTCTATGTTTTGTACTCAGCTCACTTTTCATGTTGTCACAAAAGGGATGAAAGACTTTTTTCCAAGCACCAAGCTCACTTAGCTGATTGCTCCTTCCTGCGTTTCCAAAAAGGCGACGGCAAAAGTAAATAACCCATGATCTGCTTATCTGTTCTCCATTTTTCATTTGGATAGCTACATGAATCATGACGACAGACAAGATAGAGGAGAGCAGGAGGCGGGGTTACCAATCTACTCGCTCTGGAGAGCAGAGTTCGCTGCTTTTATATGCTGTTGCCAAAAGTTGTTAGATTAGGCACTAGGTGCTTTTTTGAAATAAAAAAAGGTCTGAAAAGTTGCTAAATATAGCCACAAAAGAGCTAAGTTGGTAACCCTGCTCTTTGCATCATTTGTTCTCAAAATGATTTGCTGCTGTCTGTTTGGACCTTTCTGAACTTGGGCAGCAAATGGACTGATCCATTATGGTGGACACTGAAGGGGGGAGCTGAGACACACTTCATATTATAAGCGTTCTGATGGCATTTCAGCTAAAGAACTTTAATCAAAAGCATAATTAATGTGTACAAATAAGGAATAGTTTTATCAACCATACATGTAAACAGTTTTATGGGGCCCCCAGGAACTGCCTAGTATTGTCTAATGGTAAATCCTCCCCTGGACTGAAGATGCACAGAAAATAACAGATTCTGAGGGCAAGACTCGTTCAGGGTAACAGAGATCTCTGAAAAAATCCGACTCAGGCACCAAAAAAGAAAAGAAGCTGGATGGCAGCCAGTAGAAGGATCAGCAGAGGAGAGGCTTTGGAGCTGGAAGGCAAATGGTTCTCTCTGTTGCTCTGTTAGGTTACCTGTTGCTCTAAGGGCTTCCAGGGAACGTACTTCAGGCTGATGTACACCTGAAACTTGGTCTCCATTTCCTTCAGGATGCTCCTGCATTCCTTTTCGTCTAGGAAGCGAGCCACTCCCGGGACGTTGACTGTGATGATTCTGGTGCAGATGGAGGACAGCACGCCTTCCAGGACCTCCTCCGCCATTTGGCACGCCACTGCTTGACCGTGGATCTACCAGACGAGTCAGAAAACCAAACCTGAAGTTTAATTTCTGAGAATTCGGATGCAATGATTAAAGAGAAGTTCCATAAGTAGGGAGTTCACCTTCAAGCCGCAGGTATCTTCAGCCTCTAGCGGGAAAATGGACACCTGGTCCATTTCGGCCAGCAGCTGATGGCAGTGGATCTGGATGTACTTCAGCGTGCCAGGCTCCATGGAGAGGACCGACTCCCTCTGGATGGGTGTGGACAGAAAGTGCAAGATGGCGGCCTTCTTCTCCTGCTCCATACCGTTCAGCGTCAGGACGTCCAGGTTCCCAGCGCTCTCCGACACCTTGGCAGCGGTGAGGCCCAGATCCTGCAGGAACTGCGTCCATTCTCTGCAGCACAGCAGGGCCTCCTGCTCCGGCTCCAGAGGCACACTGAACGGACACACCTGGGTTTTTAAAAAGCTCGCCGCCTGCTCGGCGGAGCTTTGGGTCGTGGAAGCTACAGATGCGGTTGAATCCGACACGGAGTATATTGCGTTCAAACCCATCTGACTCACAGTTTGCAGCAAATGTTCCCTAACGTCTTCTCTCTGGAGGAACTGAGCCGTTTCCAGGTCCACGGTGTAATGAATCTCTGCTATCCTCCCCATAAAGCTGGAAATTGTCCGTTTGATCTGCTCCAGTTCCAGGCTGTTGGCTCCTGCGATATAAACGCCGTCAGCCTTCAGCTGGATACTCAGACTAGGATGCGCCTCCTCCACATCCTGTTGAATGCTGCTCCTTTGATACAGAGCATGTTTCACCGGCTCTGGGATGGGGATGTGGTGGGATAGCGTTTCCACCTCCTCCATTTGATCCTCCATGACCGCCTCCACCGACGCGCTGGCGCCGGGTTGCTCTGAGGCCGTCCGAAAGGACGACCGGCTGCTGTCTGACTGCTCCGCCTCCTCAGGCAGCCGATTGGCCTGCATCTCCACGTTGTTCAGCTCCTCAGAGATGCTTTCAGTCACATCCTGGCTTTCGATTTCAGAATCTGGCGTCGCAGGTTGAAGAAAGTCAAAGTAGGCTTTCACCACGACTTCGGTGTCGTTCACTTTATGAGGACGACCCAGAACAGAGTCAACAGCTGTAAGAGAAAAAAACAAGGAATCTGGTTTAATGTTTGGGCTCCTGCATGGAGCTGCAGGTCTATTCACATCCATTCAGGCTCTTCAGATTAAAACCACAGAGAAAAAACAGGAAGTTTTAATGAATCCTCCCAACAGAAAATAAAGGAAAAAGAACATATTCTGTATATTAGAAAATAAATAAATAAATAAATAAAAAAATTGCAATCCTGAAATAAAACTTTGAAAAACAATTCAATAAAAAAAATAAGTTTTTGTGATAAATTCATTTTTAACAAATTTTATATTTTCCCGTTTTATTTGTGGTTATTTTAATGTTGCTATTTGTTGCCAACATCCATCCAGACCAACAGAAACGAGTTTCCACAGAGAACCGGTTATATCTGATATAATACATTTTTTTTATTAACGTTTTTTTTTTATTTAAATAAAGCATTTTAAATGCCATTATAATCATATTTAATGAATTTTAATGCCAATTAAGGCCTTAATTTAAAAAATAATAATTTTATGACTTTTAATGACACACGGAAACCCAGTATATATAGAAAAAGTGTTTTTTTTGTTTTTTGTTTTTTATCTGAGAAACAGAAAATTACTCTGAAAACTTTTTTTTGATTGTCAAAGGTTTTAAAAATGTCCAGAAGACCAATAGAAATGCATCTTTGCTCCTCACTCCTGAGGAAAGCCTGTCCTCAAAAGTAAAGAGAAAATAATCTGGAAAAAACGATTAGAAAAAAAATAAATAAATTGACAAAAAAATAAAATTAAATACAAATATGGAATCTGGAAAACATAAAAAATAAAAATAATAAAGTTGAAAAAATAAAATATAAAAATACAAAATCTCAGTTTTAAAAAAATATATTTGCATATGTAAAAAAGTAAAACATTTGTTAAATCTAATAAAAAAAAAAAATATGAAAAAATTTCTTTGAAAAAAAAAAAAAAAGGAAATTAAATTATTTCAGTAAATAGCAAACTTATTTCCTCCATTTTACGTTTTTTTTTTTTTTTTTTTTTCTGGCTTGCATTTATTTTAATTTCCATTTACAAAACATGTTGTTTTCAACAATAATGGAACAGAATTCACTCCATAAGTTTATAATAATCACATCATATTGATTCCAGATTCTGTAACGGAATCTATTTCAGACTTTGCAATATCTGCAAACATGGGTTTATCACCAAAAGCGGTGATTTTCATCTCTTCTACTTACACTCGTAATGTGTAAAGGTGACCTTGGCTGTTCCCTCTGTGAGAACAGTGACCTCCTTCACCTTCTGGCTCCCGCCCCGCTCGCCCTCAAAGTACAGCGTTAGCAGCTCTGCTGTGGTGCCGGGATGCAGGTTCTCCACCAAAACAGAGTCTGTTTGGACAATCTGTTCCAGAGTTACTTCGGACCCGTCCAGCTTCCTTTTGGAGATTCTTGCGCTCAGCGTCTGGAAATCTAAAAAAAAAACAAATATAGAACTTAAGTTTAACCCGAGGTTAGCAGACACTAAAGCCTATAACTCTAAAAAGCGCACAAACTGTATTTATATTTATAGAAAATTAATTGATGGAATTTTATTAGGGCTTAAAAAACTAATCTCTGATTTTTTTCCAACCAAATATGAATAATGGATGTTTTTTCTACCTTAAATGTTGTAATAAATATGGAAAGCGACATACTTTGCTTTTAAAAACGATCTTTGTTTTAAATCATCCCTGCAGGGAGGCGACTCATTTTCATGAAATTCAAACTTTGGAAAATTATAGTAAAATAATCATATTTCATAACAAACAAATTAAAATAGTTATCAATTTAATAAATTAACTGACCAATTCTAAATTACATTTATTTTGAAATAATTTAGTTTTAGTGTTATTCTTTTTATTATATATAATGTATTTTCATAATTTTATTAAATTTTTCCATTAAATTCTAATTTAAATCAGTTAAATTATCACTTTAAATGTAGTTTTAATTATCTAATGAGACATTTAATCATTTAAAAGTGCATTTTACAATTTATAGATATATTTAGTATCTGAATCATGTAAATACACAAATAAAAGTTTTATCTATTTATTCTATTGTAAATTTCAGTATACAGCCCTCCAAATACACCCTGTGATGTGATCCATGGTGTATATGGTTATACGGACAAAGGCAGGTTTGTAAACAGTAACTTTTTCATGCATGGTTGTAAAAATGTCCGCCTATCTGACCTTTGGATAAAGGCTGGTTGAGGTGGATGAGGAAGAAGCCGCCCTCTGGTGACGGCATCAGGGTGTAATCCGTGTCGTTCAGATCCATCATGTTTTCCACGTAGAGCTCCACCATCTCTACGCTGGTGTAGGGGCTGATTCCCCGCAGCAGAAGCCGACATGGGTCCTTGGATGGAGGCTTTCTCACGCTCAGCTCTGAGTTATGCACCACATGATGCCCCTTCGACAGCACCCTGGCTGCAGCTGTCGACAGAAAGGAAGAATACAAGAGGAATTAGCAGAGACGATGGCGTTAAGATCTGAGCACAGCACAACAATAAATACCTGATGTTTCTCAGATTATTTCTTTTTGCAAAGTTACCAGAAAGCTGTAGGAGGAGGAAGGGGGAAGAAAAAAAAAGCGGGCGTACGAGTCTGACAAAGTAGAAAGTCCATTTTAACAAACTTCAGCCTTGAGCATTTCCCTTTTCTTATTTTCTAATATAGTCTTAGGGATCAGCCTTACTTTTTTTTTTTTGCTTCTGTGAAAAAAATTCAACCAGTGTGGAAGCATGTTTTTCCTCGTCCTAAAGCCGGGCTAACACTGTGCGTTTAATTTGCCCTTTTCGGGCCAACTTTCCAGTCATACGAGAATTTCTTGATCCACCCGACTTTCAGCCGGATTGTGCGTGGTGTAGAGTACAGGGGGTAACGAGGGGCGATCAGTCTCTCACGATCAGGAATCGTGAGGTCAGGAGAAAAATCAAACATGTTTGATTTTCAGTCGGCCGTCGTGGGCAAATCGCTCAGTGTGCAAACAAGGATTGTTCTTCTTCTTCCTCTCAGATGTAAACACAGAAGCATGGCGGGGGTGCCAGGAAAATTGTTTTTTTCTGTAAAATTCACAGACCGTAGTAGCCACGTTTGCTCAGCCATGTCTTTGACCAAATAAGTTGTTGCCTTTTCTTTTTAGACGCAAATATTGTCTGATAAAGAGCACATTTACGTTTAAGCCAGAATGATATGACATTTAAATATGACTTCCCTACAACTTTAAAGTCTATCTCCACACAAGGTTATAATAAATTAAACAACTCCTTAACTAGCTCTGAAAAAAAGGACAACTAAACGTTTCCAGTTCAATCCAATTGTTGATAAACCTCATCAGTAGGCAACTTAAAATCCTCCTGTTTAGAATGAATGATGCAGTTATTCAGTTCAGTTTTTCTTTTTACTGCCAGTCTGCTTCATTGGAGAAGTGGTGACAAATATAATCATCTGAAAGCTGAAGCTGCCGCCAGCTGTGTTTCAGAGGTGGATTATATGGGGAAGCTGCATTCAAATGTTTAAGTAAAATAAGCCGATTGTTTTGGAAAAGCTCAACGACGACGTGGGCTGATTTAACATTCTTCAACATCTGCTATCTCATTAAAACGCTGAAAACAGGTTTGACATTTCATTTTTAATAGACATCCCAAAAAAAGTTTCCATAATTCAGTATGAGTTGTTAAATTTGCTTGTTAAAAAGCATTTAGCTGAAAGTCAGCTCTGCATTTTAAGACTCATACAGAATATACATTTTTCACCTAATTTCAATCCAAAAATAATAGTTTAACATTTAAAAAGATGTCCCAGGAAAAACTTAACTAAAATTAATTTTAAAATGTGCAACTAGCAAATCTAAAAGCATTAACAGAAACACTTTTTGAAGTCAGAGCTGCATTTTTCGACTCAGCTAATAGAGGTTGTAATGATTTGCCTTCTGCCTCTTCGAACACCAGCACCACTCGGTCCTGCTTGATCTCCACTGACTCCAGCGGACCTCCTCCAGAGCGACGCTTGTTCTCAAAGTAAAGGTAGAGCAGCTCCTCATCCACTCCTCCAGGGAGCTCCAACACCTCCACCGTCCTCTCCTCCACGCTTACAGCAGACATCCTGAAAGACCACAGAATTACACTTCAATAAACAAAACAACTCCACTGATGACTGAGATAGATTCATCATATCATCACTGTTAAAGTAAAATTAAACGTGTTAAAAAATAAAACGTCTTAGAGATTTTGAGACTGGTTGTCCTGGTAACCAGCAACAAGCGGAGAGAATGAAGTTTATTTGTTGCCACACAGGTAATGAATTTTTGTCTTCCCATAAAAAAATTCCACCATCTTCAGTCTGTAGAAACATTTACAAACATGCTGCTCTCAGTTTAAGACTGTCTGGAGGCAAGAATTATATCTTTTCATTTTTATCTTGGATTCTAATCTTACGATGGTGTATAAGGGCCAGGCTAGAGATTGTCTTTCTTCTCTTTTGTCAATAAAGTTTTAAAATTACGATAATAAAGTCATAAATTATGAGAATAAGTCGTAAAATTTAGAGAGTTAAGTCATAAAATTACGAGAGTAAAGTCGCAACGAGAATAAAGTGGAAAATTACGAGAATAAAGTCGTAAAATTACGAGAGTAAAGTTGCAACGAGAATAGTCATAAAATCACAAGAATTAAGTTATAACATTACGAGAATAAAGTTGTAATATTAAGAGAATAAAGTCCTAAACTTATGAGAAACAAGTTGTATTTCATGAAAGTTTTTACAAGCGGCATTTTCATCCCTAAAATGAGGAATGTGGAGCATCATGTGAAGTTATACTTTGGCTTCAGGTTTGACAAATAAGGAAATGTTTTAGCATCAGCATCAAATTAGACAGAATGTCAAAGTGGACTAAGGTTGCCGTCTTGTCGGCCGACGTATGCTGGTCGAAAATCGAAGCTTTCTTTCTGTAACGGGTTGTGGTATGAGGACTTCACTCTGGTAACGTCACGACTTCACTCTGGTAACGTCACGACTTTATTCTCAATATAATAAAATAAAACAAAATCTCTAACCTGACCCTAATGCTCCGTCATATAAACTTAATAATGCATCTAAGCTTTTTTTAAATTTTGCACAGGAGAACTGATCCCTCTCTGTTCCTTTAAGCCCCCGTGCTGCTGGTTCCAGTGGTTTCTTTGTGCGCCCAGTACCACATCAGGTTCTGCAGACTGGGACATGTTCAAAGCTGCAGCAACCAATGTCATATTACAACAAAATCTATATATGGATGAGTATGCCATGACTGTGTCAGCCTACATCAACAAATGCATTGACGATGTCAGCATCACAAAGAACATTCCCATCACCCGGGCCAACCAAGAACCCTGGATGACCGGAGAGGTTCAGAAATCACTAAAAGCACAGAACTCAGCTTTCAAGTCTGGTCATAAAGAGGCACGGAGGACGGTCCGTGCCAGCTTGAACCGTGCCATCAGATCAGTGAAGCAAAACCACAGCCAGAAAATCTATTCCACAATGCCATGAACACCAAGAGGATGTGGCGAGGCATACGGGCAATCACAGACAACAACACACCCTCCAGCTGATGCTGACTTCCTAAAATGCGCTAAACTACTTCTTTGGAAGGTTTGAGGCACTAAACAGCACTCCAGCAGTGAAAAAAAAACAAAAGCAGACACCATGAGGAAATTATTAGGATACATTCAGGAAGATCTAAAACTTATTAACACTATGATAAGGAGACTAGGACTGAAACAACTAATCAGATTAATCATGATCAATCAATTATCGATAATCTTCAATTTATCTAGTAATTTAATCATAGTCCGAAGTATAGAAAACATACCATTATCTATGAGAGCAACCCACACATAGGAGTAATTATACCAAAATAGTATACATTTTTTTTTTTTTACACGTTTTCCCTTTAAGATGGAAAAATGTTTTTGTTCGTCAATATGTTCTATCCAGATCCTCAAAAGGTTTAGTTTGAGCTTCACCTGCTTAAAATTCTGTATAAAATATATTTGACAAACTATTTGCTATATATATAAATTAATTGAAAGAATAATTGACAAATTAATCCATTAGAAAAATTATGTTTATTTCTTAGCATAAACATAAAACTCCTTAATTGAAATGTAAATCGCTTTGTTGTCCCACAATGGGGGAAATTCACTCTGTGCATTTATCCATCCCATTGGGGAGCAGTGGGCTGCCATCGTGCGGCGACTGGGGAGCAGTTTGAGATTAAGGGTCTTGCTCAGGGACCCAGAGTGCAGGCTGTGGTGATCAACTGCGTACTTGCAACCTTCTCAGAGCACAAGAGCACTACTCTAACTGCTATTGCAGGGGTAACCAATTAAAAATCAACAGGGTCCAAAAAAAGAAAATAATCAACCAGTAAAGGTCTGGAGACATTTTTTATTATAATCTGTTACTTTAAATAGACTTTAACACTGAAACAAAATAAGGTGTCTATGCAACCATGTTATACACTTAAAAAAATATAAAATAAAACATTTTCCCATTTTAAAATTTGAACAATCCTTCAGTTTGGTATAAAGACAATTTCCTGATTCACATATTTTCTAAAACACCTGAACTGACCGTTATTTTTTCCTTCTTTTTTACTTTCTTAATGTTCGCAGTGGGCTTTATGCTGCCCTGCAAGGCTTTAAACCTGGTTTGAATGGAGACAAAGCCATTCTAAAGAACATTTCAAGGTGCTCATGAGTCTGGATTCATATTTATTTTTGTTTCTGTTCATGGTGGAGAATCCTGCTTCCCAGCAGCAGGTTGAGCCAAACATCCTCAAAATGTGCAGGGTCATCTTTGAGCACCATTTCACTTTTCTTTCAACAGTTAACCGCAGTTCTTCCAGCAGTCCACACTTTCTCTGCTCTCTTTTTCTCATCTTCTTCTCCTTCTTTCCCATCGCCCAGCTTGCCACAGGTTTGCCTGCTGTGTCTAAAAGTAGCAGCAGCAGCAACCCAGACTGACAGCAGCTCATTGGCTCATTTGGATCCCGAGTAGCCTGGTCCCGGGCACTCTGGAGGGCTTTACCATATTAACAGGAGAAGCGGCGCAAGTAAAGTTAGACACTAGCTACGTTTACATGCGCAAAATTTCCCCGATCCGATCCAAACCTTGGTTGATCGGAAATTCAAAATCTCCGTTTACATGGACACTAAATGAAATGATCCGATAACGACGTGTGTATACATGTACCAAGCGTTGGATCAGATTAAATCTTTTAAGCATGCGCAGAACTTCCTGCCAAACTTGGCAGTTCTGTCTGCGTCTGTTTTTTGGGAGGCCTGACAAACGATGCGCTCGGAGCGAGCAGAAAGAAAAATGGAGAGAGGAGGAAAAAAGCGCTTGGCAGCGAAATGTCCGAGAGAAAATGTAGAGAATGAGCGATTGAACCGGCGTGGGAGAGCGAGTGGGCTGTGGAGAGAGAAAAGAGGAAGAGGAGGAGGATAAATTCCTGCTTCCTGCAGCTTTAAATGAACTTGAGTGTATAAGTCGGCGTTCCTAGACTCCTCCCGCCATGTTGTTCACAGCGAGAGCGAGAGCGACCGGTGGTTTCCTGTTGTTGACAAGGCGGAAAAACGTCACGCTGACATCGCACACATGCGCAGTGAAGATTATTTTACTCTTAAGATCCGAATGGGTGTTTACATGGACGCCAATCGGAATGGCGATCGGCAAAAACCACCTCTCTCTTTCGGAATTAAATTTAGATCCGATCGGACCGAATCGGATTAGAATCTTCAGTCTGACATGTTTACATGAAACATTTTTGATCTGATCAGGCCTTCAATCCGATTAGTTGTGTCCATGTAAACGTAGCTACTGACGTCGGACAACATGCGGTTATTTATAAATGTTTTAAATCAGGTTGGGTCCGGATTAGCCAGCAGGTGGGTCCGGATCCAGACCGCAGTCCGCTAATCCATAACCTCCGCACCAGGCCAACACTCCCTCTTTGCCCCAAGTCCTGAACTGCAGTGAGTTTTATTCACTAAATGAAGTAATAACAGTTAACAAAGTGATCACGCAGACAGCCGGAAAGGCATAACAAGGACCAATCACAGTTGCTTTTTGTCTGCGTACTTCTGCTTGAGGTCCGGGTTTGCGACCATCCGACGCATAGTCAGGATTTTTTTGGAGGTTTGAAACGATGGTTGCAGAACCCCTGCACAGGGGAGCGTGGTCACACACAGAGACAGATCTGACTGTTGCAGAGGCTATGCATCAGAAGCATAAATTGATCAATTAGATGAGCCCTTAAATGATATATTACCTACTGTAAATTAAGTTGAAAAAAAGTTAACAAGTCAAGAAAAAAAAGGTAAAAAGTTCATTGAAAAGTTAAAAAGTAAAGTTAAAAAGTTAATAAGCCTAGTTAACAATTATATTTAGGTTTATAACTAAAAAAATATGAGTGCCAGTATCAACATTAATGCCTCTAAGGTTATGTTGTATCAAAAAAAAAAAAAAGTCTTTAACTCTCAGAGTGTTTTCATGAATTTCTTATAGAAGCACTTTTGTTATTTTTCTTATTATATTCAGGCAGGTTGGCGTTTCTTCTTATTACATTGTGATTAATTTTTGCAATCAAAATATCGAGATGTTTTGAATGTTACAAAGATAATAAGGTCTTATCCTGGATTCCAATAACACTATTTGGCTTTAAATGTTGATCTTCAAAGTATTTCTCTGAGTGCCATATAAAGGAATAAACTTCAAATAGTTTCAGAATAAATATAATCCTGAAATCCTATTGAAAGCTTTTATAATTTAATCACACTTCTTTTGTTTCACTATCAGGATCACAGTCCTCAGATCTGAACCATCTCTTAAAACGCACTTTAAGTGAGATAAGTCGGTTAATATTTACCTGATTTTTTTCTTTCCTTCAGGAATGAAGTCTGTCTTCCGGCTGCCAGTAATAAATCCAGCAGGGCCTACAGACTGCTGCAGCTCTGTCAGCCTTTGAGGAAAGCTTATCAGTTTGACCAAAGTGTCAAACTAATGTTCTAACCTGATATACTGAAGCTAACAGCTGTCAGCGCCATAGTGACGGAGTTTTTATTTAATGTCTACTTTACCCGAAGTTTCTACATTGTTGTTCAGCGCTGTCATGTAAAGCTAGAAAGTGAAAGCAGAAGCTAAGCTAGTTTGAAGGCTGTCAAAGTGCTAGCATGTTGGTGTTTTTTTATTTTATTTATGTATTTTCCGGCTATAAAATGAGGGAAGACATTTAAAAAGGTCAGATAAACGATAAATTCATGTGGTTTCTTACCTGTGCTATAAGGGAGGCATTTACTTTTACCGGAGTGAGGTTTGCTTCCTTGTTTTGCAGCTTGTTGAACTCACCCGGATGACGTCGTCATCTTCTTCTTCTTTGAAATTTTTGGCGGTTGACAGACAACAAATTGATGCATTTCCGCCATCTACTGGTATGGACTGTGGACCAGAATGACTCGCAGAAATTAAATATTATTATACAAATGTGTTATTTTTAGATATCGAAATATTATCCTGTAAATTTTACTTTTTGAAAAAGTTCTAATTAATTCAAATAAATCTAATTCAACTTTTACTTTACTTAAATGTTAAATTAATTGCTGTCTTTCCTCCTCATATTTACCGTATTACAGTACAACATCACATGTTCAATAGTTTAATCTACCCCACAGTATTCATATTTGCCATTCCTCTGTTTCCCCGAGATAAAGATTTTTTACTATTATTGTAAAAAAAAAAAAAAAAAAAAAGTACAAAACAAAGACATGGCAAATTATACAAGCATTTCAAATCAGTTCAACATCAAAACAGATTAAGTGAGAGAGTGACTTGTGAAAAATAGGAGCAAATTAGATGCAATAGAATAATCTTCAGGCAGCAATAAATGCAAATAAGAGCCATAACAGAGTATCAAATTCCAAAGGGGTATGGGACAGTATGAATAACAAACTTGGAGCATTTCAAATGTGACCAATAAAAAAAGAAAAAGAAAAAAAAGAAAAACCAGAACTTCAATAAAAAAAAAATAGAAGGGCAACATTATATTAAGTTAAAATGTTCCAACAAAGATGTTAATCTGGCTGTTCAGATTCAGTCACTCTCAAAGTCTCTGAATATAAATCAAAATCAGTTTTCAATATATATATATATATATACACTACCGTTCAAAAGTTTGGGGTCACACTGAAATGTCCTTATTTTTGAAGGAAAAAATGAAGATAACTTTAAACTAGTCTTAACTTTAAAGAAATACACTCTATACATTGCTAATGTGGTAAATGACTATTCTGGCTGCAAATTTTGGTTTTTTGGTGTAAAATCTACATAGGTGTATAGAGGCCCATTTCCAGCAACTATCACTCCAGTGTTCTAATGTTACAACGTGTTTGCTCATTGGCTCAGAAGGCTAATTGATGATTAGCAAACCCTTGTGCAATCATGTTCACACATCTGAAAACAGTTTAGCTCGTTATAGAAGCTACAAAACTGACCTTCCTTTGAGCAGATTGAGTTTCTGGAGCATCACATTTGAACTCCCCTACTTAAGGCAGAAACTCTCTAGACACCTTTTACTAGTAGAAAGCTACTGCCTGGGACTGGGATGAAGCTGATCCACATTCCAGCTGCTTCGTGGTTGGAAACCACCCCAGCACATGCTGTAGGCAGTGTTGTTTTTGACAGCCATCTTAGATTGTGTTAGTTTTCATTAGGCTCGGACTGTTAATCTTTGATAGCGGGCATTTGCCTGGTGGGACAGTCCTAATGTTAGCGTGCAAGGGCCGGCCCTCCTTAAATCATACCGGCCCCAACACTTACAGGTGCTGGTCATAAAATTAGAATATCATGAAAAAGTAGATTGATTTCAGTAATTCCATTTAAAAAGTGAAACTTGTATATTATATTCATACATTACATACAAACTCATATATTTCAGATGTTTATTTTGTTTAATTTTGATGATTACAAATGACAACAAATGAAAATCTCAAATTCATCATATCAGAAAATTAGAATATTGTGAAAAGGTTCAAAATTGATGGCCCCTGGTGCCACACTCTAATCAGCTAATTAACTCAAACCACCTGCAAAAGCCTTTAAATGGTCTTTCAGTCTAGTTCTATAGGCTACACAATCATGGGGAAGACTGCTGACTTGACAGTTGTCCAAAAGACGACCATCGACACCTTGCACAAGGAGGGCAAGACACAAAAGGTCATCGCTAAAGAGGCTGGCTGTTCACAGAGCTCAGTGTCCAAGCACATTAATAGAGAGGCGAAGGGAAGGAAAAGATGTGGTCGAAAAAAGTGTACAAGCAAGAGAGATAACCGCACCCTGGAGAGGATTGTGAAACAAAACCCATTCAAAAATGTGGGGGAGATTCACAAAGAGTGGACTGCAGCTGGAGTGAGTGCTTCAAGAACCACCACACACAGACGTATGAAAGACATGGGTTTCTGCTGTCGCATTCCTTGTGTCAAGCCACTCTTGAACCACAGACAGCGTCAGAAGCGTCTAAAGAGAAACAGGACTGGACTGCTGGTGAGTGGTCCAAAGTCATGTTCTCTGATGAAAGTAAATTTTGCATTTCCTTTGGAAATCAAAGTCCCAGAGTCTGGAGGAAAAGAAGAGAGGCACTTCATCCACGTTGCTTGAAGTCCAGTGTAAAGTTTCCACAGTCCGTGATGGTTTGGGGTGCCATGTCATCTGCTGGTGTTGGTCCATTGTGTTTTCTGAGGTCCAGGGTCAACGCAGCCACATACCAGGAAGTTTTAGAGCACTTCATGCTTCCTGCAGCTGACCAACTTTTTGGAGATGCAGATTTCATTTTCCAACAGGACTTGGCACCTGCACACAGTGCCAAAGCTACCAGTACCTGGTTGAAGGACCATGGTATCCCTGTTCTTAATTGGCCAGCAAACTCTCCTGACCTTAACCCCATAGAAAATCTATGGGGTATTGTGAAGAAGAAGATGCAATACACCAGACCCAACAATTCAGAAGAGCTAAAAGCCACTATTAGAGCAACCTGGGCTATCATAACACCTGAGCAGTGCCACAGACTGATCGACTCCATGCCACGCCGCATTGCTGCAGTAATACAGGCCAAAGGAGGCCCAACTAAATACTGAGTGCTGTACATGCTCATACTTTTCATGTTCATACTTTTCAGTTGGCCAACATTTCTATAAATCCTTTGTTTTTATTGGTCTTCAGTAATATTCTAATTTTCTGATATGATGAATTTGAGATTTTCATTTGTTGTCATTTGTAATCATCAAAATTAAACAAAATAAACATCTGAAATATATGAGTTTGTATGTAATGTATGAATATAATATACAAGTTTCACTTTTTAAATGGAATTACTGAAATCAATCTACTTTTTCATGATATTCTAATTTTATGACCAGCACCTGTACTCCCCATCCAAAGCACAGACCTGTGACCGTAAATAATTTAGGGAGCTCAAGAAGTAATACAATGTTAACTACCCAAACGATGCATGCAGTATATATAGCCCTTCCTTGTCATGCACTTCCTTGTGACGGTTGGAATATGGTGTAATTTTTTATTTCTTGAAACTGTAAAATCCTTGAAACAAACTAAATTATAATAAAACTAAAATGCTTTCTTTAAACCAAACTACGATGTTCCTCTTATATTTGGCGAATTTATGTATTCGAATATTTTGCAAAAATATGTTGCAGTGCATGATGGGGTTTTACATCTAAAGGCTAACGTTTCCCGTCCTACGTGCTTTGTTGCCAGGTTGGTATGTTTTCCAATCTGGTAGTTTAGGATGGCCGTCTATGGGTAAAAAAGCTAGACTACCTCTAGCTTTTGGCTGCACCTAGACAACATGCATTGAAACAGCCCAGAAACAATGACAAAGGGGACCAGGGCCCTGCTTTGCTTATAAACAGATTGGATGGCCCTTAGTATAGGACCCTCAATGCCTAGCTTATTAGGTATCCCAGAGCTAAATGAGGGACACAGTTAAATGTTCTGTCCATTTCCATAAAACATATGGACTAGTTGTGCAAGCTCCCATTAACCAATGAGAACTCTGCAGGGGTGTAGAGCTGGTCCAGTGTTGGTCGGGATGAAAAAACCCACTGCTCCTCCTGGAGCCAAGGTTTGAAGCTCTGCCAGATTCTCCTTCCAGCACTCTGCCCCAGGCCTTTCCAGGGTCACTTAGAAGTGTAATCAGTATTCAAGTTGAGGGGAGACAGGGGGGGTGGAATCCCCCTTCAATGAGGGCAGAGGGAGACTCTTAACATCCATTTTATGACCTTTATAAAAGTTAACTGCACCAGAGGGACATGTATGCATTTTAAACTCAATCCTGTACATTGCATTTAAATGTTAACATATAAAATAAAAACCCCCACAATGATTGTTTTTTCAACCTTCCTGTTGTTGACAATGTGATATAAATCACTGCAGCTAGCAAAATCCCCCTGACTCTAACACAAAGGCTTTGAAAATACTTCCCGTCCAATGCGTGCAGCTTTATGTTACTCCAGAGAGTTCAAGGTGTTGCATATTTCCGTCTTCAGTCTTCTTTAATGCAGTAGGAGTGTTAAAAAACTCCTTAGTAAATACTCCTATGAAAGAACTGTATTTTCTTAAAAAATGCAATTGTTCCTCTCTCAAGTTTTCAATATTACATTCATGCACACAGCTTTTATAAAGTGTTGTGTGGGCTGCATGCATGAAGGACACAGCACCTCAGCTCCAATCAAACTGTAGATGCTGCAGTTATATGCTGGGATTCTTAAGATACAGAAACACCTGCTTCCAGCATCTTAAACAGGATGCTTCATCAAGGATGGGGCCTGTCTGATTGCCTTGTCTCCCTCTGTGCAATCTCAGCCTTGCTTCAATGTCTTGAGATCAAAGCTCTGTGGAGGCTATAATGCCGTTTATTCCTTCTATAGATAGATTGGGGGTTTTGTTCAGACCTGTTGACAGGCACCTGCATAAATCAAGTATAAGCTAATCATTAAAATTGCTCTGAAACTCTATTTCTAAACTCATTTTTTGTTACATGTATTTGTCAGGGTTCTGCCCTCAGATTAATTATTGTAGTTTTTTGTATTCTTCTCATTTTTTTCTAGCAGTGTTTAGTTCTTGAGTTACTCTCTGCTGCCCCCTTGTGCTTGCTTCCTTTCCCCTCGGCTTCCTTCTAGTTAGTTCCACCCACACCTGCTCCATATTCAGCTCATTAGTTCATCCTTTGTTCTGTTCCCCTTATATACACAACCTCTGCAGTCACTCAGTGCTGTTTTTTTGTTGTTTGTTAGTTACTTCCTCATCTCTGGCTCCGAACAGGAGTTTTGGGGGGTTCTTTCTATTTTGTATTT